CACCGTTGATTAATCAAGGAGTGGACCCAGCTTACGTGAGAACGTTAGCTAACTGCTGCAAGGACTGTACCAACGATGCAGCTATTCAATCGCCCCTGACCATATCAAATGGGAAGGGGGTCCGACAAGCAGCTTCGGCGACACAATCTCGCCGAAGCTTTCACCGCGGCCTTGCAGTGGGTGATGAAGTCATGGACTGGGGCGAGAGAGGGACATGAGTTGATCCGGGCATTCCTTCAAACCTTCTTCTGCGGATGACATCGTTCTCTTCTCAAACAGTATCACTGAAGCAGAGAAATGCCGAAGGAACTAAACGAAGCAGGGAAGAAGATCGCATTGTCTTGTAAATAGATCACAAGAAGACTCACTTCATGAACGTCCCTTGCCATGGTGCGGAAATGGAATTGGAAGGCACTCCCTATCATGGGGACGTTTTCTTACGCGTATCTTGAACATTCGATGAACATGGAGAATGACTTGAGGAAAGAATTTAACGAACAGAAGAGAGCCTGGATCGCCTTCGGGCCTCTTAAGGAAGCCACCAACTGACTGACGGACGCGGGGCTTCGAGCCCACCTGTTCGACTCAACCCTTCTCCAGGCACTCTGTTACGCAGTCGAGCAGCCACGTCGAAAGCTCCACTGACCGCTCACAAAGTGCTTGAGCTCCTCTGAAGATGATCCATTACAAGCAACATCTAAACGGAGTTCGCAGTAAGACATGAGAAGACCCAGCGGATATGAGAAGACCTGTCTTTGTGATCCTCGGAATATGTTGCGAAAGCGAAGCATCGATGGGCCGGTCACATTATGAAAGGAACAGACGACAGAAGGACCCTGGAACATCAAAGTAGATCCCTCGCGAAGCCAATCTCCCCGAAGGAGACCACTAAGAGATGGGCAGACGGTTCGTGGAATGGACCAGCTGAGAAATCAGCTAGATACGATTTTCGCACCTGGAACTCGTGGACGCAGCCACCGACAACCAAGAAGGTCGTCGTGGATGTCCAAAGCGAGGAACAGGGATCAATGGAATCTTCTGTATTAAGGCCCGCACGTCATGTGAGGACGGCCCATCTAGGTATCCAAGTAAGTAAGAGATGGTCAAAACTTCCACGTTTGATGCAGCTCAAAACTCAGCGGAAAATGGAAATAACGCTACCTTGCATAAGCACAACGGCTTAGGTCAGAGCACGGCACAGATCGTTTGGAAGCAGGCTGGACATCGTATCGTAGCAAACAGCAAAGAGGATGTCGTTATTGACAAGTCGGAACCGAGCACCAAGAAGGCGCAATTTAGTCGAACACAAGCTTTTCGAACAGGTTACTCGATTGACATGCTCTATCGTGCATGGCGAAAAGTGCGCGCGATTTGAAAGCAATACTCAAATAAACAAACTGCTTGTTTCAGCGCATAATAAAGCATATGACACCAAAATTGAACTGTGTGTATAGAAAACTATTTGCGAAAGTATTATGCAAAAAGATTCGAAAACTTATGTGAAGTAATACCTTTTCCAAAATTAGACCCAGACGGCCACCAGACGATCTGAGATCGTCTAGAGCATATATTTTCGTCACTTCATATAGGTTCATACGGATATAGATCTTAGACAGATATAAATCTTCATATAGATCTTTTTAGCATGGACGGATTCCCCGGTCAAAAATCTATTCCTGAGCATGAAGACAGTTTCATATCATTGCCTTTCCTTTGTTTTTTGCCTTCATTTCTTCTCGCTTTGTTAAGTATCGCGCTTTAATGCCAAAGTCTTGCTCGTGCGTAGTATTCAGCTCCAATTTGGATTTTTACTCTTATCTTACGTCTTTTCTTTCAGACTAGTGAATCTTCCTTGTTTCATCTTCTACTATGCAGGTAGGTCAAAGTGGACTTCGTGAAACTTCCGAAAGTCAGGGGAGACTTCGTTTTCAGAAACCCTAGAAACCGACTCGTGCCGGGCTCTGGCTTAGGTTCGTCTTAAAGGCAGTGGCTCGAGAAAATCGCGACTGGGGGGCTTTTCACAATTACATGGCCTTCTGGACCAGCTGCTGTGCTCGAAATGTCACGAAGTGTTTTTTATGGTTTACCGGCCTTGCAGATTGCTGGAGAGGCGGGGCGAAGGATTCCCGCCACAACTAGCAAGTAAGTGCAGGATGCCGTCACTTCACCTGTTTTGGCCGCAATCGGCTGATCAGCCCAGGCAATCAATACGATACAGTTGACGGACATCCCTCCACCCCCTCTCCAGCAATCTCTAAGGACGGAAAGCGCCAAAAAGCACTTTTTAATTTTTTAAGCACAGTACCTGTCTCAGCTGGTCTAGAAGGCCATGTAGTTGTGGAAATCCCCCATTCACGATTTTCCCGAGCCACTGCCTCTAAAGGCAGCGGCTCGGGAAAATCGCTTGGGTAATTGCTTATCTGGGGTAATTCGAGGCTCTGATTCCGAAAATCCACCTTGAAGAGCGCGAAAATGGCAAAAATCACCATTTCTCAAGGCCTCCCACTTTGAATTTGGACGAGTGGAGCACGTTCCGCCATGGTTAGAGAGACAGAATTGTTTCGGAACCCTCGCATTTATAATTGCAGCATGCCTTCCCTGACGGATCCGGGAGAATCGCTAGCTCGTCCGCGCGTATTAGAATGGCTTGCGCGTCACGGGTTTAAGGGCAGTTTTCTAGACATGGGCAGCGCTCGGACCTACTCTGTTCTCATGTTTAAGGTGCAAGCAACCTTCCATTTTAGAATTTCGGGATGTTCGGTTTTGGCGAGCTGCTGCCTTTAAGCTGATCCACACAGCGCATTTTTTTGTCGAAATGTTCCCTGCGTTAAACCTTAATCTGTTGGAACAGACTATTTTCCAATATTTTCTTCCGCCGAACACTGCAAACTCAAATAGTATCTTATTTGATGTATACGAATAAAATGCGAAGCCTCGTTGTATGTCGTAAAAGTTAGTTTTCGAAGTTGGCAAATGGAAAAAATAAGTAGTGTCGGGACGCAGCTATTACCCAACAGCTGCTCGCGATGAGGTTGGCTTAAAGGCAGTGTCCGGGCAAAAACTCGATTTTGAGATTTTGTGCTTACTTGGGCCTATTCGCTACGCTGAATCCGAAAATGCACATTGTAGAGCGCGAAAATGGCGAAAAACGGCTCTAACACAGGAGGGAAATGAGCAGGTGGGCGGGGTCCTCCCCACTGCGAATTCACGTTCCCGGCTTCCGGAGCGACCTTCTCGCTTCCGGTTTCAAGTCAATCATTCGCACTTGGCCGGTAGCGATGTTAGAACGGCTAGCGGAATCGAGAAGATCGCTCCGGGAGCTGGGAGCGTGAAATCGCACTGGGGAAAGCCCCGCCCACCTGATGATTTCCCTCCTATTATTAGAGCTCTTTTTCGCCGTTTTCGTGCTTTCCAATGTGGATTTTCGGATTCAGCATAGCGAATAGGCCCGGGTAAGCGCAAAATCTCAAAATCGAGTTTTTGCCCGGACACTGCCTTTAAGATGCGAACCTCTGGCAGTGACCTCCGCCCGCTGGCAGGAGCCGGTTCCCTCTTCCCCTTCCCCTTTTGTATATAGTTTGTATAATAAAGGTCATAGTAAGACTTATGTAAATCCGCTAAACATCAGGTAAAAACTCGCGAACCTTTATCCTGACAGTAGTAATAGGAACGGCAACCGAGTAAAAGATAACTAGTAAAGAAGCAAATTCAAATGTGGAAGTAAATTGACAGATTCCAAACCTCGAAAGGACTGACGTACAGGGTGCGCCAAACTTACTTCAGCTTTATTCAGCTGTGTCAAACTCGTGCAAGATGGGCTCAGCGTCAAGTAAAGCTATTCATCAATACGCAACATTGCGATGCTCTAGTATGATGTGATTTACAACTTTGAAATTGCTCCATTCAAGCAAAAAAGCATTGTAGCGCAAGCTTTGTGCACACGTATTATAAACGGAACTCTAGAGATCTCTCGCGAAAATTCACAAAAATTCTCAACATTTGACAAAGATACTTCTGTGGATATTCTGGAAAACTGTACAAATCATCTATGTTCGACTGTCCATAAATCTTGGCATCTTGGCATAGCGACAAGACAACTGTAACAATATCATTGCATGCGGATCTTCATGCATTTCCGTTGTGATAGGTTTCCAAAACGACTAATCGTGATTAATTATCACAACGAAATACAAGGAGGTCGGCATGCAACAAACTCGTAACACTTGTCTTGTAGCGATCAAATCGCGTGAATTCTGCCCGAGGCCTAAGAATATACAAATTGGTTTTCTATACGCGAAAGAAAAACAGGAGACCGACTTTAGATTAGGCTTGAAACTAGCTTCGTAATCAATTGAAACTAAATGTTCATCTGGTCAGTTGTGGAAGGTGAAGAGCCTTGATTTCGATGACAGTCAACGCGCATGTGACATTGACAAACTTTTCGCCATCTTCAAAGAAAGAACTTAGGAGACGTAACCTATGGATGTGATAGCGCAGAACCTCCTCCATTGTGTAACGTCGATTCGTTGACCGCACGGATTGCTCTAACGTTGCGGACCATGCGCGGCGCGGCAGATTGATGCGAGAGCATGACTGGTACAATAGCAATTTGTGCTGAAGCAGGAGCTTTACCTCGCGGCGCGCGCTCCGCGGTGATGTCCAGTCCGTGCGGTCAACAAATGCATTGAATCCACTCCAGCTACGGAAAAAATGTGAACATCAAAATTGGATTTTCGTTCCCTTTAAACTGTTAGTTCGACAATTTTAGTTTCTGCAGGTAATTATGATAATCATCTTCAGCTCATCAGAAGATATTTTGTAGAGGATGTATTCTATTGCGGCACTTTGAGATCAAATCAAATAAGTAATTTTCTTATGCTTGCTGCTGCAGAGTTGGCGAAAATAATTTTGGCACTGTAAACATACTGTGTTAGAAGCCACATCAAATAGCAGCTGGGCTGAACATGGAGGATAAAATGGATATAATACGTTGATGCACTCAAGTAAATATATTTATTGCGGTTATATACACGGACAACAGATATGAAAAGTGATAGCTCAGATCATCAATCGACAGCTGTTTTGCACCAGAAAAACGTCTTTGCCCGAAAACTAAATGCGTGAAGACTGCACTGATATCTACCGGTAGTGATACTTTTTCTACTAAGAAAATGCATCCTAACGAAGCACATGTTCGAAATCTATTCAAATAATTACTAGAGAATATCTCCCATGTCTCGCTGACTATTATGGGCATCGGCGGTAAGGCTGGCAACAAGGCCGGTGAGCTCGGACACTTTCAGTTCAGATTCTCGCAGATCGTCGGAAAGCGCCCGAATCTGACGCTTTAGCGGCTCCTAGAACAATCATTCTATAAGGAAGTATTTGATAACTGACAAAAAAAGCAGAATGGACATATAGATATAGACAGAGAGTATAATTCCTGTTGATGCGTGCAACTGCAGGAGTAGCAGGACTAACCTTTGATTCAACTAGCTTGGCGGCTGGAAGGCTGGGCTTTGTGACCTATTTAAGGTCGCTCCCGCCCGCGACGCATCTGCGTCTCTCTCGCGCGCGTGCTCTCTGATCACTACTAACCTTAATGAGGTAAGTCCTGCCTTCCAGCCGCCAAGCCAGTTGAATCAAAAGGTACGCACGTTGAGGAATGGACGATGATGGGATCAAAAGATTATGGAATATCTGATTCTCATTCTTTCATCTGCATTCATTAGGTGGAGTTCTGAGAATGACAAGAAGCAGATTGCCTCCATTTTGATACCTGTAGCCATATGATAGGCAGTACGATAGTTATATTTCAAACAGGAATAGAAGGAGGCCACGCGCCTCCGCTTCGCAATGGTCCGCGACGCGGCACTTTAGACATAACGCGACAGGGCGAGCCTGTGTCTCCTCATTCCCAGTATCTGGTAGGCAAAATACCAAACTACTCGCAGATGTGGCGCAGGCCTTTAGCGACCGCGCCGGTCAACGCCGATTTGGCCTACCCGTTTAAAACATAATCCATTACAATATACATAACAAGTAGTGTACTAACTATACACTAGTAAATGGTAAAGGGACGAAGGCTGCCAGTTTGGGCCGCCTCCGCGGACTACTGGCCCTCGTACGAGACATAGTAACATTGCAAAAGGACCAGTTGGAAGCGAAAGGCGGCTCAAACTGGCGGCGTTCGTTCCACACTCACTAGTAAAGCGCTGGCGGTGGAAGGAGGATGCATCATGTCAAATAATGCCAAGTTAATGGGGTTTGTAAGCTTCGCTTCTAAGCGCATATAAAAAAAAACGAGTGCTCTGCAATTTTTTATAAATTTCAGGAGTCAGAATGATAGAGAATTAACTGTAAATCCGATCCACTTTAAAGAAAGATGGTTTGAAAAATTTGCAATGGATCTGTATTAGTATTCAAGCATTAGTTGTTATTGACCACATGGACTCCAAAATGAGGTGATTGTATCGAAGAGGAGAAGGGTGGGTCCCTATAGAAGGCGGAGAGGAACATAACGAATAAAGACGAAGAGTTTTACTGTACTGATCCTTAAAAACAGGCACTAAACCTCAGTCAATTACGTGATTAGAGCAGAAGATTTTGAAAAAACAGCAGTTATTTTGAACTTGTTTTATTAGTGTCTTCTATCTACAACCGTAAACACACTGCAACCGGAAGAACATGCAAAACAAAACATCAACAATGATCGACAGAAATCGTGCAATCAGTGTGTAAATCACCGAAAAGCTCAGGATTCATTTGACTTGAAGATGTGCAGTAGCTAGCTATGTTAGTGATGAAACGAGAGAGAGCCAAGTCTGCACTAATGTTAGCGTTTTAGAAACGTAATGATGTGCTGCTGAGGCTGCTAGGTCTGACCTGCATTTTGTACTCAGCCGATTCCAACGTTCGTCGGAGTTCATCGCGTGATTGCTGTAGTTCAGCGGCTCTGAAATCACCCGAACTGAGTTAGGATCCAAACCAAGAAAGAGTGGTTATGAGCTATGGATCATGCTTCTAATGGAGCGGTGTAGAGGAAAACGGGTCTTTTGCACCACTATTGTACAGACCGTACAGCATTTCTTCGTTGCGGGACTCTGCAATGTGTGAACGCGCAAACGAATAATGCACGAAAAAATCATGTGCGGAATTATTACAATAGTATCGAACTGTTCTACACTTTTCTACTCAACTAGTGCACCTAATGGTCTATTTGGAGGAGCGTTCGCTTCGGTATCGCCACGCGGTTTCCCGCTATTTGCACATTTTTGAATTGCGCTTACGATTCTTTATATATTAGATTTGTTTCCAACCAACCTCCGCAGAGCTTGTCCATACACCTTTGCCTAGCGCGGGACTAGCTGCGTCTGCTTACTGGTACGGTAATACACTAATGGTGCAAAAGAGCCTATGAGCCCTGACCTTTCTTGATTCTTCTTGGCCTGCCAGTAAAACTACAACATAACGAAACTCAAAACTGCCCAAGCAAACAAAAAAGTCAATTTTTCAAAAGTGTGTGAGGTCTTTACCCCCGGGTAGTCCGCTACCTATGCTTCACTCGTTCACTGCATCAAAATCTAAGCTAGATAAACTCCACAACGAAAAGATGGGTTCCTTGGGTAAACAAAAGAAAATGCGAAAGATTTATTAGAACTTTCAAAGTACAATTAGAATATAAAAAACTCACAATAAAGAGAAAGTTAACTTATTGCTGTGTTATATTTGCAAAGCAGATATATTTTTACTAATTTTGAGAAGATGAAGTAGGCCGCAAGCGCGCACGTTATATGGCAGCATTAGCAGTTCGCATCTGACCAGTTTACTGCCTGGTTCAAAGCAGTCTACCTACTGAACTAGGCTAGTTCATTCACATTTGAGGGGTAGGATGTAGGACATATCCGATTTAGTCCGTATAGATATCACCATAATGAGATTATAGGATTAACTTGCACAGGTTATCTTAATTGCAGTGTCGGGTGCGCCAGCAGTTCGGGTCCGCGCGGCCGCCTCCCTGGACCCTTGCTACGTTACGTTTCGCTCGATCATTTTCCAAGACAGAGCGGAAAAATGATCGTCGAGCTTCAATAGTTAATCAGGTTCGGTAAATGGTCAGAACATGTTCGCGAGACCTAAGACCCTGCAAGCTTAAGCAAGGCCGTCGTGCGTGTCCCGAGCAGCTGCTGCACACGACACTGCAATTGAGATAGCCTGTAATCATCATTTCAATCTAACTAAAAGTCGCATACAAATTTGGTGATTGTACTCGCAAGTAGATGAGAGAAGACGGTGGAGAATATTGTAACTACCGTATACCCTTGCATGAAACCCAGGCTTGATTAGTTCATATTTTTAGAAAGCCTACCTTGTCAGGAGAGCAGTGGACTAGAAGAAAAGATATGTAAGAGAAGGACAATTGAGGACTAAACTGTGCAACTATTTGCTAAAGCAGGGAGTGTGAAGCAAGAGGATCGTTAGACCTGCGCGAATTTTCAGTAGCATCCCGGGTTACGGTAGCAAGCACATCTTGCAGATCCACTAATTGTTTTTTCATCGAACTGCATTCGGTTTCGATTTCCTTGTGCTGAAATATAAAATAGCCTGGGAAAAACAAGAATTTGGTAAACTTTAATGCTAAGAAATACTTACAGCTTCTTCCCATTCCGATTTTTCTTTTTGTATTCTGTTTTTCCACTGGTCATTCAAAACTTGAACTTCTTTTTCAAAATTCGCCACTCGTTCTTCCAGCTCTGTGTTTCTAAAAAACTTCTAAAAATATTACACTTGCTACATAATTTTGTGGCGGGAACCCACCTTGTTTGCAACTTTGTGTTATCCTGCATGAGCGATGTTTGCAGCTCGTAAAGCTCCTCGTACTTGCTTTGAATCTCATTAGCTGCTGCCTGAGCCTTAGCTGCTGCCACCTCATGGCGTTTGGCATTTTCTAAGGCATCCAGGTAGGCCAGCACACCATCGGCGTTCTGAAAATGCTTATTACTTGTCCAACAACTTTTAACAACGCAAAACTTACATTAATATCGATGGCGTTAGCCAAGGGCCTCAGCTGGGCCAGCTCATTCGACAGCACCTCTTTGGATACCAAAGCCAACTGCAGCTGCTCTGACAACTCATCACCTTTCGCTTTCAGCGCATCAAGGCTTAGAGCCAATGAAGAGTTTCTGGGATAATGTTTCTAAATTTCAAACATTCGTATCTTGCTAGAAACTCACTTCTCTCTCGCTTCCCTCAGCTCACTCTCGATTCTTCGATTCTTCGTTTCAAGCTCCTCTTTAGTACGAACAAGCTCTGATTCTTTGTCAAGCAATCTTGACGTGAGCTCTTTGACCTAGAAACTGCATAATGGGGATGATATTCACTTATAGTAATCAAAAGCTCTAAGAGTTGGGTTGCGCGATTTGTAAACGCCCACGCCCGTTCAGAATAGGTCATGTGCCATTTTGCGCCAGCACCGTTCCAACCCTGTGCTAGCGCCGTTCCTACATGGATCCGCCCTATATCAATCGACTGACGCGGCCCATCACGGCGCTAGCACGATGTCGAAATTTTGGGCAACTCTGGACGCACGTACAGCTCTCAATCCCAGCGGCATGACTCTAAGAATGCTTTACAGATTTCGTTATTGGCTCAAACGTATGGAAGGCGGCCTCTTGTTCCGTTACAATATATTGCCGTATTATATGGTACTTAACCGCCATCTTTGGCAAGGACTATCATAGTAAGGTCCGCGTCTACGATGTAATCTGCTTTATCCCTATTAGGAGAGCAGTAAACAGGAAATTTCGGCGATAAGCTTTCATTCGAAGTACACTTCCCCCAATTTCGTTTGAAGCCGCTGCAAAACTGGAGGTTCTCAGATTTCAGTACCATATGATACTCCATCTAATATGCAAGTACCGCTGCAAAACCTTGCATCAAAATTGGAAATGTGTTCTTTAAATAGGACCCATCATCAACAATGATCTCAAATCTCCGGGACGTTATTTCTGAAATTACCGCCGCGCGCGAACAACTTTCTTTAACGCGCTAACTCCACCGATTTTCTCTCACAAGGAAGGCTTCCCAAGTCAGCTCGGCCAACCCGGATGAGTCATATATCACCGTAACGGGCTCGAGACGCTGATTCCAAATCTGCCGTTTCCAGCTGCGGAGCGGTCCTGCACGAGAAGTTATGGGTGGTGTTTCCCTCCAGAGTTGAGGCACCCGTCAACTTGCCTCCCCTTGTTTATGAGCGCTATATAGGAGGCGCGTGGTCGTCTGGTGTAGTGGTAAGTGTCTTGCTCGATAGGCAGAGGGTCACGGGTCCGAATCCCGTTAATTGTAACTTTATTGCAATTTTTTTTGCAAAATGTAAATTTGGGCTTGTAAATGGTTTTGGAGCACTGGATCCTTTGACTGGTGCCTCAACTCTGGAGGGAAACACCACCCATAACTTCTCGTGCAGGACCGCTCCGCAGCTGGAAACGGCAGATTTGGAATCAGCGTCTCGAGCCCGTTACGGTGATATATGACTCATCCGGGTTGGCCGAGCTGACTTGGGAAGCCTTCCGTTCAGATTCAAGCTGGACATCTCAATGATAAATTTATGCTTAACATCCTGATTCGCATTTGGAAATACCCATAAACATATTATGGTGTAAAGTCTTTGGCCACAGAAAATCGGAATAACTAAGTAAGGCATCTATAGAAGCATTTACGAATAAGAAGTAACTTTGAATCAGGTAACTAGAGAAGTGTAAAATGATAGACTAATAATACTAACGGACCTTGTCACCAAGGTAATTCTGTTCTGTGCTCAGTTTTCTCAACATAATGAGCTCCTCATCCATAGCACGCAGTCGTGCTTCCATTTCTGAGCATTTCTCTTGCTGAAGTTTCAGCTCCCTGAAAGCGCCAAATCCTTGCTAAGCTTTCTCCCAAAAATTCAAAAACTCACTTTTCTCCGTTTAGCAGCTTCTCGCTCGTTTTGCGCATTTCTTCTCGTTGCTGGTCTATAATCACATCTTTCCCAGTGGAGATTTTCGCAAGATCGACAAACTGTTGCTCGATTGGTGACAGCTTGCGTCCAGTCCTGTTTAGTTGCTGTTCCCGTTCCTATGAAAGATGAGTTTTGAAAAGAAGAAATCGAGGAAACCGCAAAAAGACGGCAAACGTGCAAAATCTATTCCTTATTCATCTACCCAGATGGAGGGTGATGAGATGTATGCTATATGATAGAGAGACTCTTATCTAAGTAAGTCACTCAAGTATCATTGCAAAAGATGAATTCCGAAGCGAGAAAATTACGCTAGATGGTAGAAGCGGCCAAGGGGCTCCGCCCATCAACGTGGGTGGTTCGAAAATAACAAATCCAGAATTGGGCTTCAGAGTCTGACGTCTGACTCACAAATCCGTTCTCAATTACGATTATCAGATTTACGACTTTTCGATCACCCTTAGCCCACTTTTGAGCTCTTTATCTTAAGACCACCTACGTTGGTGGGCGGAGCAACCTCGGCCGCTTCTACCTTCTGCGATTTTTTCGCTTCAGAATTCATTTTTTGCAACGAGACTTGGTTGACTTACTAATCAGAGACCTCTCTATCATAGAGCATCAATCACCAATCTCAATTTGGGCGGACGGTGTCTTCAAGTGAACCTACTAGCAGTTCCCACGCTCGTTCAAAAAATTTCTCTTTTACTTGGAAATTCACGAGCTTTTGAATTCATAATAAACAGTTTTTACCTGAATCGCTTTCAGAGGCTCTATTTTATCAGTTATACTGGGACGTTTCTCGCTATTTAATCCACTATCCGGTGTCATTTTTCCAGCCTCCTTTCGTGCTCGATACGGTATTTCTTGAAAAAACGCAGTATTTTTACAAATGGCAGGCAAAGCCTTTTCTTCTCACCAAACAAATTGCTTCCGAACAATTTCTGCACAGCGATGACAGATCGTTCAAATTGCTTTGTAGCACTTTCGTAATTCGTCAAAGTTTGTGAGCCAGCATGACAACGCTGACCTGAGACAGAATTATTTTGGAAAACCAAGGATTCGTAGCTGCATACTATGTTGATGCCTCACTCAGTGTAACGTAATATTGTCGATCATTCCAGGCTCCTCCGGGTGGAACAAATTTCTTTCCGTCAAATTTTACAGCACAACGACAATCCGCGTTTACATCGCGGTAATACATTCCAGAGCATCCTGGAAGCAATCATTCATCAAGAAAGGTTAAAATATGTTGCAATATCAAAACCAATTTTTTTCAGATTGAACGCGAACATTCTTACCGTGATATAAGAATAATGGGTAAAAAAGTTTTGTTACCTGGGAAAGCAGTCTGTAAAGATGTCCACAATAAGCCATTATCTTCGTCAAGCTCAACTTCTGCTGGTTCGACACTGACCCGCAAGGATCGAACTAAACAGAGTCCAATAAGATAAAAAGAAAAGAATAGAGGCAATCATTATGATGTGGAGAAGATTTGCACAGATTTTCCCTCTCCGCCTTTATAAAAGAGCTTAATGGTAGATGTTGAAGACAGAAGGTCTTAGCCATTTCACATTCGCTGATACTACAACATGTGTTCGTTACGTCTTTACTGCGAATTTTAGCGCAGAAATCCGACAGAGTGCACCAAATAAGCTAGCAAAAAAACCAAAAAATATTTTACACTATTTGAAATATAACAGAAGTCAACAAACACTAATCTATAAAATATAAGAAAATTGTGCACAGAAGAAATCAGTCGAATGCTCTACACAGTTCAGCCAGATGGACAGCTTAAAAACCTCATTGCTGGAAACTTCTACAGAGGCTAGGCATCCTTCGAAATTCTTGTCGCTCTTGTACATTTTTTCATCATCCTAAGAATGTGCCGGAAACAGTATTCAAAGAGTATTTGCGCAGCTTTAATGAGGTAATAAAATCACAAGCTTACTTCGAGAGTGTTGCTATAGTGAAGCTTTTCTCCAGGAATTATTGTCTGGTTGCAAAATATACACGATGACGCTCAGCGTAACGAGAAAAAAAAATACTATCATTGCTGTAATTTGATTGATGGAAAAAATGTTACGATAACCCTCGGAGTAGCCAACTGTGTCACAACACTCAATGGATAAGGCAAAAAGTTTGTGAAGAATGCGTATCAGGTGGTTTCGCTTGTCATGCTGTGCTGCAAAGAACATTCATCAAAGCAATGATGAGCACAATATTTCGCAAAGTCTGCAACGATTTTGCAGTGAACGTAAACTTCAGATACAATCAAAAATTCAATTAGTTGTTTTGAACAAATTATTTGAGAATCATATCTCAATTATAATCATAACTATACATTCAACATATGCGCAAGTTTCGAGCAAGAGATTTGAATTGTGAAAAAATGCATCCCATAGATGAAATAAACATGATGAAGAAATTCTCAGTAACCATGGTTCGAGCGGGTCGTGAGCAAATGATTGTATTTGACTGAGTTTAGAATTGTGATACGATATAAAATTCAAAATGAAACCTTTTTTTTTCTGGAAATGCAGCATAAAACATATTTTTAATGTTTCAAGAAAATTCCCATGAACTTTCTGTGAGAAAACTCGACCTTCAGACATTTCCCCCCACCAATCTTCCTCTCCCAATAAATTGTGAGTTTTTGCGAAACTCGATAATGTTGTAAAAACAGCGATGCGTACAAAAACTTTTTTATGACCCTATGTTGTAAACTACACATTCGTGCACATTAATGGTACCAAGCTGTGAAGCAAGGCCGCCAGCTGGTAGGTTTGAACAACTCAACGAAGTTTCGAATTCTCGATGTCTAGTATGGATTCGAAATTACTGATATCCTCTTCCCATTGTTAAGACCAAATACAGGTTCCAATTTGACAATGTTTCGCTTACAATCTATCAACTTGGATGAGTCACCGACATGACACTTTTAGATCTTTCTAGTCAGACGCTGCGATTGCTGACATAATTGATGCCCAAATCGTTCACGACTTATCTTATCTCAAGGGTCGAGTCAGCAAATTTTCGCAAACTAATTTAGTCATTATTACCAGCAGACGGGGTCGGCTGCAAAAGCAAAGAAGAAGCGAAAGTCTAGTAAGCTCCGGAGAAAAAGGAAATCTCGGGAAGAGCAATTTCAGTGCCATTACATAGTAACAACTATAGCTAATGTAAAACATTTATATTGTTTTGTAAAGACTTCGGAGAAAGAAATTTGGAATTTTACATTTTATATTCGTTATTTTTCTAGAACTACAACTCTCGCTAACATGTTCGGCTACAATTTTTACTATGATTATTTTCAAAATTCGTTTAAATATACACAAGAGCTTTTCATATGCTTATGAGAATTTTGCTTTCAGAAAGATCTTAAAAGCAGAACCCCAAAAACCTAAAAGTCATGGCTTAGAAACTCTATACTTTGCTTTCTTAAAACCTCCCGAGCCTTATATTTCAGCCTAGAAAAAAAACTAGCAGACAAAAACGAAGCACAGCACCAGTAAATCTTCTGAGCACACTTTTACAAAAGATTAATTGCTAATGCTTTGAGTTTTCGTACTTATGATCAATCATCTTGCAATAGCACGAGAAGTGCAACATATCACGAACTAACATTGCACTTTTTCTGCAAAGAAATTGCATTAAGCACGTGTGAACTAGGTTTGCACCTCTAAAGCTATTGCTTCCCTAAATCTGACCGAGTTCATCATGTGTTGACTATATATGGAACTTGGAAAGGAGGAGGAGAAAAATGAAAGCCATCAACAAAACATAATAGGTGGTTGCGTTGTGTCCGAATGTGTTAGCCCAATTCGGGGGTGGCGACGATTTTTGCACGGAATAAGTTTCTTGAGCTATTTCGCACCCATTGGGGCGAAACATTGGGGTATTGGGGCTTTTGAGTTTCGAGGCGAGACAATTAGCAAAAACAACAATGCACTAATTCCCATGCAAAAACGTTACTCCCTCTTCAAATTTTTCGATGAACAGAAACAGCCCGCGATAATCAAGCCAGAAACGAAGTTTGCATGTGACCCATAAATCAAGCGAAGCAAATGATTTTCTAGTTTATGAATCGCACTAATCCAGTCATTACCTCACAAAAACAATCCATAAGATATTAGTTACAATATACAATGATAAAACAAATTTATCCTTAAAAAGCTCCCCTCCCCCCTTATCCTTAGAATAACTTCTGCAAAGGGCTTCCAGCGTTTTTCTGCTCATCGATTTTCCCTCTGGCAAACATTAGCAAGCTGTTATCTATTCTGCACTCACTCGATAGTAGTTTTCTGCATTGATGTTGCTATCAAAAGCATCAAAGTATTTGTTTTTCTTCAAAAACCGTTTCGTTTGTAGTCTGCGATAAAGTTATCACCAAACTGTTTTTGTCGACGGTGTGAAAAACCCAAAATTGTGAATGGATGCAAAAATTGGTTGATTGTCCTCTACTCTCTGGAATAGAAGGGGGGAGAAAACGATGAGATATCAAATTTCGTGAATACGTCAAGCTAAGTTTTTTCTGCAAGTCTAAGGAAATACACCGATAGCGATCAATTATACTACTTTCTTGAATATAGTTTTTTTACAACGATAATTTTATTGATTGAGTAACAAGCCAATCCTCTCTGCCCTTTTTTTTCTCCCCCTCCCCCCTTCCTACTCAAAACGATGACTAATTACAAAGAAAGTGTCGCTATGACGATACAAACTCGTTTTCCAACTTTTACGGCACTCGCAACCATATATAGAATACTCTGATAAAAAACAGGTTTAAAGTGGTGTGAAAGCATGCAGTAAATGATTTTCACACCGTTGTAAACACATAAAACAGTCGGAGCAATTAGGAAAAGAAAGAAGAGTTGAATTAAGCGAAGTTTGCTGCCATCAAAAGTGTAAATGCGAGGAAGTGAGCAATGACCAAGTTTAGGGTTTTCTGAAGGTTTTTTTTGAATTTACCTTTACATGATGTCCCCTAACGTTTTGATCGTTGCTTTTGCGTTATTTCAAATCCAAAAAATAGAAATATTGCATTCAGTGGGCCGGACAATTTCAGTCGAGAGGAGGAGGTGAGCGGAGGAGAACGGGGGGAAGAGGGAGGGGGGGGGGGAGAACAATCACTGAGTATGCTGCGAATTATTTACGAGATAACACATTATCTTATCAAATAATGCAGGTAGCTTGTTGTCATGCGGAAGATGAACCTTATTTCAAAGTTTTTTAGAGATAATTTATAATTTTTCATCCACCTTAACTCTCATAGAAACCTATTAGCTTCATATAAGAATTATTCTAAGAAAGCTGCTGCATCCACGTCTCCCTTTAGAATTTTTCAAAGATGTGAACTTGTCAGCCATTTAAGCATTGAAATCGTTTAAGGAGGCTTGTCCCCGCCCTAAAATTTCTAGATCCGCCACTGATTTCAATTACCAAATATTTGCTGAAGTTCATATCTCGATTCTCATCCACAACTAAATCCCCGAAAACAAACAGTTTTTAGTGTCTCGTCTCTCCCTCCCCTGCCAGCTCTCAATAAACTTTTCGTGTATGACTGATAACGATATAGCAAACAGTCGCAGTTTTTGCAGATAACGATAGCATCCCGCTTTTTAATACCCTCGGAAATGAGCTCAAATGAATCTTTCTCATAGCGGGGGGCACATGTCATCGAACGCCGATGGACCCCGTGCGTATGTTTACATTCGAAATGTTGAGATCTTGTTACGACGAACAAACTCTTAACAGATATTTTTTGTGCCGGAAATGAGGACTGAAGTACCTCTTATAGATGTTACATAAGGAAGGAAGGGGGGGGGGGAGGTTAGGAAGAGTGGTCTGAGGGCCTGAAGTTGCGGAGTGACTGCGGATTTCAAGAATGCAGGAGAGAAGAATGCTCCAGTGAAGCCTAGAAAAGGCAAAGAGAAAGGAAAACAATAGCCGAAGCTGCGCATTTCTCAAGCAGTCGATGAAGTTGCTTGCAAGAAAGTTTTCTGGAAAGATTTGCTGTCGGAAAGTAGAATGTTAAATGCGAAGCTAGAGGATGAAGTATGAGGTTCTAAGACTTGGTCATGCGGCTGCGAATTTACAGCCTTCTTCCATGTAGTTTCGATAACTTTTCCACATTATTTCATTCAGTACACCCAGATAGATGTGAAGGAAACTTCATTTTCTAGCCAAGAGTGGATCTTGGATTTTTGTATGAAAAATCAGATTGATACAATTGGTACTATTGCAGCAAAGAACTCATACTTCTAAAGGGGTGCTACAGTAGAGTTTTTTATCCCTATATCAAATCAAATGCGAGAAGACATATAAACCTGAAGTGAACGAATAAAATTTAAAAAAAAATTTGCAAATTTGAACAAAGAACCTACTAAATCTATCTAGTCGATATTATTCTGATTACCGCAATCGTTCAGGACAATTCATTCAATAACTTCAAATATGCTAATTTTAGCAGAAAAAAGCCTAAAAGCAGGCCTAAAAACGAATGCGTGATGAAGTTCAACAGCACTTTACGATGCTAACAAAAGGTAAAAAAGTCAAGCTGATCAATAATAAAGACTTCGATACTTCAACAATCCATTATCTATATGGACATAAAGTGCGGAATTTAATAAGGCAATACGCTTTAATTTTATGGGAGCCCGCAAGGTTTGAAAAATAGTTTGTAAAGACTTAGATGGCATTTGCATGCGAATCCATTGTTGTATGACGTAAAATGCTTTGAAATTTTACAGCACTAATACCAAAAATGAAAATGTAGGCATTTTCATATTTACGCAAGAATTAGTTCTGTATTATGCAGATTTTGTTATGATAACAATTGTATGACCATACCCTCTAGATCTACGATTCAGACAGATCTATGAACAAGAGGGTGGTTACCTAAAACAGTAGCGGGCATTTTTGAGGGGCTAGCGGAACCTTACGGTTGAAAAATTAATTATCACAACTCTTCTTCTCCTTATCGAAACTTTCCAGCTAATCTCAAAAAAAAAAGTATGTAACGGTATAGACTTCTAAAAGGACATTTTTTTTCCTCTAATGCGGACATTGCCTGTGTCAACACACCTTTTCCCATTGACCGTAGGAAATCACCCCATTTGTGAATTATAAAAGACATTCCATGAGGGGTACGTTTTTTTCCAGTTAAAAAAAACATTAACGCGTGACGAAGGTTGTCAACTAAAGACGAGAAAACAAAGAGCGATAAGAAACGCCGTTGTGTGCGTATTAGCAAGGTCGAAAGGCATGAGAAAAAGAAGGGATTTGGCAAAGTGCCAGCAGGCTGTGGATATCGGATTTTCGTGCAATGGAGATGTGTAGGTCAAGAATGGAAGTAGGGAAGAATGAATGGTGCAGGAAATGGACCGAAAAATTTTCGTGCGTCATTTTTTGAAGGAAAAAAGGTCTAATAGAAATTCTGGTAGAGGCTCACCTGTGCCGATTTGGCTGCTCATTCTGATCTGACGACAAGTGCACCAATCTCCCCGTGGAGGAACGTTGAGGCGGGCTCGGAGGGTCGCGAACTCGAACTCCCTCTTACACAACACAGACACAGCACAACACACCGCAAGGACAGTGAGAGGGCGTAGCTTCGACTGGCGCCGCCGCCACCAGCCTCTGAATCGATCTGTGTGTCGGTGTGTTTCACAGCTGTGCAGAAAATAACTGTCTCCCCCCCCCCCCCTTTCGTATGAAAATGACGATAAAATCCTATTGACAGGTGGTAAACAGTCGTAAAACGTATGTACACAGGTTGTACACTAGGGGTCTGCATTGTCATGCCGTCGCTGGGCAGCGGGGCGATGGCTACAACATGCGAGGTGTTTCGGCGACTTTCGGGGAATAGAAAGTGAGAATGTGATTTATTGACAAAATTTATTTATTTAATGTTGTTCTAAACAAATGTGCATCAAGAAAATAACATCCAAATAATTAGGACATGCCGAAAAGTTTTGAAGAAAGCGTCACATTGTCCCTGCTAGAAGTAGATATTCGTTCAGCTTCTTCGAGATGTAGAGATGCCTCTACCAAAATCCTCTTCCCTTACCCGAATGGAAATGCATGGGAAAGCAGAAGATACCAGGTATGGCTGACCGATCCACAGAAATCCTTAAGGCCAGCGGGAGAACAGAAAGGAGGGACCCACAGGAAGAGAAATATTAGCCGTTGATCTCCTTGAACGGCTTTCCCAAGTATAGAACCCTTCAAGCCTCTCGAAACACGGGGAAATATTAGGTTGGCTAAAAAATAAGTTCGGTCGTTTTTAGCAGTTTGCAAAATTGTCACAAACCAGTTTTTGTGTGTATATGTGGAACCGCTGGAAAGAGCAAATCAAGGAGAATCGAATGGTTAACTTTGTTTTCTCAAAAATAAGTTTTCTGATAAAGAAATGGTGAAGGAAAGAAAATTAGTCAGATTTTTTCCTCAAAATTTCGAAAAATCACGCTCCGAAAAACGAACTGAAGTCAGGTGTAAAGTGTAAATTCGTTACCCATACAACAAATTTTTGAATTTCAACCAATTGCATGGCCACAGATGGCCAAATTCGAGTTATCTGGAATGCCCAAAATTTGACCTTCACGCGCAAATACCTGGAAATTTTCACAATTTTGACTGCAGAAATTCGGAAACAGCGACTCACAATCTCTATTGTGGTTCGCCACCTAGCCAAAGGCTGTATGTATCCAGCCACCAAATTACTTGCCTGTGTACTCATCATTGCAGGCTGGGAACGAAAGCTGGAAAGTCAAAAAAGCGAATTTTTAGAAGTCTGACCATATAAGGCTATAACTGTCACTTTTGGTAACATGAAATCTTGTCTATTTGATATTTTTGAGAAGAGGCTTAGGGCTATCTTCTCACGAAAAATCTTAGCTGAAGAGCTGCTACCTGAATTGTTATGAAACTTTAAACTTGCATGTCAAAACGAACTTATTTATTAGCCAACCTAATAATACCGCAACAATTCAACAGCTCTGTATGCTACACTTTTCAATGAGTAATTCTTCAGGAATGTCTTGTTGGCACAAATGTTAGAGAGGTTCAGCATCGCATCACATATGTAGACACAATACATGTGATACTTTGAACATTCAGCAATAATCCTGAAAAAATGCGTTATAGGATTACACTTGATTCTATATTCTTACCTTACCTCGTATCTCTCCAGTCACTGCATCTAATAGTACCTATTCTTTTCAAATAGCTTCATCTCCTGAGCTCTTCCATACTGTACTATGTGAAACATGTAAAAATTCGGAATCTTCAAGCATGACCCTTGGATGAATTTCATTTCTAGAGTTTTGTACTCGTGAAAATGTTAAGAATTTTGTGCATAGCTCTTCATTTATTATTGGCTTGCGCTGACTCAACGTTTTCCATTTTTCCATGAAATTGTTTCCAAAGAACTCATAAAATGTCAAACAAAATCTGAAAAAATCTTCTTTTGTATTCCAGCCGGCGCAAAACGCTAAATATAATTGGATATAGTCTAGACAGATAGCGAATACTGATCTGATCATGTTGCTTTTTATCTCATCTGTAAAAACCCTCTAAATCGAAAATTTGCGAAATCTGCATCGCCTCTGTCACAGCCTAATACTCTCTGTAATTTGCGGAAGAATGTGGCTCGTTCTCCTCCTTCAAAATAATCGTGCTTGGACTGGCGACTAAAGAAAAGGGACCTATGTTTTCGATTCGCTAATATACCATATTGTGATTTTCTCCCAGAATCTCAATAATTTCTGTTGGTAATTGAGTGTGGTTTTGATATATCTAAAAAGATAGCTGTTTTACTTTTCTCTGAGTGAGCTACGAAATCTTCTTTTTTGACTTCGACTGTCTATTTACTGATGCTTTCAATGTTGATCTGGCATTCACCAGTAGCAATAAGCCAGTTTTGAAAAACTTCTAGCTATATAACCCAGACAGTTTGCCTCGCAAGTTTCGTTTATCTAAGCTGTTCTTTAGGCAAGACATTAGAAATCGCAGTGTGGTTTGTAGCTTCTTAAATTCACACTCTCATTTGGTTTCTTATTCTGAATAAATGCGAAACAGCAAACCTCCCCAAAAGAGTTAACAAGGTGACCAACAAATCTTGTTGAGTCAATATGTTGTGGCAATCTCACATATTCGTTTATAAGTGACTAGACTTACAATAGTATGAAGTTCTATTCATCTCATGACACAAAAGTGAGAGTCGCGGTTCTTGCTCAAATCAAATTGGGTTATACAGTGATGTTAAATAATGGCGTAACAACGAAATAATTGATAAATTTTTGCATTAGGTGTGGTACAGGATGTGATACAGAGTTCCAAATTTACTAACGATTCCATCTGAATGGTTTCTTTCGATGGAAGACCTTCTCCACATGATGCCGCTCTAGTTTTTCAAAAAAAGCATGTCGCCCGATTCATGTGACGTCAGCGTGGCCATATCTCGCTTCAGAGTGGACCAATTTTTGATCTAAAGACATCATTTGACTCGCTAGGGCGCTTCGCATATTCTGATACATGTTGTGCCTGTTTGGAGACAGTAGCAGGTCAGCTTTCAAGAATCATTTTAGATTTTTGCTTACGGTAGGTCGTCCAGTGAGTGCAATGAACAAGCACACGGAGTAATTCAGCGTAAGCAAAAATCTGGAACGATTCTTGGAATCTGGTCTCCTACTGTGTTCGAACAGGCACTTCCATGTACCAGTGGATGCGCCGCGCCGAGCTGAGTCGAATGGTGCCCTTGGATTAAAAATTTGTCCATTCTGAAGCGAGATATGGCCACGCTACGGTGATGTCACATAAGTCGGGCAACTTTGCGTCGTTTTTTGAAAAATACGAGCGGTATTGTACGCTGGATATATGAACGTATCACCGATATCATTACCGTAACCCATATGAACAGTCTTTTTAGGAATTTTGAGCAAATTCTTGAATTGGCCCACCTACTGTACACCCACCATCCCTGAATATGACACAACTAAACGTAAAAAAAATTATATGATCAACTCTGAATTACCTCGCTGGGCAAAGTTCTAGCGTAATCGACCGAGTTCTAGTGGTTCACTAATGTGTAATAGCTGCAAAGACATTTAGTGCTGACTTCTTTTCGATTAATACGATTTCTATTACTCCTATGACAGCTGTAAGAGTGCAATTTCTTTGCTTTGCGAGAAAAACTTTTCATTGAGTGGTGAAATTTCAGCTATGAAGAGTATGAACATTCACTGCAAGAGCGAAACTGCGAGGCTATTAAGATAAGAACAATGGCGAGTATTGCTGGAAAAGCACGTTTTGCTTGCTTTTTCATTTTTAGGCGGCCATTCATCGTAGCAACTTTTATCAACCCAATTGTAAAAGCAATGTGATAACTAGAGTAAGATATTTCTTCCATACAAACTTGAGACGATTAATCTTAGGCGACACATGACAAGCGCCTATCAAGTTTGTTAGACGAAAACAAGGTGTTGAGAGAAGTGTAAGAATGTGACAGCTGAAATGTGAGCAGGTTGTCACCTCAAAAATTAACCGCAGCGATCTTTGTGATACTTTTTTGAGCGAATAGAGTGATTTAACTTTCGAATTCAAGTACTCTTAATGATCTACAATATTATTTCCATGCGCAAGCAACCTCGGTGTAGTCACGTGGGTTGACGAATTGACCAACCCTGAGGTAGGAGAACGAACGCCGCCAGTTTGAGCCGCTTTTCGCGGCCAGCTGGTAATTTTGCAGTATTGTTGTGTCATCCCAGGGCCAATATTCCGTGGAGGCGGTCGAAACTGAAGGCGTTCGTTCCCCTACTCCAATGGCCGCAAGGAGCTCCCGGGAACCACACATGCGAAACGCAATCAACTTGAAGCACCGCCCATTTTCATGCCACGTTAAAGTATCGTGCCAAGACCAATTCTGGGTAAGATCCGAATTCCCTTTTTTGTGGTGCCGAAAAAGCAGTATAGCGGTGATTTACCGTTACAACTTCCTTTGTTTTTGCTGTCGGAAACGCTGGAGAAGAAGCGTTTCGGAGCGAGAATTGAAGTGAAAATTTCTGCTAGATTTCAAAAAATCACAGACGTTCTTTCTCTGAAGTCGCTGCTATCGAAGATCGCTCGCGTATAAAAATAATAGCGTCGATCCATGAGGCGACTTAGCTTAGAGCATTACTACTTACTAGTATTACTCTATTCGCTCAAAAAAGTTTCGCAAAAATCGCTGTGGTCAAGTTTTAAGGTAACGACCCTGCTCACATCTTTGTTGTAACATCCTCGCATTCTTAAACTTTTTTGGACACTTGTTCTCGTCCAGCAAACTTGTTTTACAACGTCTGACACATATTTTTTGAGAGTTACTTAAATACATGTATAAAGATGTGTAAGTGACTTGAAATAATTGTAAATGATTTAAATGATTTAAAGAATTTGGAAATTTGAATTAACCTTGTAAAAAAATTTTAATTGCTGCGCCATGCCCGTTTTTCCCAGTTTTCGGAGTTGTGGATGCGCAAATTTTGGGAATCATCGCAAAAATTTCCGAAGCTCTTGACCACTAATGAGACATCTCCTAGCGCCTTATTAGAATAATAGACGAAGAGTGTACATACGTGAACAGGTAGAGCTTCCTAGAAATTTAAATGCTGAGTTTTTTCCAGGTTTCTAAAATTATAGATTTTATTTCTAACTCAGGGTGGAACTACAATTGTGCAAAAGTTTGGATGTCACTTTGTAGAGCTTGCTTTGCTCTATCGAAAATCGACCTGCCGCTTTTTTTGTCATTTCCGACGTGTGTCAATGGTCGGATGACTCTGTGATAGACGAGGTCGTCTGAACGTTTGTGCGTCTCAGCTTACGCAGTTTTCCACAGATATATATCAACCTTAGTACAGCTCTATTATGCTCATCTTGCGTGAGAACACTAGTGTTTCGTAGATTGTGTCTCTCGAGCCCATTGGAGAGACAAAAACAACTGATGCGTGCTTAGTTTTTCACACAGCTGTCCAGTTAAAGAGATTATCGAAGGATGCGAAGTCATTAGCGAAGTTGAGGACTGTTAAGAGCAATCCTGCTAAGCTGTTGGGATCTTGAGGAGGTTGCTTCTAAGCCAAAGCCTTTTGAGGGGAAGAAAAGAGAACTGGAAGGAGAATATAGAAAAAGGACGACTAGTCTCTTCGAAAACTCTGGACAAAATACATACCGTGGCTCGAAAATTTTCAGGAAAAAGGGAAAGCTATTTGGGAAAAGTTGGGGCCTGGAATTTTTCTCTTCCTCCGATTTCTAGTTTTTTCCGCACTTCTTTTCGAATTTTTTTCGCACTACATAGACAATCCACATGATGTTCAAAGTCAGTCATTTTGATTTTCGGCATGACTACTAGTGATTATCCTTACACCCTTTCCTACCCCCCCTTTTTTTTTTACAGTCATTGTCCAAGTATGTCAAGATAAATCAGTTCATTTTTCGAAGCATGGTCACTCACAGTTCAATGAGTGCCAAATGTTTTCAAAAATTTTGAACAAGCGAAGACATATAAAAGAATCAGTGGCGGACGCAGGATTTCTGTCCAGGGGGGAGGAGCTGCAAAAAAATTTCGAATGAAGGTGCACGGCTAGCTACGCTCCGAAAAATTCTTTGGGATGCTTTTAAACATTTTTACAGAATGACCCCGAAAGTCAAAAAATAATTTTCACAAGGCTAATTTGAATTTTCAAAACATTTCAAAACTTACTTTGGTCATTTACAAGTAACAAGTAACTTGCACATTTTTATAATCCATGTAAGTAATTTTCAAAAATTTCGCAACCCATTCTCGGGGGAGGGGAGGGGGCACTGATAAGTACTATATTTTTCACGTTACATCTTGTCTAAATTGTTCAGGTTGCTTGAATTTTCCGGCCCTTATATAAAATTATAACTGACGTGAAAATAGCTTTTAGACATCTTCATTATTCGTCACAGCTTTTAGACATCTTTATTATTCGTCACAGTTATTCTTCGCATAGTATGTAGTGATAACATTCGCATGCACTTTTTTGAATGACTAATGGGCAACTGTACAGTTTTCCCATCTTATGGTCATCAATGCCGATTGTAAAATGCAGCTCATCAATCATCGCTGAGTAGCCGAACGATGTTACGTAGCATCGCTCAAGGTATGATAAAAACAGAAACTAGGGATCTCAAGTAGACAAAGAGGTAGGGTAGTTGGTACCTTTACGACCGTTAATAAATCATTCAAAAATTATATCTTAGCAAATCCGCTGAAAGAAATTATTGTAGATACCATGAACTGACTGATCTCTCATTCCGGCTCCATTGGTTCTGCTGAATGGACAGGTAATGTGCCTTATTAACCATGCAAATATTTTTTTAATAATTTTATACGCAGCTGCAGACACTGTGCACTCAATTCGAGTCCCTTACTGTACTCCTTGGCCGTTGTAAGCATACCTTCGATACATAGAGCCACATACTCTGGAAACCTTCACTTTGAGGGCTATGAGGGGACACAACCTTCACCTGGGAAAAAAACAGAAGTCATCCGGGGCGAAGCCCCGGATGTTATTATCCTGACTATATCGGAAGAATGTGAATGAACCAAATATAAAAGAGAAGATCTGAAGAATATCTCAGCGAAACCGAGAAATTGCTTTTTTAAAGCACGCTGAAAAGAGAATTTTTGTGAAAGTTTCCTCACACTTCAGGACAACGTTCCTCAATTAGCCTCTTACTTGACCAAAAATAAGTTTCAAAAGTTTGGGAAAGCTGTTGGAGTTGAATGAAAACGAGAACTGCGCTTAGATGTGCGCAGAGAGTCGCGCACGAAAATGCTGGTCTATCTCGTTAGTAAGTGGCTTTTAAAGCTTGGGGTGTTGTCAGCTTTCCTCGTCGTGTCATGACGGTCAGAATGATATATAATGTTACAGGGTTTCGTTGAGACCCCGACGAGACCTATGACCAGAGCCAAATGCCCCGTCGGCTCTGGTCTGTCTCCGCTGCTCGTCTGCGCCTCCGCGCGCTGCGCGCTACCTCGCTACCCCAAACGCGGGGCGCGGGGCATTTGGCTCTGGTACCCTTTTCTCCGCTGTTTCGAATCCAATTTTGACAAGCTATATATCGTTTTGAAGCTCTTGATCTCTATTTTTACGCTGACAACGTCCCAAAATCACGTTTCTTAATTTGAACGAGAAATCCGGCAAAAACCTTGTTTTCGAAAATCTCTTGTCTTCCTCCTAGTTTGACTCTTTTCACGCTGTTTTTTCGTGCATTCTATAGATCTTGCTTCTGTTCATAATGCAGACAACCACCCAGCCTCTATCTCTTCGATTATTGTGGGATTTTTTGCGAAAAATCGTAAAAAGTGCGTTTTTCTTTACCTTGTTCTGTTTCAGTGCTTTCGCATCGATTTTTTTCCAGCTTGGGCGATTGTTGCTCAGAACGATAAGCGCAACAATTCAGACAACGTCCCAGGAAACAGGAACGGTAATGCGGGGGTAAAAATTCAAAGGACGCATCAAAAATCAAAACCCCGTGTTGCGAATTGCTGGTCCTGAAGCGAAATCTGCATCTTGAAAAGCCGCCAAATGAAAGATTTCAAGCCTCATTGCAGCGTTTTTATCCGGTTTTCAGCCGTTTCTTTTGCTTTTTACATCCTTTTTACGTCATTTTCTCATCTCTGATCTTCTTTGGACAACCCTCACTATTTATGACGTCAGATGTTCAAACAACCTTCACTTTTGACGCCCTGTCTCTAGACTATCGAAGGTATGGTTGTAAGTCTAGATATTCTCACTGCATTCAAATAACGACAGATTTTGTGTTTTTTTATCAGGAGAAAGAATTTGATAAATACTGATTAGGAACACAAGAAATTCAATTCCTTTTTGTTCATTTTCTACACTATTCGGTATCGGGGCTTAGAACAATACCGGTAGAGCAACTTTCTTGGTGCCTCTCGTCAGTAGTTCCCAAGATCTTCAAAGTTATCAAAATTCAAAGTCAGAAATCAAAATGTTTCTCTCACTACCGTGACAAACAACCAAGGAAAGGACGCTAAAAAGCACTTACCTTGAAGAGCGTCCCTTTGGACATTTGAGTTCCAGAATGGGACGCGCTGTGCATTGTGTGCAATCTCACATGATAACCTAGAAATTGACTGGAGAAGAACAATTGTGAACGAATACGAATTTGAAAGCTGCCTTTTTTTTCAACATCATTAGGTGAAAAAATAATCTTGAACTAATGTAAACATCAAAAACATCCTTCTCAGTTTATGCCATCAAAGGAATCACTGTTTATTTTGTAGACAAGGTCAATGCGACTTGAAGTCATTGATTATCGATACAATTTTCGGACCATTTCAAATCTAGCTCCTTAGATTATCAAACAAGAATTTATACCTTTTATTAGTAATAAGGTCCGCTGCAAAATTAATGTTCAGGCTATACCATCAAGGGGGTCATTGTCCAGCATTCAGCAATTATTTGCATGTGCTTTGCCCACAAAGAATTTCAGGGCATATTTTATCATTTCAGTTCACAAGAGCCAAAATCACTCAAGACGTTTAGAACTAGGTCACAATTATCGACCAATGACGTCAAGGGTAAAAAATGACGTCATTCGAATCAGACTTTGGTTTTGTCACTTTGCAGGTTTCCTCTTTATAAAATAACTGTAATAAGTCCATTTAACCATGTAATCCGGCCAACTCTACTCTTTCAAATACTGCGATGGAAAGGTAAGGTTTTTCTCCCTTCAAGTTTTGCGAGGCACGTCATAATTTTACTTTAAAATCGATAAACAAGTTTCCCATACTATAAATCTTTCTTTCCCAGTCTCGTTCACCGACAACTACGCACTAAAACTTTATTGCTTGATAAATTTCATTCTGCTAGTCATTTATCATATGGTCCACTGATCTCTTGGAGCGGGAAGTGGAAGAACTACAATATGATGAAAAGTATCTTCGATGATTGGTGTGTGGGGACATCCGGTGTTGAATCTTCTAATAGCAAAGTATTTCAACATGTAATTTTGTCCAACCTCCAATCTAAAACAATCCGATTTTGCTATATACCCTTCTCAAATTGATGATTTTTTCGCCTTTCTACCGCCTCAGAATTTGAGGTTGATTAAAAGATAACAAAGAACACCCGATGAGCAATGTGATTTATTATTAGTCGGGTCGCGATCGTGATCTTTGGGGCTATATACATGCAGCAATGGGAGAGTGACACCGGCTTGGGACCGGCGGCGAAGCGGCTGAGGACGAGGTCCTCACACCAATCCGCTGAGTTAGTAACCAGGTGGTGTGCGTGGCTCGGGGCAGTGCTCACATGAGCCTTCCTCTCCTGAAAGCGATAGTTTGAGTGAACTCATTCGAAAAAGTTGTAGTCGAAGAGAAAGACTAACCAGGTGGTCCAGGAGGTCCGGGCGGTCCTTGTTCTCCTGGTCCTCCGGTGGCTCCTGGTGCTCCCTGGTCACCAGGAGGTCCTGGTTCACCTTGTTCGCTAGTTCCGTCAGGTCCTGCGGGTCCTCTCTCTCCTGGTGGTCCCTTTGGTCCGTCTGGTCCAGAAGGTCCTGCGGGTCCGTTTACTTGGACGACACGACCTGGCTGTCCAGGTGGTCCTGGTGGTCCCGGTTCTCCAACAATTCCTGGTGGTCCGGGAGGTCCAGCCAATCCTGGCTGACCGGGAGTGCCATCAGGAGCGCGCTCTAGTGATTTGCCCTTGGGTCCGGGTGGACCCTTAGGTCCTTGCATTCCTACGGCTCCTTGATTTCCTGGTGGGCAGATGATGCATGGCTCGGCTGGTGGCAGAGCCGAAGTGAGCACAGAACCTTCTTTGCCTGGTGCTCCTTGCATGCCATGTTGTCCGTCATTTCCAGCTGGTCCCTCGTCTCCAGGTGGACCTGGTGGTCCAGCCGGTCCTAGAATACGAAAATAAGACCCATATCTGTTAAACGTCAAAACTCCTACCTTGTTGGCAAGGACAGCATGTTGGTCCAATGCTGTCAGCGGAAACAGATCCAGCAGCGCCGCTGCCATAAGCGCTACCGCCCCCTCCTCCGCCATGGACGCCACCACCTCCCCCACCTCCTCCGCCACCTCCTCCACCACCGCCGAGGGGTGCACCGACATACTGGCCGCCTCCGCCAGAGCCTCCATCGGGTACAAACTGTCCAAACAACCAAGTTCCAGTGGCCTCTCTCTTTGATCGGGGTACACCCGACTTATGCAGGACCTGCATCTCCACCCACATGTCGCGCGCTCTGGTCTGGAAAGTGTAAAATTAACTAAAGCGCAAAATCTCCGGCAGTTCAAACAAACCTTGCAGTACTCAGTTTCTACGATGAGATGACTTTGGAATGACTGCACATAGCTGTAGAGCATCGGCAAGGTCACGACACTGGCGATCACAGCTGCGGTGGAGATGACGACAGCGAAGAACGCGACACGCCGCATTTGGCGCTGCTCCTCCGTCTCCTTTTGATCCATGGTGCAGACCTGACGGCTAATGCGACCAGCTTCGTCGTTTTTATATGCTCGACCTCGAGGCGAACCAGTGAGATCGAGAATAACTGGTATCCGCGGGATTCGCGTCCGCCCATACAATGTCCCGGAAAGTGTCGCTGATAATCTCCACGTTAGCGCGGGTGAAAGTGAAGAACTCGAGTAACGATTGATCAAAGATTTTAGCTGGCCAACTCTTATAGGATGCGAAAATCTGAGCGATTTGGGCCTCACACCAATCCAAATTCAAGCCAGTTTCTCCATTAGGCCTCCTTTCGATAAAATCCCCTTCCAAAAACTCCTGGAGCTTTTTTCTGAGCTTTACATTATATTCACTGTCTAATACCTTGATATCCAATGAATAAAAAGCCAAATATAAATTTTCAATTTAGGTGAGTGCTAGTACTTTGAATATCAGCCTAAAAGATAACTACATGTTCGTTAAATACGCTTTATACGCTCAACGGAATCCTATTTCAAACTATGAAAAATCGTCGATGAGATGAGCACAAGATGAGCATTTCGCAATATTTGTATTTAAAATGGCGTGACTTTGCGCAGAATCGAACTTTTGGGACTCAACAATCATTGCTTCCAGCCGAATTTGGCTATCACAAGCGCAATTGTTGACAAATCTTTCCGAAAGGCTATCTCCGAAGGATGGCTTATTGGGTTCATAGGAGTTAATTAGTAAGTCCAACCCAAATACGTTTCAGTAGAATTTTCGCACCGACAAATCGAAGGTGGAACAGAAAAAATCGTTTTTGATCCTTTACTTCAGCATGAAATTCTTTATTTTGCACATTTTTTCTATATTCATAGAAACAAAGAACATGTAAACTGGTTCTTGCTAACACTAACGTACTCTTAAGCTCCAAGTAGACTACTTGTTTTAGGCTATCATCAGTTTACTGTGCTAGCAGTCTATTTTTGTAGAAAAAAAACTTTATGTTAATTTGACATTCACAGATTGGAGATTTGCATGTCCTCGCTGATTTGAATGGAAAATTAGGCTTGTGGTAAAAGTCCAAGAAAAGCGATACATAATCGTGTGACTGCTTTCAAGATATTTCAAGTTTCTAAGAACGATCGATTTGAATGTAGACCAAGGAAAATCGCTCGTTATTTCGCGTCAAGCTAAGGTACCAATTCCCACACCCTAACGATAAAGGAATTGTGGAAACTTTCCATCAACGAAGCATTCGACAGAAGTGAGATATGGATATCCCTTGACGTAATTTTTCATGACGATATTTTTGGTGTCTTTGCACTTCTTTATAAATTATGCTTTTTGATCAGCTAACCTGCGTTTTAGTCGGATCTAGTCTTTATTTTTATGCTTTACTCTGCTCTATGTTATTGAGGAAGGCTTAGACTTTGACCTGCAAATGTTATTCTTATCACTTAACCATGACTGATATTTAGCAATACTACCAATTTACTCGTTTAATTTGTTGCATTCTTTCACTGACCAACCTTTGACTAAATTATGGAAGTGATAACGACTTCACTCTCGAAACCGGTAGCGTGGACCGGTTCTGCATGCGATCTCTTCTGCGAGGTGTCTCCCCATGAGAAAGAGAACTGGGGGTAATTTCTGCCTTCAAACAAGTAAGAGCAACATTTATATTGCACATTAGAGAACAATAAATTAGTCTAAACGAAGTAAGAACTCCGTTGTCTTGTCGAATCAATAGCCAGGAGGAGTACGAGGAGTTGGGCAGTGGAAGCAATCGCCATCGGCTCCCTTTGATCCGAGTGGGCCTTGCACTCCAGGCTCTCCCTTGCGTCCAGAACGTCCCTTCTTGCCCTGGTCTCCAGGTGGTCCCTGTGGTCCGGGAATAACGGATCCAACACGTCCCTTGGGTCCCTGCTCTCCCTTGCGTCCAGGTGCTCCAGGTGCTCCTGGTGGTCCTGGTGGTCCGTTGACATTGATAACGTTTCCATCTTCTCCCTTCTTTCCCTTTGGTCCGCGGACTCCGGGCTCTCCCATGGGTCCAGCTGGTCCGACCATACCAGGCTCTCCACGGCGTCCATCGATTCCGGAAAGACCGGGGGTTCCGCGGGGTCCTTGGGGTCCCTTGGCTCCAGCGTTTCCGATTGGTCCGGGTGGTCCAGGTGGACAGATGATGCAAGGCTCGCTCTGGAGACCATCGCTGGGCTCGATGCCACCGTCTTTGCCGGCTTTGCCGTCGTCTCCTTGGTCACCGTCTTTACCGTCCTTGCCTCCGTCTCCGGGAGGTCCTGGGGGTCCAACAGGCCCTTGCTGGCAGGTACAGCATTGTGGCTCAGGCTCAGCGTTAGCAACAGGTCCGTAGCCGTTGCTTGGTGGGGGTGCGCCATATCCGGGCTAAATAGTTTAGTTGCAGAAGGGGGAAGCCTTTTTGAGGGGAAAACAATCAAGGCTGGAAACTATTGGATTCTCACCTCCGACTGTCCTCCATATTGACCAGCATCAGCACCACCTCCGGCTCCACCATCGGGAACCCACTGTCCGAACAACCATCCTCTCTTGGCACGTCCCTTAGGAGCCATCTGGTACATGCTAACGAGCATGTCGCGAGAGCGCAACTATAAGGCAGGTTTTCTGATGAACATTAGAAGACCACCGTTTGAAGGACTCACGCGGCAGAAGTCGGTCTCGGAGTTGACTTGACTCTGAAGAGTCTGCACATAGCTGTACAGCATAGGTGTAGTGATAGCCGAAGCAATCACGGCAGCTGTGGAGACAGCTACAGCCACGAAGGCGATCGAGCGCATACTGTAACAATAAACTTGTGTAAATACAAAATAAAAACGAAGTATTGTTTCTATAAAGATTGAAAAATTACCGCTGGTTGTCCTCCTTGCCCTCCATGGCGTTAGCAAAGCAGACTGCCGAATTGAGATAATTCAGTCCTTATATACGGACAGGCCGGCATTGTCCTTGGGATATGGGTCGAGATCCTGTGCGCACAGCAAAGGCACGACGATAAGGGATATGCAAATGGCCAAATATACGCGATAAGCGGTCATCATACGGTAGCCGAGTCGAAGAGAGGATAGCACTACAGATCATGCAATTATAACAAGAAGAAAATTTTTGTGCGAGTCCTTCTCTCACGGGTGTTCATGTCTTGGAACAGTTGCATACATAAAAATCATAAAAATTCAAATTTACTGTGAAAGGTCGTTCACATAGTCTACAAACATACGCTTCCTGACAATAGGATCTCTTGATGCCTACCATGAATTCCTCCGAATGTCATAAAAAGTTAGCTCATTTCACGAAAACTTCGGAAAAAATTTGCTGCATCAAGCAGTATTTTTTAGCATAGACACTCACTTCTCAGTTCGATACAAACTAAACAATCATCGTGCGTGATATAATCTCTCTAATTGTCTTCTATCAAATTATCTACATAATTAGTGTCCGAATATCTGATTAATCAGCAAGAATGGAGATCCTCAGCTCATCCAATTTTCGGTATTTAATCGCCTTCTTGAGGAAAATTTTCTTTTTCAGTGAATGCTCGGTAATTCAGTTTCTATCTGGGTCCTGCACTTAGGACTCCAACACTTCTTTCTGATACCCTTTTCCGATACATAAAATACTATGACTGTAATTCTATACTTGCAAATCCGACGATATCGCTGTATGTCACAGTATCCGTTAATGAATCTCCGATTAGCCGAGATGATTGCATGGCCAGCAATAATAGGAGCTCACGCTATGCCGCGAGTGGTGGGAGGTTTTGGAAAGTTCGGTTCATAAACCGAGGAGCAAACGTTTATCATCATGGTTCTTTAAGTTGTTGGCATGCTGATTAGTGCAATGAAAAAAAAAATGATGAATGTGTCCTCGAGTCATTTGTAATTTGATATGCGTGTTGCACACAATGTGCACTACTTGACGAACTTGTTGGATTAAGATCTGCTTATTTTAGCGATTTTTATGTTTCCTTGCTCCTTTTGGTTTTGATTGGATATGTACTAGTTGATAGAACACAATTTCACAGTTTGTTACGCTACAAAAGGTTATACTGAGTAGTTTCTGGTAAAGATGCCGTCGGTCGCCATGCGTTGTGTGCGGGCTCACATATTAAGTTACAATGACTCAACGATAAGTGTTTCAATGTCTGCAAGTTCAACAATGCTTTATCAACACTATGTACAAGCAAATGTTTTGGCTACTCCAAATTGACCTGGTGCGCTTTGGCCCATTTTCGTATTGTAGAAGAAACAAAATCTGCTTGTGGATGATTTCCTCGATCGAGCAGTTGCAGAATCTCCGACATTTGCTCGCTATAAGAAAAATTTTGTCCTGACACCTTGAAAGAAAAAGCACACTTTCATGAGCATGACCTCTCTTGTAAATGTTTTAGTGCGTATCAATTTCTTACGAATTTCCTTTCACATTCTGTTCAAATTTGATTACAGGCATATCTATTAGGATGATGCAAAAATAATGGCCGATTTTCCAAGCCTTTTTTCACGGCAACTTTTTACCATCAATACTTTTTCTTTACGATAGGTGGCCCTATCTAATGGCGTTTGAAACGGACTTTCGTCCTCATCTATTATAAAGTTACTGAGCTTCAAACAACAGCATCCAAATCGAGAATTTCATTGCATTCAGTTTTCTGGTCAGAACACAAACGCGTATCAATGGCATTCCTTCGAAATTTAGCTTCACTGTATTCCTTGAAGTTATCCAGACTGAGATATCGGCGCCTAAACATGGGTAGCTGTTGCGGTCATTTTATGACCCATAATTATCTTCTGAAGAAGTCAATCGCCGAAGTTTTGCTCATTTCTGTAAGCGTAGGGCTAGGACATCCAATTAGCAGTTTTTGCAAAAACATCCAGCTGTTCAGTAGGTAGAAAATCAGAAAATTCTATCTTTGTGACTTTGAGGCAGACTGAAAAAATATTGGAAAAGGTGTACTACTTCCGGCTACAAGATAGGCCACCTATCATTCATACTAACAAACTTTGAAGGATGTTAGGAATTGTCAAAAACAAGGTTCTATCAGAAGAACCTTTTTTGTCAATCCATATTTTTCTATCAGTTCGTGATATGAGTATAAGTGCAGAAGGTTTGCTGCTTTTGATGATCATTACCTCATTCGGAAAGGTGGATCTTTCACAAAGTTATAGCACGTTAAAGTGAGAATTCCCAAAACGGCCATTATTTTTGCTCCAACCTAATATTTTTCGTTCGTGAGTTTCAACTATAGTCAGGAATTTTACTAGACACACAAAATTGCCCAATGTTTGAGAGATCCTTACAGGTAAATAAGTCGCGTATTCTGAGGAATCTAAAAATATACAATAAAACTAAAATCTTTCTCACTTTGTAGCTCTTCCTTGCACAAGCATCTTGAAAAGACCGCTGGTAGCTCCTCGCTTTCCTTGCCAGTTTTCAGGTGAAGGATCAATCTTCTCCAAACCATCAAAAGCCTTCGCAGCAAAGTAAAATTCGCCAACCTGAAAGAATGCTTATGACTTCTCGTAGAGGTTTTTGAAAAAAAAATCTGAGCAGGTTTGGAAAATGATGTCTTACTGAGTAGCAGTCCATAGCGATAATTCTCAGGATATTAAATGATTCTTTTGGATCTGTAGACCTTGTGTAAATGTCCCATGCGAGCTGTGGTTTGTGGTTCATGATAACTGAATTTCATATCATCCACATAATCAAAATGAAACCTTTGACTTACAAGTTTTAGTTAGCATAAATTTATATGTTGGTTTGTCCCTGTCTGGACCAGTGATAGCCAAAAAATGTTCTTCAGCCTCTTTCCACATTCCGCACTGCATCTCTGTTTGAGCGATATTGAAGGAGAACACGTCGTCATTGTGGTGGTAAGCCTGAACGAATAGTGTTTTGAGAAGTGTAAAGTAAAGATGTGCCGTCACCTGGATTGAGTTCAAATAGACTAGAGCGTCTTCATATTGTCCACTGAGGAAGAGCGAACAAGCCATGCTCTGGCGCCCGGGAATTGTATCTAAAATTGGATATGATTACATAAAAGTAATAAATTCTTGCAACCTTCCACAGATGGGTCCGCCAAAAGCTTGGATTTTCAAATTGAGATTTATTTGATCCAATCATAAAATTACAAGAAAATAGAGCTTTTGTGCTTTCGTCAAAAGCTCTTAAAAGGAATGTTACCAACTTGATTTGGTGATTGAAAAGAGGTATCTATATCATTAGACGCGTCTCATTCCAAATCTGCTTTCTGTTTTTGCGGAAAAACACTCCGAAAGGAGTTATGAGTTTTGGACCTCCAAATGTCAAGCTTTAAGTAGCATAAAGCAGGCGAAAGGTTCTTCAAAAACACCTGAAGGTGGGTTGTCTAGAATCTTACACATAAGTCCGCTTTTTTCAAATAAATCCTCCCTATAAACCCTACAGATAAGTCCTTTTTCCATTATCACCACGCTAAAATCCTCTCAGGTAAGTCCGAATACTGTCAGATAAGTCAGGCCTTTTCTGGAACGGACTTATCTTATGGAAGGCCTTATATGTGATATTTTAGGGAATCAATTTTGTTGGGTAATCAAGAGTGGAAGTCCGCACAGTGTCTTTGCAAAGCTTTTCGCTAATCTTTTGCTACTTGAAGCTTGACAAATTTGGACATCCCAACGATTTTAGGGTAATAAGAGAATAAGGTACGAGATTGACATGAATATCATAACAATCTGGCTTATTTCAAGCTACTTATGGGATATTTTCGATACATAAATTGAGGGGAGCAAAAAATCTTCGCGCAACTGGTCGAACTAAGGTCTGCACAAAAATAGCACATTATTGCCCCAATTTAAATGCTTGAACTTCAATTTATTCTAACTCAGTTTCTGAATAAAACTCTTTTATCCTCTTCGTACCAGTGTTCTACTTCTGAAAAGAGCAAAAACCGGATGTATCCTCAGTTCTAGAAATGTGAGTCAACTCTGTTCTATGCGCATGAGAAAAGCATAGTATAATCAGGAAACAAATATCGTTTGAGTCTGAGTAATCACTGCTATACCCCTAATTTTTTTGTCTTAAAGAAAAATCAAGTCTAAACACTTTCCCAGGGTGCTTTCTCACTTCGGCTTTTAAGTTCAAATTATAGCAATACCTGTGTCATAAGGCGACTCTCCGACCATCTTGAAAAACTGCTCAGCCGTTTTGAGATGATCCTTCTGCAACCAGTACGAGTTATCTACCTTAGCATATCAAGGCATTACCCACCGAATCTTTCAATTGCCCCCAGTAGGCAAATGTAATGGCTTTGACAAGAAATTCTGTAGTTGACTGGGGTTCCAAGTCGTTGCACAAAGTCATGGCGCTGTCAACGTCTTCTAGATGGATTGCAAAATGATCTTGAATTTTAAGATAGATCCAAAGATTTTGATCACCTCTCTTGAGGTGATAAAGGATGAGATTCACTCTTGCTTCGGGCAGCGTATCCATTAGTCCCGGAAAGACTTGCATAGCACCGTCTCCATCTTTGAATACTACCTGGATACATTCACTTGTTCTTGGTCCTTTAACAACTTCTCACCAACCGTGTTATGACGCAAAAGGTCCGCAGCAGCTGGATACAAGGTCGCCTTCTGGAGCACTTCCACTTCTGGCTAGAAATCCAAAATTTTTTCCACTATAGACTCTCTAGTGAAAAAATCTCAAAAATCACCAAAGCTGCTTTTCCATTGTAAGTTTTGAAGGTTATACAAGCTTTGAGGTTGAGCGCTGCAGGGCTGTCAGGATATGATCTAAGGTATACTGCCAGCACTTCCTGGAATAATCACATCGTAGTACCTAGTGTGTTACAATCAGGGCTCGGCACTAGGTGGGTAGTTGAAAATGCAAAAAACGAAGTCCCCCTTGACTTTCACGAATTTTTACAAATTCCCCTTTGACCCTAGACCATAACCCTCAAAAAATCTCCAAAAAACAAAATGTCGATTCAAAAAACGTCGCAAATTTTGTGATTCCTTTTGTTTTTGTTCAAAAACGATATCCAGCTTGCTTATAAGCCACCTGTGCCAAGCCCTGATTACAATCCTATTTGCAGACTAACTGAAGCAAAAATTAGGGTTCGGCCTACCTGTGCTACATCAAAGTAGTCCATTTTGTAATAACACATCGCCATGTAAACATTGAGAGCAATCATATTTCTGGAAAAAGGCAAAAATCCACTTTGGACAAGTTCAAAAATATTTAGGTTTTTCTAAGAAAAATCTCATGGCTTACTCACGTATGCTCCTGTAAGATTGACTTATAGACTTCAATGGCTTCTGTATAATGCATTCTCATGTAGTGTATCGATGCCAGTGACAGCTGATCTTCGAGGATATTCTGCTAATGAGAAACTTTGTTGTTTTTTAAGTGTTAGACTCAAATCAATTGGCATGAGCAAGCGAGCTAATAAATACAATGTTCCTTATCGTCAAATGCTTCGTAATTCATTTTCGAAAAGTGATGGTTGTTTTTATTAGGGTGAACGGTAAAAATGGGGCACTTACGAAATAACTGGAGGTTTTTCAAATAAGAGAAGTGATTAGAATTTCCGATTTTGAAAGATGTTAGAATATGTTATTATCTTTCAGACTGCATGAGGTTCATTTACATAATCAATCATTTTGTACTTGCTGAAATGTAAAGTTAACCACTTCGACAAATTATGAACTTTAAGCAGTATCTGCGCAGTGAAACATGCGAGACCATCCAAAGTACCACTGCTGCATTAGGTAAAGATATAGTCACCAAACCCACGACGGCTTCCTCAACTTTCAAAGTCAAAAGATATGGCCATTAGCAGCCTCGAGAACGAAGATACGCGTTGTTCAATTCTTTGCAGGTGAACGCATGTTTTCTAGGTACCATTTGAGAGAGCATCTATCTTCGAAAAATATGGGGCAAAACATAACTGGTTTTTTATTGCGAAAAAAATTGCTATTTTTCAGGTTTTTTCGCTTTTTTTCTGAAATTGAAAAGAAATCTCATGCATTTAACATATCGTTTAAAAGAACATGAAAAGCTCTTTCGAATATTATGTCGTTTGCTTTGCACTTTACGGTATAGCAGCGCAAGATTGTTGTTCAAGAAACCCTGTCTGAGTTCTTCACGGCGCCACGCGTACGTTTATGAGAGAGGAGCGGTAACGCGTTTCTAGAATAATAGGCGAAGGTCGATTGCGTAAGCGACGTTTGAGTTGCAGCCTGCTTGTTGTTGGTGAGAACAAAAAATCTCAAAATGTAGTAAAAAGGAAGCTGCCCCATTTTTTAACGTTCAGCCTAATATTCCGTACCACAAGTATCAAGAAGAATAGCTAGATACTTGCCCGACTCATGCACTGAGCGATGCAATTTTATTTGCGCATTTCTTTGCAGGGTTTCTGACAAAAATTTATGTTTATGGACTTGAGCGCAACGCATCCGCGCTGTCTCTTCCCCCCCCCCTCCCTCTGATATCGGGAACCGATACTGGCTTCGCAGAGCTTCCTCAGATTTTTTCTTATGCCAGATATTCGTAATGTAGAACCATACTTATGTAAAAAATGCTAAGTATTTACTTGCGGAATTTTTGAAGATATTTGTCTTCGAACATGGCAATACCATAAATTTTTTCTGACAGCAGACTTAGACTGCACGATTAATCACCCAAATTTGAAGAAATTTGACTTTAAGGTTTAAGGCCTTGGGCATACTTCACGCGATTTTAGTTGCGACGCGATTTGGAGATATTCCAAATGTTTATAACTCAGTGGACGCATTCTAAATGTGGGAAAGTAGGGAATTATACCAGTTTATGAGAGTTATACTGGCTATGCGTTTGTAATTTGCCAGTGTTGAATTTGAAGAAATTTGGCAAATTGACGACTGAAATCGCGTGAAGTATGCACGAGGCCTAAGAGAAGTTTCGGATTCGTGAGATCTGAGGCAACCTGTGGCCGTTTTCATCAACGAACCCTCGAGGTTAAAAGTTACCTCAGCTAGCATTTTAGTTTATAACCCGTATTCACAACATGATCGCAATGAAATTCTCTCATGGGTTAAGTCTACCTTGAGGTAGAAATGAACCTTTAAACGTAAACCCGTATTCATCATTCTACCTTGAGGTTGAATTTTACCTCAATCATCATTTCTCCACCAACTTTCTATTATGCATCCAAGGTAGAATTTAACCCTAGGATAGCTAGGGTTAAAATCTACCTTGAATCTGCACATAAGAGTTGAACTCTTTATAAGGACCTCCTTCATTCTAATTTCTGAGGACCTTATTCTGACGCAACCGTTTTCAAGGACGAATATATATATATCAATACTAGCTCAAATTTCACTTGTTTACTTACAAGGAAACCTTTTTTTGTCGAAGTTACCTTTTTAGATGGGAATGTATAAGTTTAGCAGAAAACATTTCAAATCTGTCTTTTTATTTGTGGAACTTCCTTGACGAGGAGCTGTGAGCGTTTATTGCAGCATGAATTTACATATACATTTAGGATAGAGTTGCTAAATCTCACTAGTCCTCAAATAAAGCAATAATTGTGAGATATATTAGGCTGGACACTAAGTTTTGCACCTAGTTTCATAAATTCAACCTCTTTAGTTATGGCGCATTCAAACTTTGGCAATATGTAAAGAGTAATATGTGACACACTGCGCGCAGATTGCTCAAATTTTGACATGAAATAGGGAAGTTTCAGGCATTTTTCGAAAACTAGTAAATTTTGAGAATTTCTGGGGTTTCAAGCTGAAATGAAGCCGTTACCAGCCTAGACCATGCGCAGTGATCCGGAATCGTGTACGAGATGGCTAGAAGTTGACTCATTGGCTAAGTAAGAAATAAACAAAATTTAGGGGAGTCGAGATTTGGCGCCTCCACAAAGTCGACCAAGTCGCAGTACGCAAGCGCTGCTGGGGACGACCGTCAATGACTAAAGAGTCAGAAGCTCAATTTTCGCCGAGACTTGAATAAGGCTACTTGACCTATCAGATACGAATATCATATTCATTGGTTATATAACGCCTCTTTCTTTGTTCAGGGTGGGACCCTATATATCAAACTTACAGTAACCTTACAAAAAAGCCTTTATCACGCAAAGTCATTATCATTTTTGTGATCAGCATGTCGAATAACATCTATACCAAGTTTCAGCCAAATCTGTCATATTTTATATTTTTTCATTTTATACCATATACCTAGCTTAACCTTCATTGTGAAGCTAGAATATGGCACAACAGCAGCTGCGCTTGTAGCTTACGTCACAGCCTACACAATCGCAAAATTTGAGTGCATCGAGAGAGAGGAAAGCATTAAATGAGTTGCAAAACTTAGTTTCCAACTGTTTGATTATTGAAGTATCTATTAAATAAAGTACTTTAATGATTATCATTGCTCCATTGGAGCGCTAGAAAATATATTGCGACCATTTTTGTCCTACTTGCACATCCAATTTCCGCTCCAAAAAACGCTCATACTTTGTCCATAAATCCCGCATCTAAGGAAAACAGTGGCATCAGCGTTCTAAGCCCTTTAACATGGTATCAGAGCCCAGCGCGACGGTGGCACATAGACACCTGTAAAACGACTTCGCCTTTGCCACTATCGATTTTTATGATTTCCCGCTTGATCTCGTCAGTTGCGTAGGTTGTTCGATTAAGCGATTCCCTCCTTGAAAGGACCGGCGTCGTGCTGTTCCAGATCCTAACAAAGAGGCGGGAAGGAGTTTTGAGACCAAAGTTTTACATACTAAACTATAAGAGTGAAACAGAGCTACGTAAAAATTTTGAAAACATATGTGATCTTTGCGGTATTTGCGTTTCATATTATACAGCTCAAGTCTAACTCTACTTATACTCTGATGGCCATGAAGCGTGTTTTCCTTCCTAATGTACATGGTGTCCTAAATGTAAGTACTCACCCTTTGATCGTTGGTAACTCTCTTCTCAGGAAGCGTTTTGCTTAGCTGCAAGTACCATGCAGTAGTGCAGGCTTCAATTAGGTTTATAGTATGGAGCAAAACACCTCTTAATTGCTGTAAGATCGGTAGGAAAATATACAGCGCCATTTTGAAATAGGTCAGCAAAAAAAGCTTCCAAAAAGCTGGAAGGTTGTGTAGCAGTGTTTCAGAAATGCTAACACCATTAGACAACCTTGCTGAGAGTTTTTACGCGTTCCAATTGGTTTAGATTATGAAGCACTGAAAAAAGGCAACTGCGGTTTACTTGGCATAAGTTACGAAAAAAAGCCTTCTGGTAAATTGGAAACTACACATTCATGATCAGCGACTCTGTTTAGTCTTGTGGTAAAGTTCTCAGCTTGCTGAGTATCCATTTTGGGCCAAAATTCATACATTGATTTCAACCATTAATGTATATTTTTATATAAATTTGATAGGAAGTTAAGGAGGGTTTTAACTTTGTTTGAAAACCTCTTCAATGTCTATTGTAATACTACAGTAATGAAGAGCTATAGGTGCTTTGCTCCATACCAACAATCTAAGTTCAAGTCTGCTCTACTGGATGGCTGTTTAATCTAACCGAAAGACTTTGTGTGAGAAGAGATATTAACGATTAAGAAAAGTGTACTAACATTTGAGACAACTCTATATCAATTGCCACTTCCAATCATGTTGAAACATGATTGCTTACTTCCTCGGAAGACTTTCCTGCCAAAACATGGTAACGTGCACCTACAAGATATACGGCATTATCAACATGGCAGTCGGAAAATCACTAACAGTAGAAGATTTCATGCACCGCTGATACGTCATGGCATGTTCCGAATAAACGTCAGTGAGTACTCTGTTGACTACCAGGTAGATTTTAACCTCAAGGTAGATTTGTGAATAGCAAAGTTACCTTGAGGTTAAAATCTACCTTGAGACGTGCTCTCGAGGTAAAATTTAACCTCAAGGTTATTTGATGAATACGGCCACTGGATTTCCAAGCAGACACTTACCCCTAAAAGCTGATGATGTGCCATCAATCGCTTCTCTTCACCAAGTTTATGTGAGACATGGAATAGTAATCTGTTTTGAAGCGGAGTTCGTTGCGCTAGAAAGCATTTGTTGAAAATCCTATATTGTACAAGTGGATAAGGAAGAAAAACACCTTTCTCTGCTGCAGCTTTTGCATCTTCGTACATTCCCAGGTAGAAGTAACAAACTCCAAGATATACTGGTAGCTCGGGATTTTCACTTCCATTATTTTTCATGCCTTCGTATACCTAAAAATTCAACGTAAAAGCAAAAAGATACTTGAGAAACTCCAAGCCTTACTTCTAAGGACTTCTTATAGTCTCCAGATCTGAAATAGCAATGGCCAAGCCATAGATCAGTGGTTTCATTCTTTTCGCCATTCTTTTGCTTGAACTGAAAATAAGGGCTAATAATAAATCCAGTTTTTTTTTGACAGTCTTCTTACCTCAAGAAGAGATATGGCAGCTGCATAGTCTCTTTTCAATAAAAACTCATCAAGATCTGGGATTTGCTGCTCAGTCCTTGGTCGTGCCACCGCCTGCTGTTTCTTCTTTGCGGGTCGCAAGCGCGACAGCAACTGAAAGGAAAAAAATGTCAGATTGTGAACATCTTCCTCATCCCAACATTTCAAAGTTATCATTCAAAAATTATCAAATCTTAACCAAAGAACTTGCACAACTTCACTGTTGAAAATTAACATAGAGCATCTAGGTTTGTATAGCTTGCTTGATTCCATTTGTTTCGGATATCATTGAGAAAACTTATACGTCAGCTACCGAATAATATTCAGTGCCAGTTTCAAAATTTGACTCAATGATAACTAATTCTAGATTTCTGAGCAACAAAGCAATGATAAGAAGAATAGGTTCTCAATTCACAATGTGTAAACAATCAAAAGACTTCGTTTCTATTTACAGACCTTTCCCGGAACTCCTCAGTAAGGAAGGAAGGTCTGTAAAACTTATTTTCAATACTGAGGAGTAAATTGTTTAGGAGTGAAAGTATGTACCTGAATTTTTGAAAACTAATGAAATATTCATGCTAGCTAATATTCATGATGTGATACCTGTACTTCTTTCAGTATTTTTTCTCACTTTATACTTTTCTAGTCTACTATCTGAAGTTCAAGATTCGTAATGAATAAGACAGTTCCGTTTTTATGTGACATAATCATGTCAAAATCCATATCCTTTTAAGGAGTTTTCGAACACATGAAGCAGATAATGTAGGAGAACTTCAGCTTGACAAAAAAAACTGTCTAATTGTTCATAAAACTTCCTATATGGGTTACATTAATTTTAGTTGCGCTGGAATACAACCAAAAAGTTAATGTTGAAAGAGCTTGAAAAGCCGTACAAGTAACGCAATACATGTTAAGGCGATATTCTCAAGGCCTTCAAAAATCAGTTAGTTTGGTCAATGTGACTACTGAGGAGATCGCCTTTTATGCCAAAATATTCACGCAGTACTTTTACGTTTAGATCAATAGATTCGGATAAATTGATTTCTTTAGTGTATTCAATGATCAACGCGACAGTATTGAGACAAGCAAAACTGGAAAACTAGATACAGAAAAATCCTTGCTTAGTCATAGCAACAACTACACCCTCCCTCGTGTAATCTCTTTTAGCCATCCTATATCTTATCCTCTTGGATGAGACCAGCTCAAGCCGCCTAGCCGTGGAGATTATCTTCTTTTGATAATTTGCAGCTACTGCTCGCTACATTAACGGATAAAATGACCTACCATGTTTGAATCTGCAAAACGTTGCTTAGGTGGAAAACACAAGGTGTAGAGCCGTGTAAGCACTGCGGGTTCACCATGACAACCACGGCAACAAACTGACAATATTAGCGGCACTGTGAGTTTGCAGCAGTAGATGTCTGCAATCAGATTAGTAATAGAAAAGTAGTTGATCAAAATCCCATTTATATTATGTTGGCCCGAAAGTTCGTTCGCCCCATTTTCAAAAATTCATAGCTTTTGATTTTTCTAACCGATTTGCGTATCTTCATACTTTCTGAAAGAGCAATTCATTCTCCTCATAGCAGTGTGTTAGCGGCATTTTACTATGCATACATTGCATAGATATAAGCGTGAAATTTTTATCAACTTTATAGTAAAATTATTAAAGTAAATAAAATAATAGTGTTCAATAGAGGAACACCAAGCTGCCTATTCATCTGTTACACACATAAGATTTTTATTGTTAACAACGATGGAAGAAAATTAGTCAAAATTCTAAGTTTACTGTGCAGAGTCATAAAAAATCTGAAACTTGCAGTAAAAATCGGAGCATTCAGTAGCATAGGTTCTATTATTTGCCCTTTCTAACTGTCCCAAGTCTGTGCGGATTGAGCGTCTCTATGATTTGATTTTCAAGAAAAATGCCAAAATAAATCAAATTCAAACTTTTGTATTGCTTGCTCGAAAATCGTAAGTTTTCATAGAGACCCTCAACCAGCACAGACTTTGCACATTCAGAAAGGGCAAATAGTAGAACCTATAATACTGACTGCTCCGATTTTTACTGCAAGTTGCAGATTTTTTTGACTCTACACGGAAAACTCGAAATTTGAGTAATTCTCTTCTACCGCTTATATCTATGCAGTGTATGCTCAATAGAACACCGCTACATACCGCTAGAGAATGAATTGCTCTTTCAGATGAAAATGAAAACCCGCATATCGGTTAGAAAAACCAAAACTTATGAATTCTTGAATGATGCGGACAAGTATCGGGCCAACCTAATATTAGGTTGTGCAAAAGTAATGCGCGTTTTTTAGCTCCGGTTTCAGGAAACTTTTTCCATCAAACTTCCTCTGGAAAAGACTTAGCATAATATCGAGAAGCACTTTTCATGCGCTATCAAATGGTGGTTGAAACAAGCTTCTAGCCTCACTCGTTAGAAATATGCAGAGCTTTACACAACCGCACTCAAAATTGGAGTTTCATTGCATTTCTTTTCTGGCCAGAAATCAAACGGGAATGGCGGCATTCTCTTGAAATTTCAGCTACTGTATGTAGTGGACATTATCTACAATATTCACACTTTGTATTTTTTAAACTTATTTGGACTGAGATATCAGCGCCTCAACATGGTTGATCGTCATTCTGTGGCCCATAAATTTCTTTTGAAGGAAGCAATCGTTAAAACTTTGCTCATTTCTATAAGCGCAAGTGTAGGACCTTCTGTTGACAATTTTGCAAAAACATTTAGCTCTTCAGTACGCAAAAAATCAAAAAACTTCATGTTTGGGACTTTGAGCCCTACGAAAATGTTGAAAAAATCTGACAATTTTGGACTTTGATCTTTTTCTTTTTCTCTTTGTTTGAGCCCTTTCCATCTTATCTTGTACCACTGGCTTGTGGCTACAAGATAGGCTATTTAGCATTTTTACTAACAAAGGATATTATCACCAGTTAGAAACGAGGTTTCAGGAAAAAACCTTTTTTGTCTATCAATCGATAATTTTCTGGCCGTCTGTGTTATGACTATAGAAACATGTGCTATTGCGAAAGGTTTAGTGCCTCTGATGGTCTTTATCGCATCAAGAAATGTAGATTCTTAAGAAAGTTATAGCACGTCAAAATGAGAACTCGCGAAAAGCGCATTACTTTGCACCAACCTATTTTCAGTTTGATGTTGCTTAGTAGAGATCATCGCTTCGTTACAAGCATGTCATTGAGTTTTGCAAATAAGCGTATGCCGACACGTCTTTCGCATAATTTTTTGTACCTCCAAACTTAGTGATTTTGTATAGCATTCACAACGATACGCTCTCAACATTCTGCAACAAATTCTAAATTTCTACGTGTCTGCTTTGAAAACCTCTCATAAGGACAAGGTTGGAAGCTTCTTACTCTCCAAACATTGTTTTCGTACAAACAAGAACTTCTGAAAAGATGGCAGATATGGGGTCTCCTGCCAACAAGCTTGTGTCACTGCCAAAAAAGTCAGACAAGAGCTGAGACAGGAGTTGTTACTGAAAGTATACCTAATGTGCTTCAAAGTAAGAGCGGAGAATTTGCTGGAAAAAAAGCGAAGCTCCACGTTATGGAGTAGAAATTATTGCAAAATAAAGCTTACAGTGTGGTAAGGTTGCAGCAGGATTAGACGGCGGTGTATATTCACTCTGCAAAAATGTCTTCTACATGAGCACTAGCACTTGTATATTCTTAATTATCATCGGAGCTCATCCTGTGGCGCTGTGAGATCATGCGGAAAGTGTCATAAGCATCACAAAGACCGCCCACCCGAAATCATAGTGATGAGATTTTGATATTGTCAAAGCTGTCCCCAAACTAAGCAGTTGCCCAGGTTTCGCTGCAAAAGACGAATTCGAAAGCGAGAAAATCGCTGGAGAAGGTAGAAGCGGCCGCGCTGGTTTCATCCAACAGTGAGGGTGGTCTGAAGATAAAAGTCTGAAGTTGGGATTCAGCGTAGGAAAAAAAAGATAACTAATTGTTGACCGATGAAAAGCGGGTCTGCGGCAATTCTGGCTACATTAGAGCCCACGTTTGAGTTGTTACTAGCAAACCACCCAGGAGCGGGGCCAGCGTGGCCGCTTCCATTCTGTAACGGTTTTCTCGTTGGAATGGATTGCATAGTTAGGGACATCACTATCTTCATTTTGGGTGGACGGTGCCTTTGAAGTTGATTTCGTCAAGCAAAACGGTCTGGGTTCGTTAACTAATAAGGCGGGCATATAACTTCGACTAAACGATTGAACCAACTGAAGCTGTGTGCAATTTCGCATCCAATTATTTTGATCGCAGACACTCTCATTATCACTATCTTATCAGCCAGAAGGACGGGAGCAAGCAAAAAAAAAACGAAAAGTAGCGACTGGAAGATTTGCTTTTGTCCACAAGAATTTGCAAAGTGCAAAAATCTGTGTTTACAATTTCTACAAGGTTCACGTTGTTGCCAACAAGGAGGAGAAAAGGACGTAATACTTAACTTTTACAGCGGCTTGGGAGCGGTACAGGTGAGTACTGCGCTGATCGTAAAAGCCAGCAATCGCAGGCTTGGATCAGCTCCAAGAATCGTGCAAGCTTGAAAAGCCTTTGCTTTTCGTTAACCAATAGCTTTTCAGTGTTCGGCATTCATCTTGCCTTTCACAGATATACGTGCACGATTATGCCTCTCAAGAACATCGCTCCATAGCGAAAAAGTGAAGTATTAATGTCATATGTGAGGAAATGATGTAGGCGCCATCATTTCCCATTGTACGCTACGGAATAAGGGCTTAATAATTCAGCACATTTTGCAAGTGAGAATATTCTTCGCGACTGAAGAGCCCTCGCAAACAAATCCTTCCGCATGATTTTCGGCGCTCTCATTATCACAATCTTATTGGCACTATCACCCGAGACACGCCAATTTTGGGGACCATCGCGTCGGCCGTGGGGAGGGCCCATGCATCCGCCTTGGATAGGATCACCAAGGATGGGGCCGCCATGGATGCGTTCATCAGGAGTGGGACCACCATGGGCAGGGCCAATGGGACCACCACGCATGGGGCCTATGGGACCATCACCCATGGGGCGCATGGGACCACCACGCATGGGGCCTATGGGAGCACCACGCATGGGACCTATGGGACCACCACGCATGGGGCCTATGGGACCACCACGCATGAGGCCTATGGGACCACCACGCATCGGGCCTATGGGACCACCACGCATGGGGCCTATGGGACCATTCATGGGGCGCATGGGACCACCACGTATGGGGCGTATGGGACCACTACGGATGCCCTATCCCCCACCATGGATGCTTCGTCCGCTTCAGGACCATGAGTATCTTGAAACTACTGGCAAACCTGATGATACGGAGAACGTGAGTTGCTTTCAATATCAATGTGTCATATAACTGACACTTACAGGGAAAAACCTCGGATAAAAAAGTTGTGTCTATCCACGAAGAAAACAAGGCGAGTAGCTACATTTATCATAGTCTCGCACAAGAGGGCAAGGCAATTTAGGGTAGATCTTCGAATGACACAGTTGAGTACGATGATAGGAAGAAGGCAAGTCGCTGTTGATATCACCGTTTCATGTAAGAGCAGCACATACTTTAGAAAAACTTCCCGAATGAAGATGTCGAAATGGCCAAGGCCAAAAACGAGACCGCATGAAATTATCGGCCGAGTGTGTTTAAGTTGTCATAAACTTAAAGTTCTTTTACATATCTGTTGAAACTGAAAGCCACCATTACTTTCGTACATAAAAATTGTTTGTTTGTACAGCTCATCACCCGAGATTTGAAAATTCACTTTGTTCAAACACCAGTAAGGCCAATAAGGCTAATGGTTTAGTGATCAAGTTTGCTCATAAGCCTCTGCAGTGTGGAGTTAATAATTAAGTTCAGATACCAAATAATATCAAGTTTTGATGAGGATGATTAATAAAAAAAACTGCTGAGGTTACAACCAGAATTGTTTCGCATGTGTGAGCGCTCTTTCCCCATCCTTTCTCTCCTTTTTATTAGGTTGTTGCAAAAATAATGTCCGTTTTGCAAATTTTCACTTTGGAGGGCTATAACTTCGTTCAGTCTTAATATTTTTGAATGCAGTCAAGACCTTCAAAAACAGCAAACCTTTCGTAAATTAGCGCGCGCCTGCTCATACTGATATCGCAGTTGGGAAGAAAATCACGCGTCAAAAAACTAAAAGTTTTTCTCTCGAAAACCTCTTCTTTAAGAGCTTACAACCCCCTCCAAGTTTTGTTCGTATGGCTGGCAATCAGCTTATTTTGTAGCAGCAGGCCAAGAGTTTATGGGGGTATAGAAAAGACTCCGACGAAAGAGTTTTGCGAAAAGAAAAGACAAAAATTCAAAATTCACTTTTTTAAGCCTACTTGTTGTAGGCTTGAAATTCTTCGCGCACCGAATAATTGAGTTTCTCTTCAAATATTGTAGTTGAGGTGTGCTAATCTCAAGCTTACAGAAATGGGCTAAGCTTTGGCGATTGCCTTAATTATGAGAAATTTCTGATCCATAGAATGCCAGCAGTGAGTATCTCTTTCGAGGCGTCCATTTCTCAGTCCAGATATTTCCAAAAATCCATATAAGCACGCAGTAGGTAAACAATCTTCATCCAATAAAAATGCTATGTTTTCAGAAGAATTCGTTAATTTGTGCCTGAATTGTGGCCACGGAAACTCAAGCATCGAAACTTCGATTTTGAGTGCAGTTATGCGAGATGCTGGTGAAATTCTCACAGATGAGGATAGCAGCCTATTTCCACCATCGTTAGAAAGTACATGAAGAGGGCTTTCCAATGATATGCAAATTCTATATCGAAACAGAAAGTTTGATGGAAAAAAATTGTTTGAAATATAGGCCTAGAAAAACGGACATTATTTTTGCAACAACCTAATAGAATGACCTAAATCTCTGTTAAAAATGACGCTTCTGCCAGTATATCCTTAATCTGAAATATGATCCAAAAGGAATGCTTAACTTGATACTTGTTTCCTCACAAAATGCTTTGAAATGTTCCACTTTCACTATAATACATCAAAAATCGCCGTGGAGGAATTGAATATTACTGCTGAAATAATGCTTTCGTAAAGGCTTCTTAAATGATTGATTCTCCGAATTATAAGCTTTGACAACGTTATATATATATCATTTATTCTATGACTAGGAGAAGCGTGACCGCATTGCGGACATTGTCTTAAATTGTTTGTGTTTGTTCTTCCCTTTCCAAAGAGTGAATAAACCTGGACGAGATAACTGACAAGTATAAACCTGCTAAGTACACGATTATGCTTGTTTAGACAATGTGTGCAGTGCGGTCTCTCGTCTCCTAGTCATAGAATGAATGATAGGCAGGGTTGAGCGTGAGGTCAGGCGCGCCCGATCCGGCGGGTCGTCTTGGGGGTATGACTGAGGGGGGGGGGGTAATTAAGAACCGAATCCGTTTAGTTGGGGAGATACTACGAAGTTGAAGAAGAAAGCGCTAGTCCGTTGGATATCGCAATCACCAGTACTGAAGGAGACGGTCGTGAACAGCATACTGATTGTTTCCACAATCGAAATTTCAGCCAAATTCAAGTCTTCATCTTTTACCTTCACATATCATGAGGTCGCCAAGTAAGCTTGCTGTGTGAAATGGGTATTATTTCCGTAATCAGCATGTCAGATTACCTCTATGAGCTCTAAAGTCATTACCTACCACATTTTCTAGTATTTTGCAACGTCTAGAAAGCGTGATTTTCAATCATGACTAACTTGGCTTCAAAAGTGAAAATAATCAGCTTTTTTATACTCGTAACAAAGTATCGTTCCTTACAAGTCTATGCTAGAAATCAGACTTCATATCGCTTTCAAATAGTGAAGTAAGAAGTGCTGCAAAATTTCCAACCGGCGCGTTCTTCACATTAAGTGCTTTCACTCTACGGATTACTACAAGGCCGAAACAAGTTGAAACAAGCTCAAACACTTATTGTGGAATCTTCGAGAGTTATGCTAGCGAATCACATAAAACTTGGATAAAAAAGCTTCCTCGAAAATAAAGTTAATGGGGTCAGGCGCAACCCCTCAAAAGGTCAGGCCGCCTGAGCTTTTGAGGGGTTGCGCCTGACCCCCTTAAAGGCAGTGTCCGGGCAAAAACTCGATTTTGAGATTTTGTCACAAAATCTACTTGGGCCTATTCGCTACGCTGAATCCGAAAATGCACATTGTAGAGCGCGAAAATGGCGAAAAACGGCTCTAACACAGGAGGGAAATGAGCAGGTGGGCGGGGTCCTCCCCACTGCGAATTCACGTTTCCGGCTTCCGGAGCGACCTTCTCGCTTCCGGTTTCAAGTCAATCATTCGCACTTGACCGGTAGCGATGTTAGGACGGCTAGCGGAATCGAGAAAATCGCTCCGGGAGCTGGGAGCGTGAAATCGCACTAGGGAAAGCCCCGCCCACTTGCTGTTTCCCTTCTGCGCTAGAGCCCTTCTTTGTTGTTTTCGCGCTTTCCAGTATGGATTTTCGGATTCATCATGGCGAATAGGCCCGGGTAAGCACAAAATCTCAAAATCGAGTTTTTGCCCGGACACTGCCTTTAACTTACCTTCAAGATTCAAAAATCGCTCCTTTTTTAGTATGAGTATTGAGCGCAAAGCCTCTTCTTCTATATCGAAAATTTGGAGCCGAACACCCCACCCCTGCAAAAACTATAACTCTAAAAGAGAGCTTTCCAAGTTCAAAACTTGCCGTCAAGTTGCGTGTGGTTGTGCAATCGCAGAAAGTTGGGCCTGCTGCCAAAAAACAAGAATCTCCAGTAAAGGCTGGTCTTCTTCAACATAACACAGTCTAAGGTCCTGGAGGTGAAGCTGAGTGGTCATTTTAGGGGCTTTCAGAGGGGGGGGGGGGTCGTTTTTGAAGGACTAGTGCCTGACCTCTTGCTCAACCCTGATGATAGGTCATTTATAAAATCGTGAGGACGAATTTGACTGCATCTTTGCCACTACAGCGCATATAATACTCATACAAAAAGACATCACTCAGCGCTCAGCTCACTCACTTCCAGTGTCTGAATACAATCATACGTAAGCAGAAAAACCATTCTAGTAGAAATGAAAACCACGAAAATGCGGTTGCCGGAAGTGCGTGCGTGTCGCGCGCGGTCGCGCCATCGTCACCATTTTCGAATGCCCTCTATATGCATGGTAAGTTTATGCTACCAAGGGCGTATGGTCATTGGTTGTTCTTGTTATCGGTTAAACTGTTTATCAAGTACTCAAAAAAGAGATTTAAAAATTCACACTGCTGTTGCGCTTGGTGCTGGGACGCGTCATACTTCGCCGAAAAAAGCCCAAAAAAGTCCAAAAGTGCCAGAAAGAGCCAGAACGCCTTATTTCGCGCGCATATAATGAATACGTATTGTGCTTCATTTCTGTCGTCTGCGCGTTAAAATTATGTCAGAATTCTACCAAAAGTAGCCGGATGGATACAGGTTACGCAGCTATACTCGTGAACCCTTGGCATCAATTCTCGGAATAAAGAAAAGCTCGAATTACACAAAGAGCTAGATAGGACGAACCGATAATACGGACAGTACGAAGACACAAGAGTTAGGCTGCATGAGAAGCAAAAATAACATGCAGTTCTTGAGAAACCACAGTTGCTGAGTCACATTGAACTCTGTTTCATCCTGCTTGGAATTTTTGATAGATTTTTGGCATTGTTTTGATGTGCACACGACAATGACAAAGTATGTATTTATTACTTGCGCGCGAAAGGGAGAGTTTCGGCTCTTTCTGGCGCTTCTAGGCTTTTTGGGCGCTTTCCGGATTTTTTCTTAGGTGTATGACAGGTCCTTCAGTCTGCATTCGCCGCGCATTTTCCTACACAGGATGAATGCCTCAGAACTGTTTTCGTGATAGTGCAGGGTGTATAATATCTTTGGATAGGACTTGGAACATCAAAAAAGTTAAGAAAGGGAAGAATACTTGGTGGCTGCGGCCTTTTGCAATTACCAGTAGATGCGACTTAAAATGCTGATTCCGAATCTATGTTCATTATCTAGTCTCAAAACGAAGTTATGAATAGTTTCCACTTGAATTTCACGAGATCTAGGTAGTGAATCGTCCCTATCCAGCCTTTTGAGACTCGGAGACGGTTTTCCTGCGCTAAACGTAAAGATTTACTTTATCTGGACGCTATTTCGTAGTGCGTAAACGCACATTCCAAGTTCGTGGTAAATTTCGTCATAAAAAACAATATAATTTTTGGTTGCGAGATGTTCATAACTTCTTACGGAAGAGCGCACAACAAATACCGAAAACGGATTTGAAGTCACCGTTGCAAGCATTTTAATGGTGCCATATCATTTTGAAAGGCCACGGTCACAAAATATCGTTTCCTTGTTAGAAGAGCAATCCATAGAACTCATACCAGATACCAACTGCTCCAATTTTTAGTAGTTATAAATTTTGGTGACTTTACGTGAGAAAATTGAAATCTGAGCGATTTCCTTCCACAGCTTTTATTTCTGCAGCGCCTACGTGTATGCAGGCTCAGGTCCTGTTTGACTGCCGTAAAGCAGATGATTTTCGCTTTCGAACCTAATCAAATTCGAGAAACCATTATCCGTCGGAATCCGGCGCGACCTTAGTATATAGCTAACGCGACCTTAAAAGGCGAACCAGCTGCCTCTGATCTTTCCTTTGGCTATGAATCTTGCTTATTACATATAAATCTTACTTACCACATCATTAGGCCATCCTGAAACTATCATTTGTATTGTTTACTCTCTGATCTTGCCACGGTACTGAAAACTCCTCATGGATACTCTCTCAATATACCATAACGTGCAAATACTAAGGAACTGATGTTTCTCTAGGATATCTTAAAAGTTTATCATTATCGAAGTATCCCAATAACTTGTCGCCAGAATATAAAAAAAATATATATATATATTTATTTGATGAAGTTAGAAGAACTTCTGCTTCCCAAAACGTGTACATTGTTCAGGGAGATGAAGTCATCCTTACTAATGACAGTTTGTTTTTAAATCCTCAACAACAGAAAGATTTTGCAAGTGATACTTCTAAGTCATCCATCAACATCAGTTGTTAGCAAACTCAGGTCCCCATTCATTCCTTGAATACGGATAGCGAAATGATTAGTTATGTTTAATACCCAGAGGATAAACAGCACATCATATCAAATGCAGGACCATTTTATCATCTGATAAGTAAGATCAATGAGGAAGTAAGAGGCAGCCGGGCCCCGTTTATGGTCGCGTTAGCTATATACTGTAGCTAAGGTCAGCGCCGGATTCCGACGGATAATGGTTTCTTCAAATTCGTGCAAATCCATCAAGAAAGCAAAAAATTTCCATTTACGTGCAAAGGACAATCGCATCCTGGTTTTTGATTACGGTACGCGGCTACGAATTCTGTGCAATTGCGTCCAACTACTGCAAGTTCTCGGACAGTTATTTTCTCAAAGTAAATCAATTCGTAACTCAGTCGTGCTTTAAGCAGTGCGTATTTGCTCTAGCTCTTGCTTCACCTTAACTTGAAATTTGTTTATCTTGCTTGTGTGGTAGAAAGGGATTGGACTTTTTTGTTTCGCGCTCGTTCATACTTGAGCTTCACTGCGGATTACCTGTTCAAATGTGTATGTGCACTCAGAGTCAGCGTCATTTACTACTTAATTTGCTACGTATCTTTCGTTATCTTTCATAGATTCATGGTAAATGCACAGACTTTTTAGCTGACCCGTATCCCTTACACAATATATCGGCTAGGGTTTCATGCTTCGAATTAGTTTTTGGTGCTATTTGTGATCATAGGCTCCTGACACAGTATATCGGCAAGTGTTCTATGCTTTAACGAAACGATACCCTTGGTAATAGTCGTGATCATCATCCGTTCGATAAGGGATATGCATCATACTTTACTATTTCTTCGATTTCAACCTTTGGTCATCTTACATTTATTACAGATATGCTGCTGACACTTTTGCGAGTGCCACTTCGAGCATGGAAATCCCCATGTCGATCCTTCTCAATTTTTCGTCTTGGAGCAGTGTCTGAGGGTTCGGGGTTCGCTATCAGCCGTATCGGCAGTGTGGCACTTTGCAGAAATGTGTTACTAGTGAGCAAGTCAGGTAGGTCTCAAGCAGCACTCGCTACCGAATACTAAGTACACCTCAGAATTGTCCGTTCCAGATGCGAGATGGATTCGCTCTCGTGGAAATGACAGAGATTTTGAACATCATACAAGAAGTGAACATGAAAAGGAATCTTCGTCCAATGGACAGAACGAAGGCACACCAAATCCAGAGGAAGCAAATAAGGATAAGCCCAAGGTGGACCCTGCTTTACGTAAGATTTTGCTGGTACGAAGCCATAGTCCACTTCAAAAGGACAATTTCAATAGCAATTTGAGTTTTTCTAAAGTTCTTCTCCGCTTGCGATGCATCTTATTGTATCTAGGTCTAACTGAAACTCTCATCCAGTGACCAAAAAGCCCACTAGTATCGATTGGTAACACTATCAATTCATTAGTTTATATCCATACTTTTGAATTGCTATGAGACGTAAGCGTTCTCTTTTTCATCAGTAGGCCTTTCTTCGCTCAGCTGCTTCAGTTTTGATCTAATTTCTAGGTTTGCACGCGCATTTGCAATTTTATTTATAAATGAAGCTGATTTTCAGTTCGAAAGCTGCGCATTTATGTGCTGGTTGTGGGTTGCATGTCATTTGTGATGTCCTTCCTGATTCTGTCTCAGATGAGCCTTGGTCAAGCTCAAGCCGAAGGCCTGCTGCCCGAGCACCTAACAAGTTACGCTGAAATCCTTCTAACTTCATGCGCAATTTGTTACGGTGTAATTGTGAGTTTAGGCAGGGCATCGACATGAAGTCCTTTGTGGACAAGTATCTCAAGGCTGGAGAAGTGAGTGCAAACATCTTTTTGGGCATCTGTCCACGTCTGTGCAGCACTCTTTATAGGTGCGAAGGATCATCTTTTGTCCTGACTATTCAAGGGCTGTAGCTTTCCTATATGAAGGTGCCATAATCGATGGAAGACAGGTAAACTTCGTTAGTCAATTACGTAGTTTACGTTCCTTTCATCTTCATCAGTCATTTCCCAAAGATATCCATTTGAGACGCGAGATCCTGTGGTAGTCGTGGCCTATCCAAAAGATGCAACGCAGTTCTGGAGTGAAATTCGTAAGGAAGAGGAAGACATGGGTATCGCTATCGCCAATGGAGTCAAGTTGGAAATGTATAGAGGTCTGACGACTTTCAGGTAAATTCTGTGAAAGCCCTCTTTCTATAATTCGAATGGGGGAAATCTGGAGTGTTGCATAGTGTAAAGGAATGTAGAAACGTAATTCATGTCTTCGGTCGATTATACATGATAGGAAACTAGAAAAGGCGGATGAACGATTACACACGCCAATAAAAAAATTAGAGAATCAGCTGTAATTTCAATTCGCCCGTCTTGAGTATAGACGATGAAAAGAAATGATTTCTGTTTATGCTGCTAGACTTTTGAGCAGGCTATTTTTTCATCGACAACCCGTATTTAGCGTTTTTTCTTTTCTCAAATGAAATCTGAACAGTATTACAAAGAAAGGATGGTTAATCGAAGTGGCCTTTACACCTAGGATAGGCCGGTAATAAAATTTTTCTAGCTGTCTAGTGGAGCGGTGCTGATTCTTAAGGCATTCATTGCAATAAATATCCTGAGTCCAAATACATTCTCAATTACTGCCTTCCTTGAGCTGGAAAATTTTTGAGAACTAATTTTATCTTGGTGAGCACATACTTTCTTGTTCCTGTAGACTCTCATAACTACTCATAAGAAAACCAGATTTGTAATCAGCGTCTCACGTACTCTAAGGGATCGGTTATACCCCTTCACCGCGCGATTTTTAATTGCTACAATCGTTCATAATCTTTAGTAGGATCATACTCTGTAAGGGAACGGCCATAGTTTGTCGGTGTTGTCGTTGTCGGTGTTGCCGAGGTTGCCGGTCGTTGTAAGACCTCATGATAGCCTCCACGTTTCGCGCTCTCTCTAAACTGTTTCTGACCCCGATAACCCCGACAACACCGACAACCTATGGCCGTTCCCTAAGCAAGATCTGGCATGTACGCATAAGCTCACAAAAGCTATGCGCCTATGCGTTCATATTCCACTCGCGACGGATTTGCAGACATCTGGCGGATTGCCAGATCGCGTATCGCCGCGATTTTGGAAAAATCGCCCGAGGGTGTATTCAAAGCGTATGACAGAGTATCTCATCCTAGTAGTGACTATCTCTCGCTTGATGGACGTAATTGTGTTCTGCTCTAAGTTTGTAAGGAGACCTACAATGATTTCACGTCCCCTCTCTTTTTCTGTGCGTAGGGGATGAAAACTTTGAATTTATTTCCTTACTAATAGGATGATGTTGTAGAATAGAGGTGAAAATATGTTGATATTAAATTGACGCAAAAATTAATGAATTCTTTGAACAGGACCTTAGAGCTTCTGGTTGGGATCATGATAATAGCTTGGCTTGGCACGCAATATGGACGTTTGCTTCGGCAGCGATATCTTGCCAACAAGCAGAAGAGCGGTGGCAGCTCGCCATAATTATTGAAAAACGGAGGCAACGTGCCCATAACAGAATATCGATGCTGACGTATGCTTCTTGATTTGGTACTTTTCTATTTCTTCGACAAAAAGCGGCATCCGCTGAATGTTCTGACATACGTCTTCCCATATTGTTTTCCACATGTCCTTCAACGTTTCTTTTATCTTCATTTTGTAAAGTCTTTCTTTTGCACTGCATATGTTTATATGTATCTAGGTCTAGCTCGTAATACTGGTTGCATGTCTTGACATCTTATCTACTATGAGGATAGTGTACTAGGTCATTGGTTGGATAATGCCTAGTGGTTTTCCTGTTTTTTTTGTGTTCTTTCTCAGTCATAGGATATTAGAAGTAGCGAATGTCGTGAATGCTCATGCTTCTTATAGGCTTTCTTACAAATCTATAGTCAAAGTTCGATGTCGAATCTCGCCGTTGTTGTAGTATTTCCATGTTTTTTCTCTTTTCCTAAATCTCACTACGGCTGTTTTATAACGACCTCATATAAAGGTGTATTCAATCCAACCACAGAGAAGGTAATGCTAGGTAAGAGTCGAGTGATGATCTAGATCTTAAAGTTATTGTTAGTTGAATATTCTCTTTGGTTTGTTATGTCTTGTCTCAGAACGGCATTGAATGAATGAAAAAGATATCATGTAGGAACTTGTGTTTTGTACGTGGTCAAGTGCCCACCTTATCTTTTGTTCTTCTTCACTTTTTTATGCACCGCTGAAGAATGGTCGAGTTCTTTAGGGTTTATTGTTCACCCGCCCACAAGTGGTGAGTTAACGTTTATTGCAGTCAGGATGACGGACGTTATGCGGGATATGATCGCGCAATTGATGGGCAGTCAAAAGGAGGGCGAAGAGGGTGTGTGACTTAGTTGCAAACTTCTCTCACTAAATGCATGTCATATGTGAGATTTTTCTTTCCAGGAAGAGATTTGGTACCATACAATCATCCCTCCGTCTGCCGAGCTTATCTTATCGGGTGCTGTCCGTATGAGTTAGTACCCGACAGCAGGCTACAAGGTCTTGTCTCATGTAGGAAAACCCATGAACCTGCACACAAGGCAGATTTTCTCGCAGCTCAAAAGGAAAGAGATCACTATTACGATGTAGATGTAAGTGAATGAAATTGAATTGCCAATATTCCTTAAAGCTTTCATTCTAGGCTTTCGATATACTCGAAAATGCAATACGCATAGTTGACAATGAAATATCACGCATAAAAGACAAGCTAGACAGAGAAGCACGTGAACAGACTGATAGCGCTGAAGCTGTGAAGGTATGTAACTGAGCATCATTTCGGCAAGCATTTCCATTGTTCAAGACCACTCGTATTCTTACGAATCTTTTTATTTTTGACTGCACCTTGCCTCTTCAGGATAGTGCGTCTTATTTTCAGACACAGCGCATAAATGACCTTAGCGAACAGATCAGCAAAGCTGTCACAGAAATGGAAGAATTGGGCAATATGGGCAAGGTTGAGGAGTCGATGAAATTGTCGAAAACTGTTGAAGACCTAAGAGCGCGCAAGGCTGAACTCGAGGTTTGTACCTGTTTCTGTATTTTTGCACCTTGCTGTTGCCTGATTCTCTCTTATTCTAGAGTCAAACTGACTTCCGCCTTGCCGGGCCTGGTTCAAATGCCGCTAGACTTCGCGTATGTGAAGACTGCGGTGCCCAGTTAAATATTATGGACCATGAGTCCCGTATCGCTGATCATTTTGGCGGGAAAATGCATTTGGGAATGGTCGAATGTCGTGAAAAATATGCGGAGATGAAGGTGGGTTGCATGTAGCACATGCATGTTAGCCATGTGTTAGCATATGTTTACGGTTGACAAGCAAGGTGGAATATTGTGGAAATGCATATTTGCTCATTTCTTGCATCTGCTATATTTTGTTACCTCTCAGAACATATCATATTGTAAATACGGAGACTGCACTTTTGCCCACAGTTTGCTGAAGAGCTCATATCTGTTCATAGATGCGCCAAAATTATTGACAATGGGTATCAGATGTTTCCGACATCATTTTGAAACCAATTCGGCAATCACTATGATCAAACATCCTTTTGCTGCAAGTTGTAGAGGGACGACTTTGAGTCTATCGCGTTTTGCATTTTGCTACATATTGATTGAGGTTTCCGAGATATGATAGAAACTCATAAAATTCACTGCTGGCTTATCCAACACGCTGCATAATGGTAGATGTGCCGCCTATATCACTAGCGAGAGATACTTGTAACTTGAATCCATCTTTAACTGCAAGTAGCTCACAGAATCCAACAGTTTTATTTGAGCTGCGAAACTTTACCAATTTTGCATACTGTAACATGTTCGAAAATTGTTGCCTCTCAGTATACCATCTTGATTATTTTAGCCGCTGCAAAAAACACCAATGACTTTGGTGCATTCACACACTACTTAATTTGCATAATTTCGACCGGCTTTTACCTCAAGTCGTGCAGTTTTTTTTTTTTGAGACGCAATTCTTGCGCTCTTCTTACAAGGGATTCCCCATTAGTTGAAGTGGCCGCTCGAGATGAGATATATGTTGCTAAAGTTGGTGATGAACGCTGATCTTAAAACTGCAAACTTTAACTGCAGAGGCTCTAATGAAAACAAGTTTGACAATCTTTACACACCACTTGACGTAAGAGTTCCGTAGTACCTTCTATCATGATAAAATGGTGCAGCGCGAGTGCGATCGTTTATCACACAGATGGTCGCATAAATGAAAAATGATTTGGATCGGATAAAACATTTCAAAAGTTGAAAGTTTTTATGAATGTATTGAGGTAATACTAAGATGATCAAGATGTGGAGTCCAAACATAAACCAAAGACAAAATTTTCACATTCTGGTTTCGGGATTGAACTAGACCAGAAGTGTGGCCAACCTGCCGCATGCAAGAATCTTTTCACAGGAGCGTTTCTGCAGTTTGTTTTTGACGCCACAACTCTCCTTAAAAAAAGCGTTTCGCGGATAAAGATTGCAGTCTTAGAAATTAGTCACCACTGACTTCAGCTACACATATTCTCTCTGAATGGCCACTCCAATCAAAGAGGCATTCCTGGTTAGATAGATGCTAGCTGTTTTGGTGGGCACTAAAGGGCGCCTGAATGAGAGATTTGAGACATGGATTCATTGATTTCAAACCTTGCTTGTCAGCTGTAAGCAAGCACCTCCTGCTAACCATACGATATGCGATATCCATGCCTTGACTAACTTGGTCTTCATGTTTGGTGTTTATTGTCATCCATCCTTTGTATATAGAATTCATTATGGATATAGAACACATTGTGGATGGATCGATGATTGTGGCCTTTTTTAAGGTCGGTATTACGTCGCGCCTAAGTTCGCGTTGTTGCCGTTGCATTTGACAGAATTGTCGTGGGTTTCCGTTTGAACCATCCGTAATAGCGATCCACTAGGTAGATTATGACGAAGAAGATGAAATTGGCATATTGACGATTTTCGCCTATTTTCTGAGTGAGTATCTCAGTCTCAGTCTGATAGCCCATGGATCGGGGCTGGTGTTGAATTTAGCGAGTGAGTGAGCACTCTAGACCTACGCTGGATGTTCTACGGGTGACGGTACGCAAAGGTCACACGATGACGTCCTGGATAAAACTACATCTCATCTCGCTTGCACATCGCGGTTCAGCTTCCCATGAGTCTCTATGATATATACGAATATTAATTTTTATATAGTTTTTATTAAAATCTCAATATGGATACTCATTTAAATTATCAATTTCAGGAGACTATTGAACAGCGCCGGAAAGAGCGCAGAGAGAAAGGTCTTGATGCAGGACCAAGATTCCCAGAAAGAAGGTGAGCGTCTATCTAGCTTACATATAAGCTGTCGCAGTCTGACATTTTTGCTAACTGCTCTACAGAATGTAGCAGAAATTTTTCAACAATTTTACGGTGAGTGAGCGCCTATAATGACATAATCTTAGGCGAACTCCGCCCCGTCGCGATCGTGATCGTGAAGAACGAGATCGCCGCGAACGTCATAGCGGAAGTAGCCGAAAAAGAAGGTAGGATTTTTTTCCTATGAGATATGACCTTGTGTAGTATGGCTGATTGCAAACTATGCAGTTTTCACTTTTTGTAGTCGTTCGCGTTCTAATGATCGTGATCGCCGTCGTGACCGAGATCGTGACGATCGAAGGGGTTCGGGAAGAGACAGAGACCGTGATCGTGACAGGTAGGGTAATTGATTTTACGTAACTTCTGAGTTTTGAGTCATGGAACTTTTCCTCCCGAGTTTTGTCATCCCGGGACGTTTTGCAGCTATGGTCATTCTCCTTCAGTTGTTTTCCGTAGTTGACCGCTGATAGCGTTATCGTATACGCCAGCGGTAGTAGCTTTGCTTAACCATGTGGCCATGCGATACAACTATTCTATTCATTGAAATATAATCATCCCCATTGTCATCTCTTGTTTTTCAGGCGGAATCGTCGATATTGAGAGTCATTCTATGTGGCATCAGAATTTGTTTCAATCAACACTATCTTCATACAAACTACCTTTCCTACACTAATTTGTATTCGACTGTATTTTTTTCAATATGGTTTTATCTTATTCTGTCAAATATACTGTATAGAAGCTGTGCTGTGGTTGGTGTTATTCTTTCTGTCTCAAGTGATATCACCTTTCGGCGGCTGTTCTCGTAGCGTAACTTATCGTTGGTCTTAAGGTCTGTCAAACTGTTACAAGTCTTATCATTGTTTCTTTTGTACGTAACAATAAACGTTTGTTGCAATCTCACGTGGCGAAGAGGAAAATTTGATCGCTTTTCAGCAAAGGATGTATCTATTTGTGTAAAAATTTTTTGTGAGTTCCATCACTTTGTTTTCCCTTATGAATCATAGTCCAGTTCCATTATTTTCTGCAGCATCTTGCAAATCTCATGCTAATTTGTTTCTATGCGGTATTCATATGGAGGAGAAATCTTCCTTGATTCTCGACCAATGCATTTTATATCGGTAGTTCATTGCCGCTGACTGACTCATCGGTGAGAGCAGATTCCTCTGTTTTCGCATGCGGGGCACATTTCGTTCTCTCGTGTCGTTCTGTGTACCGCTACTTACAGTGCCGTAAAAACACCGCACATCGTGTGGTATCTCTCGTTTCTGAAAAAATTCAGCACGATTTTTTGTGCAAACTAGGGTGTTCGATCTTTGATCTGCGCTAATCATTGGTGGCGTATGTTCCATTTTTGCCTCTGGTTTGGCACCAAGAGTCCTTTGCTAAGCGAGATGGTTCTTCTGTGCGTTCTTTGTGCCACAGCGTTGTGTTCATTGAGATGCTGCACTGTTTGTCATAGCTTACTTTGCTCTGCTCTCATAGTGGTTTGACACCAATATTCTTCGAACTGCACACATATTTCCGTAATATCGAGGCCGTTGAAAAACCGCAATTTCCGAGTCGCGTCGATGTCTATCATCCTCCCATTTCCAACTCTGAAGTGTTTGACAAGTCACCTGGCAGTGTTTTCATATCGCTTCTAGTTGTCTGCTTTCATATGCTTCTAGTTGGCACAAATCACATGAGTTTTTTCGACGAGTGAAACCACCAGTGTTATTCATACACATAGTCTGTGCTCCAGAGCTAAATCAACCACGTTCGACGTTAGCGAGTCGTACTATGTGGTGAGATTACTCTAAATGTTTTAGGGATTGGTTTGAAACCTCTTTCCCATTTGTTTCTATTCTTATGAGATCTCCTTGTATGATGCTTCCCACTTGAAAGCATATATACAACATCTAATTGTTAATGAACATCTTCATGCAGACGTTGTATTACTTTTGCTCTTTTGCTTGTTTTCTGCTTATACAAATTTCCTTTTACATTTGAGTAGGCAGATCGTAATGTTATGACCGCAACGATAAGGGACCCGTCATACTACTTTGCCAGAGAAAGCCAAGCGCCAAAAAAGCCGAAAAGCGCCTAGAAAGGCCAAAAAGAAACGGGCCAAAAGCGCCAGAAAGAGCTGGAGCGCCCCTAGAACTTTTGGTGCAGTTTGACAAAATTTTGATGTGCAGACGACAGAAAATGAAGCAAAATGACTCGGTTGCGAAATCAACACACAAGCCTTAGCGCCGAAATTTGCGTGCAAAAGGAGTCATTTGACTCTTTCTGGCGCTTTCGGGCTTTTTTCGGCGAAGTATGTCGGCTCCCTAAACGACTGTGCATTTTAGCCTTGGTAGGCCTTGTTATCTGTACATGATTAATGTGAGAAGCCTAAAATAGTTTGTTCTCACTTTTTTTGCGCTTTCCAAGATACATTTTTGGGATCAGCATAGCGAATAGACCCAGATAAGCTAAAACATACATTGAGCATCAGCGCGGATAGGGGCCCACCTGAGTTCCTGGGTTTTTTTTGCGGGATGTGCCGGCGCGCAGTAGAACTGAGGCAGTACTTGCAGTAAGCGTGGTGAACCTTCTAATTGATCCTGCAGCACATTTAGCATTATGACATGTAGCATCGCTAACCTCTCTCTTCCTGTTTCTGGTGCCGGTAAGGCTGTTGATGGAGAGCTTTTTAGGGGGGCGGGGAGGGGGAGTAGGAAATCGAATCTATCGGTTCTGCGATGGATATGCGCTCGTATGACTGCGACTATACTTCTGTGATCCTAGAGATTGCTAAAATAAGGACAAATGGGCAAACAATGGTTATGTCGATCACAGGTCAGTTTCGGATCCACACCATGGCAGTCGCCTTACTTACAAGGGAATGGTCTCAACTAGAAGTGGCCAATCCAAACAAGCTGCATACCTTTCGATGCAGCATAGAACGCTGTTTTCAAATCTGTTTTCCATATCTGCCGTACGCCTTTGTAGGCGAAGTTATGAGCAGCTTTACTGCGAGAAAATTGTATACAAAAATGCAAAATTAAGCACATTATTGCCTTTTTAGCTCACCTCTGGGTACGAGCCATATGAAATGAGTTGCATGTCTTGGGGCCGCATGCACTAACATCCGCGCGGGGAGGGGATCGCAGCTCAAACGAAAGCTTTATATTTTGGAACTCCAGATACCTGGATTTCACGTTGTGTACCTCTCTGTAAGTATTCCTACTACCCTTCACTATGAACATGTTGAAGAGGAGCGAGAGGCTGTACGAACCGCATTTTCCAGCTTTAGTATGATCCCTGATGATCCCCAGCGCTTTTCTTTTAAGTCATTTTTCTTTCTTCGAAGTTAACGAAAAACCTCCAAAGTTGTGCAGATTATCTAACCCGACGGTGCTAAGCATGTTGCTGATAAGAACAAATGATGTTTTGAAGTCATGTAATTTTCGATGATCCACAGGTCGAAATTTGAGGTTTGCCGAAAAATTCGACTTTTCAAAAACTCATTTGTTCTCATCAGCAACATGCTTAGCACTGTTGTGTTAGATTTTCAGTACAACTTTGGAAGTTTTCGTAAACTTCGGAGAAAGAAAAATGACTTCAAAGAAAAGCGCCGGGGATCATCAGGGATCATACAAAAGCAGGAAAATCCGGCTTGTACAGCTTCTCGCTCCTGTTAAACATGTTCATAGCGAAGGGTAGTAGGAATACTTACGGATAGGTACACAATGTGAAATCCAGGTATCTGGAGTTTCGAAAGATAAAGCTTTTTTTTAGGCTGCGATCCCCTCCCCAGAGGGGAGGTTAGTGCATGCGGCCCTTGGTCCAGCACTGAGCCGATAATGGCTCTGTACAACCAAGTTTGTCTTTTACGCGCACGATTTCGTAGCAAAATAATGGACTTCAAGGCTTATAACTTCATCAACAAAAGTGTTCTGCAGATAAGGAAGACAGATTTAGAGTCAGCATTTTATGCTGCATCTAAAGATATGTGCTTGCTTGAATTGGTCACTTGATTTCTCACCATTCCCTTGTTAGCTTCTTCTTTCGCTTCGTACAAAGCGTTAATTGGAAAGAAGCGAAATGAATGGCATAATTTGTGATTTTGCGTCGCGCAAGAGCAAAGCGGAGTTACTTGTGCCGCGCCAGGCAAGTCATGTGTCATTTGGTGACGTCGCGTTTTGTTTTGTAGCAGTGAAGTGAATGAGGAAGATAAGTACAGCACCCACGAGGCCTGCAACATGCTTGAGCTTTTGTTGGTATGTCGGCATAGGGGAACGGACTCTTCCAAGAGGCCTGCGTCTCACGACAAGTCATAGAACGTGCAAAGGACTAGTTTTTCGTAGAGAATTTGCTCACTTCTGCTAAGCGCACACCCGAATGTCGCGATGCCGTATGTCGCTAAAGGAAATAAAACACTTCAGTATTTCAAAATCGCTTCAACTATCAAGGAGGCAGCTTTTAGCAAACTGTCAATAAATAAAGCCGCCGTGGCGAACCACTGCTTTCAAGAGCGGGAGAGACCGTATCCGCTGAGAGCGAAGCGGCGAGGGAGGAACCCAAGTGAGGCGGCTCGCGAGGATCCAAGCCGCGCCGACCGTGACACGGATTAGAATCCGGTGTAGCTACATTAGCTGGTGGAGATAGCAGGGAGTGATCATTGTTGCAATATTTCTGAAGCTTTACGCTAGTTTCTAAATACTGAGGAAGCGACCGACGTCTTTTTTATTTTCAAGAAAATGACGTGGTCGACTTCATGGTTTTGAAGCGCTTCTCGATATCTATAATTGAAATGTTTAGTTCACTGTTCTACAAGAAAAGTACAAGAGCTTTGGGCAAAACAAAACCGCGGAAATGGGAGATGGGGGAGGGGTGTTGCGGGTACTGTGTTCGTCACTCAGACCCTGCGTCTTCTGCTTTTGAATTCACTCCTTTTTCTTCCTTGCAGTATTCGTGACATCTGCATCAAAGCCATATATTTTGGAATTTTCAACTTTTTCCTTTCTCACAGATGGAGGTACGGCGTCGAACTACTGCCACCACTAGCAATGGAGCCCATACGCAACCATACTATGAGCGCATCGACGATAAGGCACGCCGTGCAGTTGTGAGTGTGCATAGATAATTTATCTAAGGGATCCGTCAGGGTTTATCGATGTTACCAGTGTTATCCGTGTTACTAGTGTTACTCCTCTTACTCGGGTTACCAGTGTTACCGTGTTACTCGTGTTACCAGCGTTACCAGCGTTACTCATGTTACCGGTGCTACAAGTGTTATTACCTGTTACGCTTGTTACTCGTGTTACTAGTTTTACCGCTTTCAATGCCGTTAAGTAGTGAAATAATCACCAATATATCATATCATTTTACTACTCAACAGCAGTGAAAGCGGTAACACTATTAATGCGAGTAATAAGTTGAATACGAGTAGCACGAGCAACACTCGTAACTCGTAAAATGACGATCGTAACACTGGTAACATCGGTAACACGGGTAACTCGAGTAACACTAGTAACAGGATAACATTGGTAACATTGGCAAACCCTGAAGATCCCTAAAATTAATTAGGAAAACAAGTAGCTGGAGAGGATTGAATAGACAGTTGGGAGTCGTCCATTTTTGATTCTAAGGCAATGAATGTTTGGTCCATGTTGGTCACCTGCTTGATTAATGGTAAATTCCAAGATAAGGAGGACGTTGTGTTACAAAAAAGTCGCCGTAGAAAGCAAAATCTGAATTGATATGTCTACTGTACATAGAGCTCCGCAAGCAATATTGCTTCCACTTCGCGCAGGTGACTCATTCGAGTTAATGGAAATTATCCTCCAAAACGGCTGTTATTAGCATTGGGAACCTAATAGATTAATATTATACATAATACATGTCTGATTCAATGTAGGGCAGTGATGATGAATGTTTATGACATCTAGCTGACTTGGACTTTAGCGATATGTGTGATGACTGCTAACAATCCCACTGTTCATCTTCAGGAAGCCATCGGTTTTAAGCACTGGCTTTTGGTCATCGTAGTGGTTTTTGCCATTTATGGATGGGTTGTTTACCTGCACAGGTCAGTGAAGTTTTAAATTATGTTTTTATCTCTTTCGCTTCTTCAGACCATGTTTAGGCGAATGCCACCCGTCATAGGTGCTGATTACTTGAATGAGTTCAGTGAGGAGCGTGCTCGCGTATTGCTCAGAGAGCTTACGGATCTTGGTCCAAGACCAAGCGGCTCGGATGCTTTGGAGGTTCGCAATTGCATCTCAGCATAAATTATGCGGATACGGTCCCACTTCTTATTTCAGCATAAATCGTTCGACATCATGCAGCGGCATCTCAGTGCTATTAGGGATAAATTTGCGTCTAGAGGTGTGAATCGCTTTGAGATGGACGTGCAGGTAAATTTTGTCGACTGCTGCACCTTTTGTTTTCGTACAGATTAAAACTTCAGAGACCATCGGGTTGCTTCGATCTCTCTTTTCTTTCAAGTTTCACTTTGTGTTATCATAAAATCACTAATATTGTTGTACGTGTGGGACCGGCTAGTGGTCCCACAGATCAGTCACTTCTGTTGAATTCTCATTACGATTCCATGCCGGATACACCTGGAGCTACTGATGATGCGGTAACTACCAAAATTGGAACTCGTTTTGACCCAGTAAGCGAAGTTCGAATTTTAGGTATCCTGCGCCATCATGATGGATGTTTTGAATGTTATGGCTCACTCTGACAAGCCCTTGAGGAATGATGTGGTTTTCTTGTTCAACGGAGGTGATTATCTTTTTTATGCTTTGGTACATTATGAATCCGTTTCGTCATTTAGCTGAAGAGAATTTTCTGCAAGGAGCACATGGTTTCATTGAGAATCATCCTTGGCGGCATACCATTCATGCGTTTATCAACCTGGAAGGCACAGGCTCAGGCGGGCGCGAAATCTTGTTTCAGGTGAGCACAGAATTGATTTTACTGTTTTTTGCGATGTTGACAGTACTCATTGCAACTGTTTTATGGAGCATTCTAATGCTTCCTTGCATATATTCTGGTCTCATATTCTTAACATTATTGTAAGTATGCTATGGCGGTACGAGATTCTTTGAGATAAGGAGGGGGGAGGGGTTGGGATGTTTCTCAAAGTTCTTGGTAGCTAATTTTTTTAAAAGAAAGACCGTGGCAGTAGCCACGTCTTCAGACTATTTCTACTATCAGCTCTGGAATGATTTTAAACACCATTTCAATCATCTATAAAATGAAATAAGCTCTTGCACAATTTTATGGCCCGTCTAGGTTTCAAAAATCCCACAACCCATGTTCCATGGGAAGAGTTGAGAAAGGGGGTGAAGGGGGGGGGGGCCACTAAAACATTGGCTGTTGGACTGTACTTCTCTGCCCGACTTCATCTCAGTCTGAATTGCCTTGTTTATGGAAATCTATCCCATTTTTTCTGTTTTAGGCCGGTCCAGGGAACTCATGGCTCTTACAAACCTATCTTGAAGCAGCGCCTCATCCGTTTTGCAGTGTACTGGCTCAAGAAATTTTCCAGTCCGGTATTATCCCTTCCGATACAGACTTTCGCATCTTCCGTGACTATGGAAGAATCTCAGGCAGGCTCAATCTTGCATCATTGTTTTTTCGCCTTGAACGCCCGTAAAAGGGCTCGGACCTGGGAGGAGTTGCAGGTGCGCTCCATCGCCATTTCGATTAGAGCACCGTTTTTTCAAGTGGGGCGCACTATTTCCTAACACTTAGCGTTTCACAAACTTTCCAAAGAGATGGAAGACTGGGAGGGACCATGTGCAAAATAATAGAATGTTTTGGTTCATTCCGCTTGCATGTACTTTTCCTCTTATCAAGCTGTCAGGACATATCATCATACCCTATGGTTCTCATGATTTGGCGTTCATGCATTACTCAACAATACTTTTGCTTTGTGTTCTTCTATATATGACCTTTGTTTTGGTTCTTATTTTACTCTACTCACTAGAGTTATGCAACAACGCTTTTGGTCCAACAACGAAAAAAGGGGAGACGATCAAGAGGCGCGATTTCTCCGGCTGTCACCAACTTAAAACTCCAGTGTAGTGCTATACGAGTCTTCAAAAAAACCAAAGTGCATTGGATTACTATCTGTCTGAGGTTACTTGCTAAGTCTGGTGGCTTTTGCTGGAAAACTAACCAAAATACTTACGAATTTGTTCTTAACTACATTTTCATGAGTTTTTGACCTTCTCAATTGCTGTTTTGAATTGAATCTAAGGTAGCAAGATTGAGCAACCCATGCAACTATCTAGCCCAGCCATAGTTAGCATTTACCCTCTATAGCCTTTGCCTGAGTTTACGCTTGAAACTCATTGTCAGTAGCTGTCTTGAACTTCCGTTTTTGGGTTAGTCTCTGCTGCTTTAACTTCTCTTTGAGTTCACACCACTTGAGGATCCACTTTGTGCAGCTTTTAAAAGTATCTTAGGGCTGCTAGCGCTAAATTGGGATGGATTTAGCACTGGTGTTCGTGTGCGAACTCTTTTTACGGCTCGCATGTGGCCAATCAAATTCTGGCAACAGCTGTGTTTCAGTCCTTCCTACTCCTTCAAAAACATTGTGGCGGCTCGGTGGGGCCAGCACCTACCGCAAGTGCTCGCCGCAGCTACACCTAACTCCCGTTCGTCCCCTACGATGTCGCGCGTCCACCAAGGTTCATGACGCCTTGACGGGCGCTGCCGAGGACTACCCTCTACAGGTGTAAACGGCACGGTAAAATAGCGCGTAACGCTAAGAAACGAAAGGGCCGACTAGTTTGGACTACATTTATCTACAAAACACGATAATAAACTACTAGTACTACAGAAACTACTAAGCTGTTAAAATTACTAAAAAATACTACTTCAACCAGGAAAACTAAGCACGGGACGAGGCGGCTCGTCCCGTGCTGCCGATGCTGATGGTGATCGACTTCAACAAGTAGTTCCGGGCTCTCCGCTGGGTCAACCGCAAGCCCCTAGCCCTTCCGGGACGGTGTGACCCCTCTCCACTCCCGCTGGTACACTTCCTACGCTAGACGAGCCATGATGTTTAGCTGCGCGTCTCCAAAACCAAGAAGATAACAAAGGCTCAACCGCTCGAAACCGATGATCATCTGCGGGAGCTGTTGGAGGCGCTGCCAGCACGAACAATATCATAAAACGATCAATACGAACGAAAATCGAAGAGGCGTAGACCGCGGCCTGCGCGCCCTTATATACCCTGTGACTTGGCAACGCGCCCAGCAGGAGAGGTCTTGGCGCGATCTTGAAAGCGCGCCAAGTAACGCGATAGCCAGCGCTCCCGGCCTCCTGTTTCGAGGAGTGGCTTGCATCGCGAGCCGCGACAAACATCCTTTACGGTGTTGCTTTGTCTTTTTTTTTCTTGAGACGACCTATAACTGTCTTGTAATTACATAACTTATCTCGAAAACATAAAATTCTTTCCTGAGATCTGCTGGAAAAATTGTTAGATCGACGTCTTTGAAGCAATGAGAGCTAAAAAAAAAGAGATTGAATGTGTCATATTTCAATTCTGCGCTTGATAGCAATCGTCGCCTTTTCTCATGAGCTTCAAAAGCGCTGCATAGTCGTAAATCATCATTGCTAATGTTGTTCGATAAGCTGTCGATGATGCTTAGATTGAAAATTGAAGAACAAATGGGTGGAAAATGGCAACTTTATGCTGGTGACCTTTACAGACTGTAACGTTTTGCTAAATGGAAAAACCGGGATTTTTGCAGTTAGTGAATAGTTTTGAATGTAAAAATTAATTTGCCCAGCTGTCAACCTCAGGAATTCTCTAGAAACAAACAAATTTTGAAACTTGGTGCTATACTAAGTTAACTATGAAACTTTACTTACTGGAATTGAAATTAATGAGAATTTTTTTGAGCAAGAGCTGACCAATGTGCTGAACATAGAACTTGGCCTGCTGCCATGTTCTCACTGAGCATCACTTCGGGACAAGTTCGTAGTTTTCCGTAGGACGGGTTCTTAGGCACATGCCGTAGGCTGCGTTCATACTAATCCGGAAATCTGGAAACCTTGAAACTTGGAGCAGATCTTACTTATCATTAAGATCCATTGAGAACATAGATATTGTATATATCCGTGGAAATACATGTGACAAGAGTCCAAACGCATGTAAGGTCGGTCGAATATGCACAAAAAATCCAGCATGCTTGGAATTTATGTATTTCGAGCAAAACATTCTCAGGGATTTCAAATTGCTGGCGGGCTTGTGGGTTTGTGCTTCAAAGTTAAGCAGCAAAATGGTTTGATGTTTCACAGAATTTTTTCTACGCATGAAATGCACGCAAACGGGTCTTATCGTAACAAAGAATTGGCAGTTTTGATCCTCTGACATGATTTGTCCACATTTTACCGTCAAATTCCCACAAAGATGTCAGAGACTATACGTATACTCAAAAACTACACAGATCGGCGTGGAAGTGTTTGGAGATAGTGCGCTCCAGTTGAAAAAACGGTGCTCTAATCGAAATGGCTATGAAGCGCACCTGCAACTCCTCCCAGGTCCGAGCCCTTTTACGGGCGTTCTTTCGCCTTCATGCTTTTGAATAAGACACCTCAGGCCTTGATATCGCTTACACGAAGAATGGATGGGTTTATCACACAGAGCATGACGAAGAATGGCGTATCGAACCTGGTGCTATCCAAAGGTATCTTCTGTAGTTTGTCTGTTTGCCCATGTCCTTATGAGTTCTGGATTTTCAGAGCTGGAGAGAATGTCTTGGCTGTCGTTCGTGCTATCCTAAAAAGCCCCTATTTGGTCCAAGCAGCATCCTTTGATGAAGCTAACAAATGGGTATTTTACGATGTTGTTGGTCTTTTCACCATATTTTACACCGTAACAATTGGTAAGTTGATGTCACAGAGCATGAAAGATTAGTCATCCCTTATGTTAAGGTAAACTTCTCAACTATGGTGCATGTGCAGTAGTTGTGACGCTTGTCGCTTTTCGTATTGTGAGAGGCCACTACACCTTGAGTGATCTCGGACAAGCTTTCTGGCATCATACCTGCGCATTGATCGCTATGTTTGCTACCATGGTATGCGTTGTGGTGCTTGTGCTAAAATTTGATCTCCTTATGTGTTGGTAAGCGGGTAGTTTGGCATCATCCATTTTTTGCGATTCATTTACAAACATTTCTAGGTATAAAATGCCGGAAATCGTTGGACCATTGTACGTTCTGCCAATGCTGATTGCGGGATGTACTGTGCATACTCATTTTGCTGACAAGACCAAGGTAAATTTTTGATCTAGCACTTTTGATGGGAAACTGTGTTTGATCGTTGTTTTATTGTTTTCATAATTTGTTTGTACTGTTGATACTTCTTGTTGTTTAGTGAAAGTCTAATCTGCTCGTCTATTCGCTCATTGTTTTATTTAGATTCGCAACATTGAAATGGTGCAGTATGATAGTATCGTGGTGACGTGTGCTGTTGTATTGTTCGTGATGACTTCTTATAACATTGCATCGGCTTTCTTCGTACTCAACTACGTGTTGTTCCCGTTGTTAAAGGATCCGTTGATTTTCGCTCTTGGTGCAACAGGGCTGGTAAATAGTAAGTGTCTCACATTTACGATGATTTCGTTTTTCCCAGCTTCTGCTACTTTGGGCATGAAGCTCTAGTACTTTGAAATTTGTATGCGCAAAGGGCGTAGGTTGTGCTCGTGACATGTTCTCATCAAACCGATCCATTTCGAAAATCCGCCCAGAAATATTTTTATTGTCACCGCTTCCTCCAGCGAGCAGTCATGACGTCTATCTAAAGACAAGTTGGTGATTCTCCTTAGGGTGCGGGTCTGCTATATCGGCCGGCTATATTGTCATCGCGCTATCTCTGGTTACTTGCCAAAGTTTCATGAAAGTCTATCGTAAACTGCCGAAGAGGGGCTTGTGGATTTGAAGACAACAGCTGAAATTCATCTGAAACTGTTGAGCTGTTAGATAAGTAGTCATGAATGTGTGAAATTTACAGAAGACTGAGCTCATATAATCTAACCCAGGGAAGTGTACTCATGCAGAGCAAAGCTGCGACAAGTCTTTGATTTCATTACTAGTTATCGTCTTACAGGAGTAACTCCCCGTATTCTCCTATACACCCAGCTTATCTGTTTTGCCCCTGTATTTGTCTTCGCAACATACGCAATCAGTCAATGCGTCGACTTCTTCGTACCGGTCATGGGCCGACTTGGCAAAGCGGTCAACCCAGAATACATCATAGCACCGATGGGATTTGTGATCGCGTCTAGTTTTGTCCTATTTGTGGTGAGTGCTTCTGTTCAGAATTCATATCTCCGAGGTGTGAATAATACGTTGGGTTTTTACACAAAACAGGCATTCAGCCCTAATCACAAACATCTTTCACAACTTTTTTTTCGAAATTGGAGTCATCTTCGAGCTGAAAGATATCATGCAGATCTTTCATACGGTTCTACTCCTCCCCCTCTATAGCTTTGCCATTGAATCCATATCTCATTGTTGGTAGCATAATTTACAATTTACATACTATTTAGAACAATCTTTTCTACATATCTCGACGTATGAACTATCTGATAAAATGTGGTTGTGCTCTGTTTGTATTTTTCTTCATTGCGCTCCTAACCACTCCGCTTGGAGTACCATACTGGTACAGTGAGGAACATCCTCGGCTGAGACGAGTCATAGCACTGGTATGGTTCTTCAATGTAAACTGGGATCGGAATCATACCGTATTTTTAGCACACCAATCGTACTATTTACGATTTCGAAGGCCAGGTGGTTCAAAGGGATAATGCCCTTTTTGTGCAGTCACTTGATTATAGGTTAGTGTTAGTGATTAGATACACTGCAAGCTTCTTATCGTCAAGTTTTCGTTACGCTCCTCAAGGTATATTTTCAGAGGAGCCGAAGACTTGCCAGCACATTCGTTCCTCCAAGGAAGTACGACTCCAAACTGTAGCGGCATAAAGGACGAGTACTGTCGCTTACCGTACTACACAGCTATCCATGAGCTCTTCCCTCCTGAGTAGGTTTTGCTTTATACTCAAGTCTAATGTATGCAATATTGAGCACCTCCAAGCTTGTCGTTTGTGTTTGTAGGCAATCTCTTTGGGTACCAGTTCCCTCTCCAGCAGTCATACCGTATCCGATCCAATTCACGATGATCGATCGTGTGAAAATTGGTGCGAATAGGTTAAACGTCACATTTGAGGTCGGTAGTTACTCAGAGCTCATTATTGGAATAGCACAGCTTCAATAGTTAATCTCCTCTTCAGATGCGAGGCGGCTTTGACAAAATGTCTCTTCATATCACTCCTTTGTCTGGCTACGAATTGGTGAAATGGTCCTTCACAGATATCAACATCAAAGAGTTTGGGCGAAGAACTACATATTTTGTTTTTCTCACTTACGGGTACGAAATGCCGGAATATCGACACTTCTGGGTTCTGCTCGAGAACGTGAGTTGCTCATTCTGTTACTGATCCAAGAAAATACTATTATGTTTCAGCCGGGCGCTACGCAGGTGGAGCCAGAAAATACACACAACGTTGAAATCGCACTTGCGTCTCATCATGCACATGGTAACAGTCTCTATGTCATCACTAGATTTTCAGAATTTTTATTCGTTTACTCAATCGGTAACTGTAAGGCACTTTTTTGCTTACTCTAAGTTTGGGGTTGATGGTGCCTGTCGGCAATATACTGTGCAAATTATTCTTGCTATCCGAAAACATTTGCTCCGCACGTTAGCTTTGAGAGAACCTGAGACCATTTTGCACCATTCCGAATTTCCCCTGCATTCCAGCCCTATATTGAGCTGAGAATATAGCAGATTAGGAATTTTGACATCCTGGCGTCGTCCAGTCAAAACTCGTTGGACTTAACTCGGTATATGAAGTACGCGAATATCCTCTTTTGAACCACGCATGACTTATAAATTGTAAATAAATTAAAAATTGTATAAATCATGCGCTTTAGGTGAATATCAGAATTCGGAGACAACCCGACAACTGCGTAATCTCATCAAAGGACGCCGCCAAACACCTGGGATGGCCATTGGTTGGTGGAAATGGAGTATGACCTTGATTGGCGGTGTGTCGGAAATTATAGTGCGCATATTTTGATCATCAAATTAACCCGGTGATGCTGCGGGGAGCCTTGTTCTGAAAAACCGTCTATTGCTTATATGAGTCGATTTTTGTAGTTTTGTTCTTGCTTTGATGAACCTTAAACATAGATTTTGATTGTCCTCTCCACCTCTTCTCTGACGTGCAATGATCAATAGTTAGTTTTTTCTTGAAGATTTCGATTTCGGACTGCAGGAACAGGCGCCCCGAATGCTTTGACCTTAACACAATGTTTTAATTCGCACAATCTCATTCTTGTTGGAATATCAGAGAAAGTAGCTTTTTACTCCTCACTACCTCCTTTGAGATGTCATGCTTTTTTAATTCGCTGTATCCTCCTGTAACTTCTCTCCGCCTCTTCACTTTTTTGTCGCAGTGTTCCTTTGCCCCATCTTCATGTTGCACACCCATCTACTTCAGATTTCATCTTCAAATGCTCGCCTCACTTTCAGCGCGCTAAATCAAACGGGGCTATCACTTACTAAATCCATACGAATAATTGTCAGCTTACTTGTCTTTTCATACCGGTTCAGTAGATTCTGTTAGATGATGACTCATGCTTGATTTGACATTCCAAAGTAATGTAAATTTCCATGAAGTTTTTGTGTATGAATAAATGCTGCATGATCATTGATCCATGTTTGGGCTTCGAGATCTTGTCAGAATAATCTCGAGTTGATTTTACTTAAAGGCAGTGGCTCGGCAGATTCTCGACTTCAAGTTTTTTGCTTACCTGGGGTAATGCGAGGCGCTGATTCCGGAGATCCACCTTGAAGAGCCCGAAGATGGCAAAAACCACTATCTCTCAAGACCTCCAATTTTGAATTTGGACGAGTGGGGCACGTCCCGCTATGGTTAAAGAGGCAGAATCGTTGCGGTATCCTCGCAGTTATAATATTGCGGCATGCCTTCTCTGACCGGTTAGGGAGAATCGCAGGCTCGTCCGCGCGTATTAGAATGGCTTGCGTGTAACGGGATTTTCTAAGCAAGGGCAGTATGCTGTGGGCTCGGACCTACTCTGTTCTCATGTTTGGGGTGCAAGCAATTTTCCATGGCAAAATTGGGGTGTTCGGTTTGGCGAGCTGCTGCCTTTAACGTATTATGAAATTTTTGTTCGCGAAGTTAACATTGAGACATGGATGTAACTGCACCTATAAAAGCTGCTTTTGCGACTGTTCCATTAACCATGTTTTCGCGATTGCGTAGGTATGGGTGTATGCCAAGATGAACGATGGCTGGAAATAAGCGTACCGTACTCCTGCGGTTGTCAGCATGCCGCGCATGAAGTCTTATTTTTTGAAGCGATACGTTTTTCAATGGATCGGAATTGATGGCGATGTGTATGTATGAATTGATGCTAATGTATGCCAATCCCAATGCCATTGTATGATGGAAAAAAGTTACCATGAATAAAGGCCTCCGAAAAGGCTCATTAATTTTGCACCAACCCAATAATTTCAAAAATCAAAAAATCTGCACGGAGTTTTATGGCAGTAGTATGGCAGTGGCTAGAACGAAAGAAAACTCAACCAATCGAAGAGAGAAGGAGATGGGTCGAATGATACCCAAGCGTTGTTGTTTACTGTGATTTGATGAGCGATGGGAAAAACCTAAGGAAATCTTTCCGGACGACCAAATACAAACACAATTATCGATTTATGTCAGCAAGGCGATTTTTCAATTCAAGAATTATCTTCATTGCACTCACTGCGCAAATATTGCCGCATTCATCACTTGCTTGCTTCCCACGGCAGCTGTTTTTGCCCGTCCACTTCCTCCTTTATGAACTGCCGTAAACAAATACTTCTTGCGTACACTATTTTTCACTTTGCACTTCCAAACAGTTTGAACTTTATTTGGTACCGTTTTGTGTTTTATCAAATTACCTTCAATTCTTTGCTATATTAATTTCCGGATGTATGTCGAAAGGCGCGCGTTCCCTAAGCCTTCATTTCCAGACTGAGTCAGTTCTCTGCAAAAGCAAGGTTTCCAGATTGCGAGATTTTTCTCAGTACATCAAAGTATAAAGAAGGATAACCAATTGAAATCCGAAAGTATTAGAGTAATTTTAAACTTATTTTTTGCTTCTTCCAGTCAGTAACAATCGATCAATACGCGCCATTCGACCGTCTCCCTTAATTTCCACTTTCATCGCTGTGTTCGTATGTAATACGAAAGATAGTCTGTACAGAAACTGATCTTTGAAGAGCTAAAAATCCATGCAAAATCAAAACTTTTACAAGAGCTCAAGAATGTCACATCGCTTTTGAAAGTGGTAATAATTAGAAATGCTCTGAACTTTGAAGAAATCTAGATGTTTGCTAGGAAAATCCTTAGAGTTTTTCGAAACAGCAATCTTGAGACTAACGTAGCTGTAAACGAATACCTAGGCCTATACTAATCTTCGAAGCTATCTGTGTACTTACATCAAGTGTTCATAATTTGCTTTAACAAAACGAATTTGAAAAATGGTTACTGTTGTAGATGGACGATAGCGTCAGCGATAAGAATGTCATTGAAACCATCCCGTCCTCTGCTTTCAGAAAGTAAATAGTTTCTGGGTACCGCCGTCTAAAGTATGAGATCATTCTGAAAGTTTTTCGTTTTTGCACCTTCAAATTCAAACGAGCACAACTTTTTCCGGATTTAACCTTTTTCCATCAAATAAACTGCGTCGTGTTCGGCAAATTTCTGGTAACACTACTGTAGTCATACTGTACTTTTTTCTTGTGAAATAATCCCAGAGGAATCAATAAAGCCTAAAAAGGCGTTTTCGACTAGCTAATCTTTATTGGGTCCTATTATTATTCAGTAGGCACCGATGAATTAGAAAATTTGGTGATCGGTAAAGGAAGGTCTAAAGAGTTCGGAAAATAAACAGGAACCTCTGTGCGCAGTCAATCCCTTTTGTGAGAGCCACTTTTCTTACATGTGATTTGGCGGAGTCACGGGCATGGATGGCATCTCTCATAGCTTATTCTTGCAAGTCCGCTCAGTTCTAAAATTTTGACAAACTGTCTTCGGAGTGATATCACACTACTCTGCTCTTACAGTACAATCGCATCTCAGCAAGTTTATAGCGTGCAAGACCAGCAAGATTGCATTAATTTGCATACATCAACCTTCTGGAATGACTGATTGTTCTGGCCATGCTTTCAATGCTTATTCCAAATGATTTACCATAATGTCGCTTCTTGTAACCGCACTTGGCCAATTCTTTGCTGTAATCAATAGTCCAGGCCAAAAAAGAATTGCTCCATCAAATTATGAGTAACGAAAGCAGAGTTAACGTGCCCTCAATCTGCGAGTGCCACAATTTGTGGGGTACACGTCACTGAAAACTTTCGGTATTGCAGCTTTAGCGAAGGTGGCTTCCAATGGGGTTATATGACACTTCAAGGCCTTCTGATAATTTTACGCAGCTATATTTTTTGCTTTGAAGGACCCCCTGAGAGGCTCGTTTATATGGCAGGAACACCTTCCAGGACACTGCAAAATATTAGCTTTCACTTCTCTAGATCTGAGCTTTTTGAAGTAGGCTTGAACCTACCTCAAGAAAGACGTGGTCTTGGCAAATGCATTGTGCACAATGATGTTTTCCTCAACGGTCTTACGCTCAAGTTTAAGCTCAAGGGATACAATTATTCGAAAATCGCATTTTCGTATGTCGAATTTAGAACCGCGTACACTTCCCTACAAAGCGTTTTCTGCAACTTGGGTGGGATCCTCAGAAACTAGAAGACTTTCTCTACAGATCTATAGGCAGCAACCCCTATCAGCCTTCTGGCACCCTCTGAAAATATGGTACCAACATCAAAGGCGCAAAAAGCGAAGAAACTTTCCGAATGACCTAATACACAATTAAAAGCGTTGCAGAGATTTCTGGAGCTCACAAATTCCAGGGATAACTTTGACTTCTGTAGATGAACAACAAGCACAACGTAGAGAGTGTCATTGAAATCGCAGTGACCTTTGCTTTCAAAAAAGGAAATATGTTTTGCTGACAGCTATCTCGAGACAATCACAAGCAATGTTGCTTTGTTTTCCATTTTGCCAAAGACGATATCTCCTTTCAAATGGGTATATTAGTATCACCGAATTTTCTCATTACCGAAAAGTTATGTTGAATGAAAGAGAGGATTCTATAATGATCTCTTTGATCTAGTATGATAGTCTCAAACATTTTGTCATCGTTATCTATGAACAGAATATGAACAAATGGTAAGAAGACATCAATGCAAATTATACTTTCTCGCGTTGAATTAAGACCTCGTTTCCAGAGAAAAAACTTTGATATCTGCTGAACACAAGTGAAACTTACATATTTAAACATTCTATCGCACATCCTTCTTACTGTCATTGTTGTCCTTCTTTTGAAGTTTTTTGAGGATGTGAACGTGCGTATGTGCTTTCTGTACGTGAGAATCTATTGGCTTGGTCCGAAAGTTTGTCATCAATTTTCGAAAAATCGTAACTCTCTGCTACCTGCATGGATCTCTCTTCAATGAATTTTATTGGAGTGTAGAAATCAATCGGTTTTTAAGTGTAGCCCAAGTGCGTTATATAAAGCACGAGTTGCAGAGTTGCAAATGCAAGAGCAAGATCACTTAAATCCTGTGATCTTGAACAAGTTCATCAAAACCCGCGCTACAAAATACCAAAACAAATATAAACATATGTTTTGTGATCTCCTCTTTGTAGCTAAACAGAATTTGTGCTGATGATTCCCTTTAGATATGGTTTCCGGAAGGAATGCTCAGCGTTTTTCACGGAAATCAATCTGCTTTCGATCGGCGCGAGATGCTCAGCTAAAAAGAGGAGGTCATAGGACCTATGCTTACGACCGTTTCGGTTTCCCTGTAACGTGATTCAAACTTAAGCAAACCTCTTCGTTTGCTTCTAACTCAGGCATTTTCTCGTTCTAATTCACCGCAAAGGTACTTTCATGAAGCGCATAATTTCGCCTTCAGTTAAAAAATAAGATTTTTCGTGACCTTGCTCGAAATTCCAATTTCGAGTGGTAACTCCTGCATTTGCTCATACTAATTGATGCAAGAGAATTATTGGAAAAAGCATGACTTCCACTATTGAACAAAGATAGATTCAATCCACTTAGACGCAAAAAAGTTATGATGAAAAAGCGAACTTTTGTACCAACCTAGTTCATTAAATGATTCTGAATCGTGATTAACGCCAAAACCATTATTCTCAAGTGGCTGCTCGAAATAAATTTTCTTAAATCCATGGCACATTGAATTTTCTGTCATGCGAAAGTTCTTCAGGCTGTTTGCTTTACCGCTTTTCAAACCGATAAGCAAAAGTTTGTCAGCGACGTTCTTTACTCCTTTTATTTGCTTATTTCGCATTTTTTGAGTCATTATTTGCGGACCACGCCATTTCGAGCTTGGTATGTCGTTTTCCATATGAGTTTCCAGAATTATAGATTTGGCAATCCAGCTTCGGTGTAATCAGAATTCGCCTCTTGGGAAGGTTCGAAATTCTGAGAATATCATTTTCAATGACTTGTTCTGATGGCAACATATGGAACAGTTCTAGCTCTCATACTGTTGATCTGAATATTCGGAAAGTACCTTGTAAATACTGTCAGACTTTATTCCAATGTAAAACCTTTTCTTTTTTGTTTTTGCCGCGAATATCTGCAAAGAGAACGTTATAATTGTGCTAATTTCAATCTCATGATGCACTTTTTATCATCTTTATTGGCTTTGGTAATCTGATCACTATGCACTTGAAATTCATTGAGATGTAGTGAAGTGACTTCACTTGTATTCGTATCACAAGCTACATCAAATCTTTACGTTAACTACTCTGGTAAACACCTTCACACCAGTGGCGTACCGAGGGGGGGGGGGGCGGGGGGGGGGGGGCGCGCCCCTTTTTGAAAGTTACTTAAATGTGTTATAAAAATGTGCAGATGACTTGTTTTTACTTGTAAATAATTAAAATAATTTTTAAATATTTTTAAAAATTCAAATTAGCCTTGTAAAAAATTTTTTTCGGAGGCGTGGCTGCCGCCACGCCCCCTTTATCTGAAATTTTGGGGTCAGGGGCCCGGAAAAATTTTGGAAAGCATTTCAAAAATTTTTTCGGAGGGCGTGGCTAACGCCACGCCCCTTGATCAGAAAAATTTTTTTGTCGCGCCCCCCCCCCCCCGAACGGAAATCCTGGGTACGCCACTGCTTCATACGTAACCAACTGTCTTTCAGTTCTCCTCGCTAGTACCGCGTCCAGACGCTAGCAGCGATGACTAAAAACTTATTCCTAGTTAGGAAACAAAATTATTCTCACTATTACCGGGATATTATCTATAACACGAGCCAAACACTCTGAAACTCAGTTTTTTTTGCGTTAGTTCAGACTTACCATCTGTTGGCGAACGATCATAGTCTCTGACGAAATAATCAATCTTGTGGTTTTTCAAGGAATTGAGAGAAAGGTTTTCTTATCTTATGACGTGACTGATTTATGTGTAAATCAATGTTATATGTGAGCAGTCCGCATTCTTAAAACATTTTTGGAAAACCCTCCTCTTTGCTCCGCCTGTAATTTTGCACTTTTGCGATTGCACCATTGGTATAACAGTTCGCCAATACGAGTTTTGAGTTCGCTCAGTAAATCTTCGAAACTGAAATCTTCGCTTTACAATTATCTCAAAACTCGAAAAGCATTTGATATTCGACTTCAACACTCACTTTAATCGGGAAAATCAATAAATAGTAATTTAGAACTTACCGACAAGCATCTTCTTGTTCAAAGAGATGATTTGTTTCTGAAAAACGGCTGACATCACGTGGTCAAAGTGACGTTGAGCGAGGAAAATCTAGATAGAAATGTTAAATTTTGGTTCGAACTTACTATCAAAAATAAATCTTGATTATTTTGAAACCAACTCACTGATATGTTACAAGTACCAGTTTTGTTCACCTACATCATATCGGTCGCTAATATATCCCTGTCGGAGTCGAATACTGGTTTTCCATACGCCAATTTTTCGAATAGCTGCTGCACAGCGTTGCCCTTGGACATTCCGAAGGGCAAGTGTAGATTGACAATCTAAAAATTGCAAGATTTTAACAAAGATCAATAAGAAATACTTGCACTTACCATTATCCAGTTGGTTCGTGTCATCCTTCTCACTTGTTCGATTTCCCTTGACATCAACTCCTGTTTTGCCTTCATTTGATCCACGGCAGATCCTAGCGATATAAAAGCAGTAGATAATTCGCTGCTTAGGCCAGTAGCAGTCCGAAGAATAGTGGGATGGCAGCAACCGAATTAGATATTTCAATATGAAAATGAGTTTCCATACGCCTTTTATAATACACACTTTTATACACTCAACTCCCGCCAAAAAAGTTTTTGACCTAGTCGGTGCACGAGGTATATCAGGCGAAATCATGACAAATATGCAAGCTATTGAAGTTGAGTAAGAATAAATCATTACTTAACACTACTTTTAAAGTTCTTAGATAACCCTGCTAGTTTACAGAACCAATTGTATACACTAAGTAGTATGCGATATAAGGGTTGGCAATGCCTGATTTGACTGTGACGCGTAATGTAGTGGCTAAAGCAATGACCTATCAAGATAAGCTAGCCGTAGGTTCAAATCCCTCTTACTTTATTAAGGTTAAAACAGCAAAAAGAAGTATAACGGCTTATAAGTAACGGCTTATATGTCTGTTTACCTTACAACTTCAGAATTTAGAAAAGCTTTGAAATCCTTGTTCGGTAATACTTGTCAGAGCCCAAAGTAAAGACAAATAACGCCTCATCCTCGTGTAACAAGTGGTGTAATGGCTAGGGTGTTAGTCTAGTAAGACAAAGTAGATGTAGGTTCGAATCCTTGTTACTTTAACGAGTTAAAACAGCATAGAAATGTATTGCTCATATGTTTAATTATGTTGTAGCTTCAAAAATGGAAAAAGCATCGGAATTCTTTGTTCAGAAATAAATATCATAGCCAAACTAATAGGAAGACAGAAAACGCTTGATCTTTGGCTAACAAGTAGTCTAATAGTTAGTGACATAGTCTCTCAAGACAGAGTAGCTGCAGGTTCGAATCCTTCATACTTTGATATGAAACTAAAGCACCAATTAAGTATTGCTTACATGTTTGTTAGTTTTATATTGTAAGTAAATTAGAAGGCATTGAAATCCTTTACAGCAATATCAGATCCTAAAACTAATAGCCAGATAGTGATTGCCATAAACGCGACCAATGGTGTAATGGTTAGTGAGATAGTCTCTCAAGACAAAATAGAGTGGGTTCAAATTCTTTATATCTTGCTGAAGATATAATAAGATAAATAGGCTGCTTATACACTTATCAACCACAGCGATAAAACATTAGTAGCTCATTGTCTTTTTTCACCCTCCAGCATTAAAGTTGGAGTAGGCGTAAGGCCTTTTGGTGAATAGAGCACTATATCAGGTCAAAGACTTTGAAAATAATAAGCAATGGATGCGTTTAAAGAGTGAAATATATGCAGCAGTTATTTCCTCCTCTTCTTGTCTTTTCCTCTATATCTTTTTGAAATAGGGAAACCTCAAGAATTCGATCAGGAATATAATAATTCATTCACCCTCCTGCATTAAGAGCAGGAGAGGCATAAGGCCTGTTGGTGAATAGAGCATTCTAATTTTATACGATACCGTTGCAAATGCACCTTATAGTCCATTAAAAATTCATAACATTTTCATTACGCAAAACAAAATGTCCATTTGTAACTTCGAGATTATCCTATGCATCTAATAACCCTAATAACTCTAATATTATATGTGGTCCTGCGTTCCATTATATGTCTTTTACCAATTTCATATACAAAAATTATCTTTAGTGCTTATAGTTATCATATTAAAGGGTTCATTGATTTATTTTCCATAATATACGATCATTAAAGTCTACTACATCAGCTATACAGATGCAGGTTGGAAAATTGGTTCTGTTGAGTCATTCAAGGTAAATTGAGTTAGTTCCTACAATCATATTTGATGAGTATAAATTGAAATGCTACAGGACCCACGATCTAAACCTGGTGTTCTATTGTAGAACATTACCTCCAGGCACAATAAGTACATATCAATACATTCACGCTATTACATAGCCGCTGTGATGTCAACATTACATACAAAAAATCAATTATATAATTCGGGAGAACCCTAGCGCGGTGTGGGCACCCCATCCTATGCGGTTTACACTGCGGGTAAGGCTCCTCGGCGAAGAAAAGGCTTGCCCCTGCCGAGGAGGAAACATCCTCCGATAAAGAAACTGCATAAGGGTCCAGGAAGGACCGCCTTGGACTCGATGGACACAGGTCCACCAACAAAAACCAAAATATAAATAATACAAATGCTTATGTTCAGTATTGTCCTTGTCTAACAATACAAGAGATCAAAACAGATGCAGAGTAGTTACAACATCAAATTCAAGTGAGCATAGAGGCAATCGATGTAGTAGAAATAAATGTGCTATATGTGATCTTATGAATTTCCAAGGCGTAGTCAAAAGTTCAATCACAAATTATTATTTTAAAACGAATAGACCACAAAAATGTATATGTGATACAAACAATGTATTATATATGATAACATGCCTTACTTGCCAAATGCAGTACGTGGGCGAAACATCACAAAAGCTAAAAGCAAGGATAAGCCAACATAATAGAAATATTCAGAAACAAGTCCTAAACACATACTTGGTAAACCACTTTAAGAATACCGGCCATGATCCCTGGAAGATACGTGTAGATGTTTTGGATCATGTAGCTGATACGGAAGATACGGATACGGATTAAATCCAAATTACGAGACAAAGAGTTAGAATGGATAAAATATATGATTACCGCTTACCCTTTCGGTCTGAACGATCAAATAAAAGGGTTTGGTAATATATCTGAAAAGGTAAACCCTTTGGAAAAAAGGAACCATCCATACTTTACATATCCAGTAAAAAGACCAAGAACTAAAGAGAAGAAAAGAAGATCAAGAAAGCAAAACACTTGTCCAGACAGAACAGATCACTTGGTGAATGAAATAAACATCAGACAAGGGAACGAGCTTTATAAATTTTTCAGAACATTGAATAAATATGATATGGATAGGCTTATAGAACATGCTTTTAATGAATCATATCAAAGTCACTCTTTTGAGCTGAAATATAAAATATGGACTGTTAGTATCTCCCTTTTGGAATAAAAAGACTCAAAAATATTCAACAAAACTGGATATAGTAAGCATTAGATATTTGGGTGGAATAATGTACAAACTAAGGCTTAATAGAATATGCAACAGTTTGCAATTGAAAAATATAATAGCACATCACACAGCTAATACACAAGAAGCCAGGGATCTGGTAGTGCAAGTGGTTCACAGAACAGATCCGCCACAGTGCCTAAGAATATTTAACTATAATTATTTTTTGAAGAATCTTGATTCACAAAAAATACAACAGTTAGAACAAAGAGAATGTCCTTGCAGTAACTTCAAAGATTATGTGGATCCTGTACATAAACATGTTTGTACTGGGAACCTAAACTTAATCAAAGATGTGAAGCTCAGAAAATTGCTGGGTAAAGGTACAAAATACCGAAGGCATAATAGAATCACTAAACAACAAGTAAAAGAGGAAATGGCACAAATGATAACGCAACTGATAAAAAAGTTGTCGAGAAAATACAAGATAATCGGTAATGCAGTAAGTTCATTTACACAAGAAGTGACACATTACATGTATAAAAAGATTCGATCTCAGCTGTTCAACTTATACGATCGACAACAAGTAAACATAGAAAGGTACAATATCAAGTCACTGGAAGAAATTCAAGAAAACTTTATCATTACACCCATAGATAAAGCTGCATCCAATTTTAGTCTTACCTGTAAGAAGTTCTATCTGGATAATATAAAAAAGGAATTGGAACAGCATGATAATGATTGTACTTATGTACCGACACGATTACAAGTACAAGAAGTAAAACAAATTCACCATGGCATCATGCAAAGTTTAAGCATTGGAAATAATCATGAAGGGGCAGCACCACTAATATATGGTATTCCAAAAATGCATAAAAATCCTATCAAATTTCGTTTTATCACAGGAGCAAAAAATAGTAGTATTAAACCGTTAACTACAGTGCTACAGCTAATCTTATCACATTTACGTAAACATTTTAGTAACTATTGTAATGTCATCAGATATAGAACTGGGGTCAGACTTTTTTGGGTAATTAACAAGACTACTGATGTCATCAAGGATGTCAATTTGAATGGCAGAGGAAAAACTCTACTTTCAGCAGATTTTACAGGCCTTTTTACAAGCTTACCGCATCAAGTAGTTAAAACCAACATGAGCAGACTGCTACAGCTGTGCATGAAGGAATATATTAGGTTGTCGGATAATTTCTGTTACACTTTTTTCTGAAAATTTCTAGGAAATCCCAGAAGCTTTCTGAAAACCCCAAATTTGCAACACGCTTAGGACAAAGCAGGATCTACCTACCAGCATGATTGGTGCCGCAAGTGCACTAATGACCAACAAGTTTACGGCAGTTTTGTAAAAGCAGTCAGATTTTTCAGTTTTTGTCTCATCTTCTTCTCTGCACCTATTTGCGCTTTCCCTCTTCTAGAATTTTTTTGGAACGTATTTTGGCATTGTCTCTTACATGGAGGCATTCCGGTGCCTCTAGCGTTTCAAAAACGAGGGGTGAAAAAATATCAAAAAAAATTCAAAAACTTTCCTAAATTTTTCTTTTTATGTACATCCCATGGAAATGAATACAAAAAACATAAAAATGATTTTTTGAAATTTTTTGAAGACGTTTTCTTCGTAAAAATTCCGATGATTGCAAAGATGGCGCACACTAAGATTTGAACCACTCACAAAAACGTGTGCAGACATGAACGCGTTATCCCCCCATATAAGCTAAACGCTACAGACTATGCCCTACCGATTATCAATTGTCCGGTCTATCGCTCATCACCTGAGAGGGAGCCAGCTCATTTACAAAAATGGGAAGAAACGGATTTTCAGCCACAAACTGGGTGTTTTGCGCACGGATCGGGGATGCGACGGTACCATTGTATAGGCCTTTTGACCCTGCCCATACGTCGTGTGCATGATATCTTTCCAAAGCTTCTGGGATTTTTAAGAATTAAAATAAAAAGTGTAACAGAAATTATCCGACAACCTAATAGATACATCAGAATATCTAGAGACAAAATATATTACAGCTTTAGTAACGAAGGTAATGGAAACTTTTATAGAAAGGAGGATATAATGTATATGATAGACTCCCTTTTGAACTCTTACTATATAATTTTCGGAGGGCTTATATACCAACAACTAAAAGAAATTCCGCAGGGGGCTTCATGTAGTCCCCAAATGGCTGACCTAACTTTAGCCTATATGGAATGAGACGTATCGTTACATAGATAACATCCTACATATTTCTAATGATGTGCAAAGATTTGAAAACACTTTGAAAGATATTTATAACAACAGTCTTACTAAAGAAAAAACTAACGACTCAGAATTAGAAACGAATTGCTTGGACTTAAATATTAGGTTGTCTCATAATTAATGCACGTTTTATAAATTTCAACTACTAATCAAGATAACTCTTTTTCGAAACCATCTTTTTGAGCGCAATAAAAATTACTGTAAACAACAAACCTTTGACCATAGAACGCATGCTTTTGTTGGATTGCAGCCGCTTTAAGAAAGATTTTATAGCCTAAAAAATTCCCGAACATTTTTTTAGAAACCTATACTTTGAGAGAGCTAAACTTTTGCTTAAATGTACTAGGATCGCGCGGACTTTGCTCATTATATAGCCGATGGTCGGCTGTGCAATGGAATAAAGTTTGAATTTTCCGGCATATTTCTGTAAGAAAATTTTGCCAAACAACTGGAAGTACCCATTTCTTACAGTATTTTGGAAAATCCAAAAAACTGCCTTTTTGGGTTTTTTAAATTTTTTCTCTTCAAAAAGACGATGAAATGCTGCCGTTTTCCTAGCATTAGTTGTACTAGGTCTACTCTACCTGCACATAGCGAAATTTATATAGTCGCTATTCGCTTGAGATTATGCGGCTTAGATGGGCCTCAGCTACCAGCCAAGTTTGAGACAAGATTTCTCGGCTCGGAATTTTTCAAAAATCTCATACTGGCAAGCGTTTTGTAGCACAAAGCTTCGCGATCATTACGCATATTATTTGAAGAAAATCCGTATACCTTTTGTGGATTTAGAGCAAGGAGAGTAAAGGGAGAGAATTTCATATTTTGATCACTTGTCTTTGAAGGCATGAAACTTCGGCTTCAGCAAACATTTGCGAAAACGAAAGCACATGTTAAAAACTAGAAAAACCGGGCTTTCCGACACTCTAAGGGGTTTTGAAGAAAAATGTTTTCTCTTTGAAAATCAGCTCTCTCAAAAAGAGGTTAGAAAAACGTGCATTAATTATGAGACAACCTAATATAAAAGTAAAAGATGACAAAGTAATTTATAGTTTGTATAATAAGACAGATGCGTATAACTTCAGAGTTTATAAATATCCGCATAAACAATCTAATATACCTAGGCACATTATCTACAATACTCTTGTAGGAGAAGTGCTACGCATAAATAGAAACTGTAGCAATTATGAGGATTTTGCCAATAGAATCTTGGAACTTTGTGAAGCATGTGTGCAGAATGATTGGGAACCACGCGAGGTAATTGATACTTTATGTCACACATTACGCCAAAGACCTTATATCATGAGGAAGTATGGAATTGACAGTACATTACACATTCCTGTACTCCATAAAGTACATATTAGAATGCTTGATCTACTGGGCGGGGAGCGGGCAGTACACAGGCGGGAATAACCAGAAGACTTTACGGGTCAGCATTCATTTATGCTTATTTGTCTTAGACTGCGCCCTCTTCCATTCCATACTTTTATCCTCACATTCTTTTATTGCTTAATTATTTCATAATACTCCTCATTCTTCTTATTATTTCATATTTGGAAGCCTTCCTGTGAACTACTGATGAGGGGCGGCACGTTGGCCACACTTCTGGTCTAGTTCAAGCCCCGAAACCAGAGTGTGAAAATCCAATTTTGGTACATGCTGGACTTCGCATCTCAATTAACTTCAGCATTACCTCCTTATTCATAAAAAATTTCAACATTGGTAATGTTTTGTCTGATTTGAAACACTTCTCATTTACTCTGGTAAACACCTTCATACGTAACCAACTGTCTTTCAGTTCTCCTCGCCAGTACCGCGTCCAGACGCTAGCTAAAGCGATGACTAAAAACTTATTCCTAGTTAGGTAAACGAAATTATTCTCACTAAAATTACCGGGATATTATCTATAACACGAGCCAAACACTCTGAAACTCATTTTTTTGCGTTAGTTCGGACTTACCATCTGTTGGCGAACGATCATAGTCTCTGACAAAATAATCAATCTTGTGGTTTTTCAAGGAATTGAGAGAAAGGTTTTCTTATCTTATGACGTGACTGATTTATGTGTAAATCAATGTTATATGTGAGCAGTCCGCATTCTTAGTATTCTTTGGTTTTGGTAATAAAAGAAAAACATTTTTGGAAAACCCTCCTCTTTGCCTCCGCCCGTAATTTTGCACTTTTGCGATTGCACCATTGGTATAACAGTTCGCCAATACGAGTTCTGAGTTCGCTCAGTAAATCTTCGAAACTGAAATCTTCGCTTTTTTCAATTTCCTTGTCAATAGTTGTCGTCTTTCTTCTATCACTGATAAGAATGAGTGGGTTCAACCGAAAATTCTGTCTCACCACACATCACAGCAGAGTGAATGGATGAAAGTGTTAGTCTTCTTTTATAGAGAAATAAGCTTTACAGATAGTTACCAAACAACCGTAAATATTAGGTTGGTACAAATTCTTGCACCAGAAAATAGAAAAATAGGTTTTAAATACTTAAACAAACTAACAATTCACATAATGTGTTCTTTTTTATATACGTCAGAAGTAGTATTTTATAACGCATATCAGAAAATCAAATTGAAACGAAATAAGTCAAATAAATAAATTGAATTTTATGACTGTGCGTTGAGACATCCGATCATTACCCTTTTTAGTCAGAAAGAATAGGTTCTAAAATCAAGACCAAAAATCTATGTATTCCTGGACGTTTTAGCAATTTTATCAATTGAAATTCGCAAAATCACTTATTTCATTTAATCAGATTGTACCGTCGCCATATGCTATTGCAGAATTCCAATTCAAGCACGCATGAAAAGCGCAAGATTTAGTAATTTCTCCGCTTTTTGTCAAATTAGAAGATTGCATTAAATGTTAGCAAAAATTTTACGAAAAGAAATTCCATTGATATAATTGAGGATTACATCTTGGTATGCTACATCTACAGGACTGGGCTCCTGCACATGCGTACATTTGGCAGCTTCTCTCAGAGCGAATGCGTAAGAAATGCCGTGACGAGGCGGTGTCAGTCCTAGAAAGGGGCCTCCCCTCCCCCCCCCCCCGAAAACGGGGGCTAACGCCAGGCACCTTCATTCGAAAATTTTTGTAGCCTATTCGACTGCATTGTGCGCAAAAGCTGTATCGCTTGATATTCCATGCTCCATCTTCGATAAATGAGCATCAGCTTAATCTTGTAGATCTGATTGCATTCTTGCTTTCTCCATCTAAATGAGTCTTTCTCTGTAAAACAGAGTTTGATGGGATAATCGGATAGATTGCCGATGGAGTTCGACCTTTTAAGACTCCGAAGAACTCAACAACTGCATCGGAGGGTTCGCGGCTTTAAAGCGTCTTACATGGCGCGCTGCGGCCCTCAAAATCTTTGCCCGACGAGCCGCGGCCCTTGAAATTTCAGCTTCGCACGCCGCGGTCCATGCATATTTTACCGGGAACGCGGCCAATGTTGAACTTGGGAAGAGGTCATCGGAAGAGTCGCAGCCCAACTACATTATTGGGCGGGCCGCGGGCTTTATCAAAGGCCGCCTTTCTTACACGCTGTGGCAAATTAGCATGAAAAGTTCGGAAATGGTGGTTCGTATTTTCGGTAATTTTCTTCAATTTCTAGCTATAGAAAATAATTCAACTATATACAAAGCTGTCCAGTTGAAGAATATATGCGTGAGTTGCACTTCCGTAAGATTCTTGCTATGGGCGGCTTTGATCACTGAAAATCTCGTAGGTTTTGGTCTCAAACTTTACCTTGAGCCAAGTTTTTGTGGATGTTTAGGAGTCATCATGTAAAATTGATTTTAGCATTCTAGCGAATGCTGCCTCACACACTTTTTTTGTTTACCTTGCCGAGTAGCTGTGCACACAACTATCGGTTTAGTCTAGAATCTATATATTCTATATCATTTATATATTCTTATATTCATAAGGTCAATTATAGAAACTTGCTAGTCTACTTCTGCACATACGAGCCACATACATACACTCTCTCAAAGTACGTTGTACTCATCTTGATGATAACACTCTGATAGTGCGTTCGTAAAGTCATAGAATCTATTTACAGCAAATTTTTGTATGTCCGTAACGGCCAAAAATTTCTATCGGCGTCCATTACCACCGAGCTGTGTGGATTTTGCGTCTGAAGAGGGTAAACGTTTATTTAGGGAGAGTCTGCTTGATGGTGAGGATTTTTCTTTTGCTGGACATAAATAGATGTGCTCTCAAGAGTATTGTTTCAGGGAATGCCAATATCTACTTCAGACTAGCCTCTCAGTTTCGAACGCAAGATGAACCGGCGTATTGTGGGCTTAGCACTTTGGGTAATTCTAAAGAGAATTCTCAATAACGCTCTTATGTAATAGTTTTATTTTACGTTTGAAGGCTAGGTACTATAAACTTATGATTTCGCTGTAGCATACTTTATTTATCATTTCTGAACTCATAAGATCAAGCTATTTTGTAGAAAAATATCTGTTGCCCAAAAAATTGAGAAACTTTCCAGTTATGGTCTTGAATGCGCTCGAAGTTGATCCGGGCAGAGTCTGGAAAGCACCGTGGCGATTTTATCACGAATCTATGCTTGACTGTTGCGTTCCTTTAGAAAATGTCAAGAAGTGAGTATTATTATTCAACGCTAAGTGCGATGTTTTAATTGCCCTTGTTTCCGGACCGGAATCAATTTGGCCCAGTTTTCGTGTTTGGCCACCTGTAATCGTTTAAATACCCTCGTACGATATGGTGAAGAAGGCAAAGGTAAACAAGATTGATTTTTTGGTGTTATAGAAAACTTCACAGGTTACTGATGGAACTAATAAGGCAATTATTTTTCTTCAAGGCTTCTCAAAAGAACCAATAGGGCAATCTCTAAGACCTACAAAACAGAACATTTCAAAAAAAAATCTGAGCAATCGAAAAGCTAGCCGAACTGTCACCACTCAAATTAATTTTTTCTCAGGATTTCTTACAAAGCTACGCGAAAATGTCATAGCTTCTGTGCAAAGCGACACGGAAGTGATTGTGGCTAGTTACGACAGATCTCAGCTGGAACAAACCGGCACTGGTTTGGATTTTCTGTGTGAATGTAGTCTAGTGGTCGCCATTTTCCTTGCTGAGTCGGCACCTATCTGCCTCTAATTTAGGCCACTTCTCACCCATAGCCGCTTTCCACGCAGGCACAGACCAGGTGCTGATTATGGATGTCGCAAGATTCAAATATCCACCTCACTGGGTAACACTTAGTAGGCTGCAACAAGCCATGTGCAGCCTGGATCCGTCGACGCGGCGACCAAGAGGCAAGAAATTCGTAAACTCAGTTTTTCACTAATATTGAGATAGCGCGAATTATCCCAGATTGTGTTAAAGAGCCCCGTGTTAGGCTTCTGCCCATTCGGCACCATTTCGTGAGATTGCACTTTGGCCAGCAGAGGGCGCATTGGCCTGCGCAGGTCGACCCGCCGGTATCCTCTTTCGTGTTTCAATACGTCCTTTTAGACAACAGCCTCCTCCTTGGCATGTCTAAATCTGCGGCGCAGTTTAAAGTAAGGAGCAAATCTCGTTCAAGCTGCCTCAGCGGGTCCTTCAAAAAGCAGAATATTTGCGAATTTTTTGCGATCAATCGGCTCAGTTTGGGACCGGTAATGGTCGTAAAGGTTGTGACATGCAAAATCTCAACATTTAACTTCTGGTGAGACACTGCTTTAAACAACTTTATGGGTGCTTGCCTTTGTTTTAATCAGTATCAAGTAAACTTAAGGATCCCCTTCTAGAAAGGTTATTTCGAAATTCTTCCCTTTTTCCTATCGCATTGGTAGAGACTAGCTTTTTCTCAGTGGTCCTTTCTCCTCTTTGCATAGCACTACTTGTTTTGGACTCCAGGTTCTTTTTTCTGAATCTGGGCATTTTATGTCGCATTTTGATGTAATAGATGTCCTGTCAAGCCCAGATTAGTACTGTGAATTTTTATTGACCTAACGTTTCGACAAGGTCGTCTTCTTCGGAGGTCTGAAAGTTAATTTCAGTTTTGACCTGTAAAACTACGCCGCCAAACGTCACTTCCGTAATTATCGAGTCTAGACCCCGCCTTATATAATGTACAGAGAGGCACGCTGGCAGAAAAAACCAACCGTCCTAAACGTGATGAAGATGCTAGCAACCTGCAGTAAGGTGCGAACGATAGCCGCAGAGATGTTGACCACACTAAGTGTCACTAGATGTGTCACGTCTACATATGGCGGGCTACTGTTCATATAATGATAGACGGGCAGAAGATCACTTGTCATTGATAGACATTCAAGTTTTTGTTCATGCTTCATTTTACGACATAAAATGCCCTGAATCGGAAAAGAAAGAAGTTGCAATTGAGTACAAGGGTAAAGCCAAAGGTAGTTCTCTCTCGTTCGCGAAACCCTGTCTCTTCGCTAGCGAATAATTGTAGTACAAAAATCGCTCAATTTCTTCCAACGTTATAAGAACAATAATCTCGTGCCTACGTCATTTCAAAAAAGAAATTGGCAGCTATGCGGTCTTTTTGAAGACAATGCGAAGAGAAAAAGCTTATACCACAACATGCTGAAATTTGTGATAAAGAAGAGACAAGAAACTTCATATAGCTCATTGTTGAGATGTAATGCCAAGGTAATGTATTCTTAACCGAAGATCTGTGGAGGAGGACTGAGAGAGGATCGAAGCAAATCTGTGACTGTATTCGGGCGAAGGTGAGATCTAGGCTCAAGAAGTATAGGCGATTCAGAGCACACAAAGACTGCTGACGTATCTGCATCTCTCCGATCAAACGCTCTTTCATTTTTATTACCATCTGCTTTCTCCCATGCACGAACATCTCGGTCGGACGCATCGGCGCCCACTCTTTGCGTGTTATGAATCGATGATACGATCGACTCTTAGGCACACTGCATAGGAGACTTTGCGAACAGAGCCTTCTCATCGACCGGCCACAAGAAGGTTCAGCCACAAATAAACTCGTGAGTGCAAGGATTACGGTTATTGTTAGCATACTTCTTACATCACACGCTGTAGAATTTCTTAGTCTCGGACCATCACTCTCGCCTTTGCAAAATACCACAGCTTCTGTTTCACGCAAAAAGAGCAGCTTACGGAGGTTGCGGGATAGTAGAGAATAAGAGCTATGCAGGAAAGCTCCCTTCTCAGTTTAACGGCCACTCCTTTGTTAACATCGATACCATTCCCTCGATCGTTTTATAGAAAACCACAACCAGTGCCTTCTGTTAACACAAAGTTTCGCATACTCTCGATTGAAGTTTTCAAAGCTTGGAACAATTTCGAACGCAAGCGTCAAACTAAGTTGAAGGGGAACAATGGTGAGGCTTCAGAGAAGTGCGCTATCTGCTCAAACAATTACTGATCCTTATCTCAGTTAGTCACAAAGGGGTAAATTTATGATACCGTAGTCCTTAGATTGAGAGATTGCCTTGGTATTTTTCCGACGCGACAATCTATAAACAAGCGGCGAAGCGAAACTTTCAGATGCAGCAGAAGGTTGAACGAAATTTTGGTTTCTGTAGCTGCTGCAGGTCTTGACGAAAGATCAATCAGCAGATTAAAAGTAGACGATTCGATCTGCCCAGTACTCTGGTTAAGGCTCGCAAGATAGCAGCGCACGAATCACTCTATGTCATCAACAACCTACGAGGTACGGCCTATAATAAGCCATGTTAGCGACCCCAGCGACAAGCCAGCTGTGATTAAAGACGTAATATCTTTGTACACAACTGTTCAAAACGATACCGCACTGGGAACAATGTCAGATGTTGGAGCTTCACTACAACGTTATGGTTACCTTTGGACTGAGCAAAACGAGGTTACCAACTCTTGTCAAGGAGTGCGAGCGTAATATCTTGGATGGTCTAGGAATTATTACAGATCGAGGGCTGGCTATGGGTCAACGCCACAACCCCTGCGATTCATTTTTTGTTCATACGGAATGGTGGGATTTGCGCAAAGTCAGGGGTAGTATACCAACTAGAATGTTTAGATTGCAAGGTTTTCAATCGAAACGGGCAGAGCTTTGAACATCAGGCTCAAGGAGCAGTTGGCAGACGAAAGGCGAGGAAGTTTCTTATTATCGTTGGGAAAACGTGGAAGCACATGGCGAAGCTGAGTTTGAGGTCAAATGTTTATTTTGGCACACGAGGCAGAATACACGAAAGATGGAAGCCTTGTGGATGTCTATGAAGAGCCTAAGATAAATAACAAGAATGAATGCCTATCAATGACGAGTGATCTTCTGCCCTTTCTATCATTATGCGAGCAGCAGCTCGCCTTATATAGACGTGACACACCAAGTGACACTCAGTTTCTTCCGTCCACAACATCTCTGCGACATTTCTCCTTTTTCAATGTAAGGTTGTAGTAATTTTTTGGCAGGATTGAACCCTTATCTTCGTATTTAGAAGGTTGTGTTTACTTTGCTATTTAGGAGACTCTCATGCATCACATGAGTAAATGAACACTACACATTCGCTACTTAGCGTTTGAAAGTACAGGGTGCGTCAAAAGTCTGGGAGCCTAACTTTGCAGTACTGCAATTACAAGGATACTGATGGCTTGGATTTCAATTTTATGCCACATGATGCTGCAGTCATCCTCTGCCAAATACACTTTATCTCTAGATGAAAATGGCTGCCATATGTTTTTGTGAGACTGGAATTTACCAACCTAGTACTTTTGCAGAGCGAAAAAACCGGAATTGTTAGTATTTACAATTTTTGCTATAGATAGAGTTGCTGTTAGTATTTTAGAGCAATTCGATGCACACAATATAGAAAAGGCTTTGCGTTGTTGAATTGTGGTTTTGCTTTTGCCAAGAGTTGTTTCTGCATGAACGGAAAGTAAAAATTTGCGAATGTTACCTACGTGCCAGTGGCCGTTCGTCTTCGGAACAAATTTGAAAGCTATAGAAGCGCAACAGGCACTGAGACCAAAGCTATATTCTTTGCATGCGTTTTCTAATTGAGAGTCTATTGAAATTCGGTCAAGGAAACACTTTTTTACACTTTTCAAATAATGATTTTCCGCTTTCCTTCGCGCAATTGTAGCCAAATTTCTGGTATGCGACGTACACATGCTTCTAATTACAAACCCAATATTATTATTCCTAAGCAATGCAAAAAATTCTTTTGGAAGTATTCTGTAGACAAAAGCTTGCTCTATCAAACTGCACATCTGCCAATGTAAAAGAAGCAGTTATTGTGAAGGCGTGGGGTGTATTTCATTACGGTCACCTGCGTGCCATGACAGGTGGACTTGGCAAGATTTTGTAGGGCCGCGTTGAAGCCAGAAGAGGCAATTTTGAAATTCAAGAACTGAGCTTTATCTGTAATGGTTCGAATTAAGTACATGCCAATTTTCTCGTTTATAGGTATTTTCCTTCTCATTTTGTATGAAAAAGTACTGGGCTCCCAGACTTTTGACGCACCCTGTACCTTTCACAGAAAATATGGAAAAGTTCCTGACATCTAGTCAATAGCTCACAGCCACATGTTGCTTGTAGCATTGGGGTCCAAACATTTTTTCAGGGGTTGGGGGAATGGGGAAGAGACGCAAAAAAAGTTTTCAGAAATGGCGTGGCTTTAGCCACGTGAAAGGATTTATTGAGATTATATTAGGACTTATTAGGATTTATATTCTCTGATTTATTTTTGCGTGAACATGACTCCAAAATGAAGTTTTTTTTACACTACCAAGTTATTTGCACAATCTTATAACCCGTGTGGGGCGCTTCCGAAAATCTCACCAACAAAAAAATGGAAAAGTAAAAAGTTTATTTGGCACAACCTTACACTCTGCAAGACAAACTGTAGACTGCTAGATGTTTGATTAGTGTTTTCTTTGGTCATAAGTGATAATTAGCATTAGACACAGAAATTTTACAAATATGTCATGTTGCTTTTCAGGGTATCTCAGACTTAGCCTTCGTCTGGGCTCAAGACCCTTGCTGGCCTTCGCTCTTAAGACAAATATAGGATGCATCGATGCTGATGTAGGTTTTGCAAGATCAGATCGTGTAGATTCTTATGGTAGTTGCAGACGAGCGAGCGTATTAATTTTTGGGAGGGGGGGGGGGGAGGAGGAAGTGGGTAAACTCCTGTATAGAGTCTTTTCCTTTTGTGCCCCCTACTCCATGAAGTGCCAAGTGTGATTTCGCAGATAATTTTTGGGTATGAAGCGTAACTTCCTAGAGATTAGCTCTTCAAATTGGAATAAAAACACGGCTTTCGAACTTCTTCCCGCTACGAAATTCAGCTCTTAAGAATGACTTTTTGTTGAGTAGTTTTTGTAGCTACAAGTGGCAAAATTCTGCATTATTTTATTATCTTTCAGCTGGGAACCGCTGTGCTTTCGTGGAAGAAGTTTTTACTTTGCGATGTGCGAGCTGATGAAAATGAAGAGTTGCAGGTGAAGAATGTGTTTTATTGACACTATTAAAACTATATGGAAGTTTTCTGCACTTTGACCTAGCTTCGCGTGAAATTTTCTGCACTCAGTGTAGGGATCAGGGCTCGGCACGAGGTGGCTAGATGAAAATGGAAAAAACGAAGTCCCCCTTGACTTTTGGGAATTTTTACGAAGTCCCCTTTGACCCTCAACCAAATTTCCTCTAAAAACCTGAAAAATTCCCCAAAATCCCCCAAAAAACGAAACGTCGACTAAAAAAAAAGGTCGCCGTCGCCAATTTTCCGTGTCTCTTCGGTCACAAAAACGAAACCCCCTTTGCTTTTCGTCCCAAAAAACGATACCAGCTGGCTTACAAGCCACCTGTGCCGAGCCGTGGTAGGGATGGATCTCAACTTTGTTTGAGCCTTATTTCTTGTTTTTTTTGAAACTTTACAGTTTCAAGATCGGTATGGTCCCTCTATCGTAAGCAAATGGTCTGGTCATTGTTTACAATGACTGCAGTGACGGATCGAGGTCCCCCCCCCCATAATGGGTCGTGAAATTTTTGAGATTTATTTACATGGGTTATAAAACTGTGCAAGTGATTTGCTCATTCTGGAATAATAATCAAAATAATTTTCAAAATTTTATAAAAAAAATTAGCCTTGAAAATTTTTTTTGGGGGCGTGGCTGCCGCCATCGCGACCCCTCTTTCCAGATTTTAGGGGTTATGGGCCTGCAAAAATTTTGATAAGCACCCCGAAAAAATCTTCGGAGTGCGTACTAACGCCATAAGCCTTTATTTGGGAAAAAACTTTTGCCGCCTCCCCCCCCCCCCCCACCGTCCCAGGACGGGAGTCTTGTGATCGTCACTGAATGACTCAAAGCGGCTCGGCAGAATGGCAACTTTGGGATATTCATCGTTCTTGCTCCCTTGGATAAGATGAGTCTGAAACTGTGCTTTGCAGCTTTCGAAGATATCAATAATTTGCTTTTCCGCGTGAAAAGTGCTGTTTGGGCGGGTCGCGACGATGGCTGCTGGAGCCGATAATCCAATCACCGTCGAGATGGATACGGTCTCTCCAGTCACGAGCCAATCGCGTTCTGGAGGGCAGACTTATGCCGTCCTCCCAAGCACTGTTTACGTCTGAAAAAATGGGTTATTGATACCTTTGAAGCTGCGAAACACAGTGTTGGAGTTAGCTCATCCAGGGGAACTGTGAATGAATATCACAAATTCCTCATTCTGCCGAGTCGCTGATTTTAAATATTTCAGGGACCTGCTTCTACGACATAATAAAAATCAGTAGAAGTTCTTGATTTTACCAAGCCAGGGCCCGGCGGGGGTGGCGCTTTCACAAGCTGGATATCCGTTTCTGGCTCGAAAAAGCAAAGGGGAAGTCGTATTTTGGGGTCGGGGCGGAGCCCTACCGATAAACAATGCACAAATCATTCTTTATTCATCGTTCCTGTTGATGCTACTGTCCTATGAACTTAGATTCTAGCAATGTGAAGATTCTGTGCTCCGATCGCTAGCCTGCCCGCAGGCGGGAATTCAAATCGCAATTCTTGTAAGAGGAAAATGACAAAATAGGCTCGTTTTCAATGCACAAGTAACGATATGGCACCAAATTTGCTGTGTAGTTGGAGGACCATGAGCACAAAAAAATATGAAGAATTACGAGAAACTTATGTGAATTCAAAAAATGGTAAGTGTTTTTCGAAATTAGGTGGCTCCCGCGCTACCTGGCAGCCACCTGGGGTGGCTCCCTGCTTCCCTTCACATAATTTCCCGGATTTCTTTACATAAATGTGGACTAGGTGGAGTATTACTATATGTTCAAATCCGCTTCCAAAACCACCAATGCACCGCTTCGATACAGCCCCAAATAGGGTTCACAGCGTTAGATCGGCCTCGGAAAGCGCGCTCCAATCGCAATCGGCTATTGTAAATTGTAAAGTTTCGCAGCTGACTAATAAATGAGTAGTATCTTAAAAATATAAACGTCAAAGTTTGTGCAAATCTTGACCCTATGTTTTTTTATAGATTCCTTTGCGGATAAACCCATTGAGCTGAAACCTTGATGACCCGGGCTGGACCAAGAAAGCCAGGTAGTACTGCTAAAATAAGCGCTGAGGCCGCCCATCTTATTATTTGTGTATATTTGTTTGTCAGGGACGTACGGGGGTCAAAAATAAGGTCAAAGGGGAAGTCGTAAGAAATTTTGGCTTCAAAGGGGATATCGTTTTCAAAATTCTGAAATGCCACCTCCTGCCGGGCCCTGTACCAAGCCTTTGTTTGTTGGAATAATTCTCACAATCAACCTGTCAAGTAGTTTGTCAATAATGAGTACAATTATTTACAGTTATGCTGCCTCAAATTTGCCCAATATTTCTCCCCACATGCGATGTGCTGTAATGAAAAGGAAGTCGGAGTAGATAAGGTTTTTTTTTCAATAAAAATACGGCTTACCAATTCTTCCGAAGAGAACTTTAGGCGCACAACTATCAAGATTCGGCTGAATCTTTATCAGAGGCATGGCGAACAGTATGTTCAGAAGTCCGCCAAACGACCATTGCCAAGATTTTCGCAAACAGTGCTGTCGCCGCGTTGATGCTTGCTTGGCCTTTCGAGGTCAGTCCAGCAAGGAGTTTTAAATTTTGGAAAGGAAGTAGGCGCAAGTTCTCCTTGCAATGTTATTTTCCTGTAGCCAGGCCATTCGGAACGTAGCGACCGACTTGCCGAATTAACGACGCGAGAAGTTCAAACTTTTTCAGCAGATACTAGAAATGAAATTGGTAAGCCTTTTCGAAAGCTAAATGTTCTAAGAGGTTTTACCTTTAGCGCTTCTAAAAACTCAACTAGTGGTGCTCATGGAATGCTCACGTGCGCCGCCGTTCATAACTGATATACCCAAAACTGAATCACCTCAGAGCCCACCACAGAAACATTGTAGCTGTATAAAAGAAGTGAAGTTGTAATCCGATAGATACCTCACATACGTGTACTTGCATGTGTATCAATGAATCGTACTCTTTTGTCGAAAAGTGATCTGAACAAAAGTCTCTTCCAAAGAAGCTGTCAGGAAGTTGGTAAGCAGCGGTGAATAGAAGTCATAGAAAGCGTCTTTCATAAGACATCTATCTTCCGATCGCGTGTTTGTTATTAACTTTTGGAAAGGGTCCAAAACTGACTAATTAGCGTTGAATCAGAAAACTTCTTACTACGACAGTATTGCAACAGCTGAGAACGGAAGATCTGCCGTAAAAGGAAGGGCTACGATGAATGAAATCAGTTTTTTCCAAGAGTAACTGAGAAGTGAAGACCTTTTTAAAGCAGTTGCATTCACAAGGAATCAAAGTATTCAACACAATCACTTATTGGCTGAAGCTTCGAACTATCACCTTGTTGTCACAATCACAAGACAAAATGGAAATGTGAATGTGACCTGTAACCTCCAAGGTTTCAGCAAATTTGCCCCACCAGTGAGTTGGAGAATCATATAATAAGAAAATTCCCTTTTTTTTTGAGAAGTCACCTCTAACAGAACGCGTTTAACAGTTATAAGCTCACATTCGGCACCACTAAAATCGTTGCACTTAAGTTCTTTCTTATAACTTTTTTCTCTTTTGAATATGACCATTCCATTTTTGGTATTGTAATGATTATCATGTGTGCAACAAATGCAGTCGTTTCTGTCGAATTTCGCCACCGCATTTGAGAGTTACGATAAGGCAATTTTTGAATGGGAAAGGAAACGGAATTGACACAAATTTGGATGGAACTTCGTCTAGGAGGTTTGTACTGTTCAAAACTACTACTTTTTTCTGATATGAAAATGGTATCTACATATTTTGCGTGGTGCTTTATTTCGCTGCGAAAAAGTTGAGTTACAAAAAATTAGTGGGGTTTGACTTTAACAAAAATTACCCTAATTTCACGCATACAAGGCGCAACTTTTTTGATTTTTCAAACAAGCAGCTCAACCGCTTCAATGTGTTTCGGAAAGCGAGCCTTAAACCGTTCAATTCTCTCAGGCAATACGGAGCCCGATATAGGGTTCTTTGGTCGCGAAGTGTTGTGGCGTGTTTGGGCTGGCGGATTTTAGAAAAAAATCCCCCGCGCCTTGTACGCGTGAAATTAGGGTAATTAAGGTATTCGTGTTCAGCATGTCAAACACCCCAATGTGCAAAGTTTCGCCTCCATCGGTCCCGACTTTTTGGTATTGATGGATTTCCGTGGCGGCTTTGACGCACTCGACTGTTCGAATTCGCGGGATCACCAGATTCGATTTGACTTACCTTACAATTCTTTTTTCGCTGAGCTCAGTAGCCATCCTCTGAGAACATTCTGCCTACAACTCCGTCTGAACTTGATCATTTCATTTTTGTACGTCTTCGCTCTTGCTAAAATACCGCGAAACTTCGATTTTGACCGCTTCTAGGAAAAAGCGTGAATTTCTTCTATTTTGTTGTAAAAAATCGAACAGTTTCTGGTTTACAACCCACCTCCGATTCTACAAATGTTAAAGTTTGAATGGGCCTTATTTAAGAGAAAGAAGTTATGGACAAGATTGCCAAACCTATGCGACAACCTAATAACTGCGACTGAATTTTTGTGTGTGTAGCAACGTGATGCGCTAGATAGACGAGTTGTTTCTCTTTGGTCTCCCAATTGAAAAGTTTGTAATTCCTCCCATTCTATGACTTTGTACTGCAAACGCAGGAGTAGTCGAAATAGAGTGATCGGAACTCCTGAATCAAACTCCCCACATTCATGATATTGTTTTCTTACCGTATACCTGCCGTAATCCCACAAAAACCCTGATCAGCCGACAAATGTTAAATTTGATTCGTCTTTGGCATTTCAAACATCTCGTAGACCTCTAGTGGTTCCAAAATTTTGGAGCTCGGAGCTTAGAAGAGCATCAACGTGTGAGATGGAACCGCTGAGATAAGCTAACGCACTCTGTATCAGCAAATTGTCTCATCGTTCCTACTGCCTATCGTGCGTATAGTTAGTGTCAGCTGGTACCTGTTAGTGCCATCTACCCTTTTCACGAGTAGAAGACGCACATTTTTCATTTTTCCAAGCTAGCAGCTCTGCTCACCACCGTGTAAAATGTCTCTCTCATACACAATTCTTACACGGTACAATTTTTAAACGGCAAGAAGCAGCGAGATAAAAGGTTCACTGGACTCGAAAACCTTCAATGTATGCAGGATGGTTGACATTAGGAAAAAAAGGCACGTCTTGTACTCTGAAATTAGGGTATTATCGTGCGTCACAATTTTGGTTACCGCACAGGGCAAAGCAAGATTCATCTTATGTATTCGAAAAAGAAAAAAAACCCCGATAAAGTCTCGTTTCACCTCTTAGCGTTTTACGGTCACTGCAGTGCTCTCCGGTTTTCGTTTCCTTTTGATCATAATATTCTTGTTTGACTGGAAAATAGCCATAAAAAGCAGTGACCTTTCCTTCTCTCCCCCCCCCGGGTACAATATCTAAGATTCCAATTACATAAGAGTAAAAATTTTTCATTTAATTGGGACTTTCTTCGCACATCAGACGACTGGCTTGGTTCTGCAACGGTTGATCGCTTATTGATCAGTACTAATGTAACTAACGCAGTAATTATAGTGAAAGACTGAGAGAATTATCTAGAATGATAAAATACAGTTTAAAGTAATGAGTTTTCTGCGATCATCGAGAAAATGGAGCAAATAGAATTTTCGCAAAAGAAGACGTATCATGGAAGATTTGAAATAGAGACTAGAAATGGAGCTCTTATCTCTTTAAAAGTTGTTTATCAAAATTTCGAACTTTTGTATTTCTTCTTACTCTTCTTTCCATCAGACTTGACTTCTTATTGAAGCAGTGGAATATGTTCATTTCTGCGGTAATCCATGGCGAAAATGCCGACTAATGTCATAAGGAAAATGAGATATACTTGCGAAAATTCATGCTATATAGATATTCCATCGCTATATCATTGCCCTCAAGAATTTAGCTTAAAGGCGTATCCAGGCAAACCTGGACGCATGGGTTTTTTGCCTGGAAACTGACGAGGGAGTCCTGACTAAGGCAGTCCTCAAATGGCAGCGCAAACGATTCGTTCACGGCTGAGAAATCCGTCCCCAAACCGCGCCTGCGCCGTGCCCTCGCGAGTGACTTGAGACGGGTCCTAGCCCGATTGTAGTGTTGAAGTGAGCGAAGTTATTTCCGGTTAGGGTCACCGCGCAGGCGCAGGCGCCGTTTGGGGACGGATTTCTCGCCGTGAATGTATCACTGGCGTCGGGTCAGGAGTCACACCGCACGCGGCGGCCTCTCCCGCGTCCATATTTTGTGCCTCTCAAAAACTCTCCGGTAGTGGCACGGCGCCACAGTAAGGGGGTGAGGGGGGTGGCAGATACATGACTCGATGCCATAGTAACATTGCGGCAGGAGTACTGACGGAAGCTGAGCCTGTACTGCTTGACGTCGCGTTGGAGCCTCGCTGCGAAAAATCGTGACTCCTAACCCGTACCCTTATCACTTGCGCTGCCGCTTGGGCAGTGCGTTAGTTTGGACCCCCTCATCATTTTCATACGAAAACCCCATAAGCCCACATTTGCCCGGACGCTGCCTTCGATTATACTTCGGCAAGTGTGGTGTAAAATAAAAAATGCTAGAACTGCATTGACGTGAAACTATACAAAGTCCACTTTACTATTCGTCTTTTAAAACAGGTCAGGACTTTGCTTTTCCCCTCTTTGTATCTCCACCTCAAGCTTTTTGAACTAGCCTTTCCTTCAAGGTATTCGTGAGCAAAAAAGGCGAAGCTCAGTCTCAGCGCAGGGGCGGAGCTTGAATGGCTGCCAGATACTTTTTAGCACGCAGTCAGCTCCTCCCTTTCCTCTTGCATACAGGCGGTAAGACCTTTGGTTCCTTTTGCACCACCGCCGACTCTAACGCGTCGGCTACGAAACGCTGCTAGGTAGGCTGGTAGCTTAGGGTCTCTAGAATCTGGCGCCTTACCGCGTGGCAGGTGTAATCAGCATTCCAAGCTTAAATACCATGCGGCGTCGTTGAACCCCTCACGGAGGAGACCCTTTTCTTCCGTGAGCCGATGCATGTGAATTGTATCCACTGACGCGGAGAGCTGAGGACCCAATCCGCGGCACCAACTCACACCGTTTCCAGTTCAGAGTTTGAAAGACTTGATAAATTGAGTAATTTTACAGACGGTTATCATACTAATAATCAGCATGCTCCCACCCCTATGCCAACTCCCAGCTAAAGCTCAGAATTCAAAACTTCAATATCCGTAGGAAGAATGGATAATTTTGAGAACTGATATGTGATATATCATTTTTAACCAGCGTACTCACTTACCTCTCTGTGCCGTCTCCCCCCGTAGCTTAAAGTATCATCAGGATTTGGGTCTCGAGATTTTTTGCGAATTACGTCTTCTCGACCTTGTACAACCTTTGACTTGCCCAAAACCCAAAAAACGCCGTTTTCCGAATCCCCATAAAAACGGACGAGCTTTTCCGCTTCATCCCTATTTTGGCCGTAGGGTTTAGCACGTCAATATGGCGTCGATTGAAAGACGGACGCGATAAGGAGACGGATAAGTCGTCCAAAGAGCGCCGAAACGCGCACGGCGAGAAACTTGGAGCCCATATTTCTCAATGTAGGAGAGGCTTCATGAGTGAGATTTGGGCACTGACCTAGTAAGGCTCCCCCTCCCCCCTTAAACTAATAAACTCCTCAAAAATCTGGCATCAATTCCGGTAAGACATTGTCTTTAGAATTTGCAAAAAAATCGATAGAATCAATATCGATAGATAACTAGGAGTTGCCTAATGTGTGCAGAGATTGGCCATTTTTTCAGAAATGGAGTTTTCTTTTCGAAACGTACGTGCACGCAGAAACGCTAATAGTCGCACTGACACAGGCAGACAGACAACATACATTCACCTTTGTATACGAGATTCATGTCATTTAAACAGCCTACACAGTTTGAAAACAAATTTCTATAACTTTGTCCAGTAAAATGTTTGATAGGTATGAAGTTGTGTCTGGGTTTACTGTGATACATCATACGAAGATGTTTACATTCTGGCTGCAGTTTTGGATGCACCAGCAGCGCGGGACTCGCGTGGCACCTACCTGGAGCCTGCGTCGGGTTTCCAACGCATCGTCCGGGCATTTTGTCAGCCACAGTCAATGGCGCCCAAACATGGAATTTTTCATCCATTTCATTTTCCTTTGTTTTTTTTTGCGCTAACCCTCAGAGCTTTATCATGATTTTGCGGTAAATTATCATGCTAACCAACACTACGGTTGCACACAGGTATGTCGAAGGCTAGAGGCTTGGCAAAACGCCCAAACAATGCGACGCAGCGCTGAGTTCAGCCGAGGCGCTCGCGCTGGACTCGAGTTGCTGATGCACCGGACACCGCAATTAAGAAGACTGCACCTCATTCTTTTTGCTTTTTTTTTTTGCGACACGAAATTTCACTTCCCCATGTGCCCAAAATGCTGCAGCTACATGTAGCACTTAAGATTTAATTGCTCAATTGCTTCAAAAATATTCTGCATCAATGTTTACTGGGTATTGTGACTGCCCACATTTTAGCATACGCATCAAAGTAAGTTTGCTCGTTAGCAGTCTTTGGGAGCGCGGCTAACTTTGCAATGCGCTTGTGCGATGACCATTTCAGCAACAGTAGTAGTAACAGTGGTGAAGCCAATGTGTAATACGGTATGATCTAAATCACAACTATCACTGCGGAAAGAAGTGCTTGATAACGAATCTCACGTAAGATGCCACCAATATCGTTTGGAATGTCGTCGTTGGATTACTAGTTTTAATACTTAATAGAACGACAGCATTAACAGAAAAGAATAGATGGCAGATGGCTTGGAATATTGATAGCGGTATAAAGACATGAATCACATCGACATTTTCTTGAAGTTGATATGACGAATGCAGATCAAAGTATTTTCTATGAAATTCACTCATTGAAATTTCAAAAATTTTAACATTCGAGAAATCACCCTCGGATAGCTGCTGCATTGTAGTGGTATACGAATCCAGCGCAGATTAATGCAAATACGTTGATGACACACTGAGTGAAGGTTCGAATTCTCAGCCTATATATTGTGGCAGCAGTGCTAGTTGAACAATAAACAACTTCTGTATTAAGATCCGTTTGCATCAACGACCAAATGGCCATTATAGCTCCGATGGCTACCTAGATAAATTGGCAGTCTTACTGGCACATCGTTGTAGTGTTGAAGGCTTAACAAGAAAGAGTGATGTTCAGCTCGCATTAGGTCCAAAAGAAAATGATGTGCACGAAAGTATAAGTGATTTTTCAACAAAGACCCGGTTTTGCCGAAAGCTCCTGGGTCTATGGCGAAAGTTGCTTCTCTAGTCACGGAGCATAGGCGATCGATCCCGGCATTTTGAAATATGGATATTAGTGCAATAACACGGTGACCAGCATTATCCGTGTTAAGCTGATTAAGGAAATAATGACTGAGAGGATCTTATCTTTAGTAAAGGACGATGGAATGTACATTTCGAGTTGAAGAAGAGGACTAACAAGGGAACCGTGTCGAGTCGAAGTGGCCTTTCCAGATGAGACCCATACTGCTTTGAAGAGCATAACTCGGTGATTTCAAATCTGCCAAACGCCTCTGGACGCCGAGTTATGCTCGTTTTTCAGGTCAAAAAATTGAACGCAAACTGAAGCAAAATCGCCCAAATTTGCTCAAATGGTCGTGTCAAGTATCAAAGCTGTTTATGCAATGAATACATTTTATTCAATATGCTAATACTTAGCATTGCTTTATCTGAGCGCTGGAAAGATTGTAACAATCAATTTTACCTGAATTCTGCATTCATTTTTCGTTCCGAAGAACGGTCATAACTCGGCGTCCAGAGGCGCTTGGCAGATTTGGAAGGTAGATTTGGAATCACCGCTTCTCAGATATTCGCAGTTAAGTCCCGCCGGAGATCCGCCCACAAAATGGAATTCGCGAGAAAACTGGGAGTCTTGCGCGACACCTGGTTTTGTCCCGACTGTCGGGGTAATCCCGACACAAAAAATGAAGCGGGAGAAAACCGGGAGTCGCGATCTCAGGGCGCGCCCCCAGTGTCTGAGCGTAAAGGACACTTGCGTGAAATACGACGCATGGTCAGACTGCCCTCAATGTCCACAACATTGGATGTGTATCCATTCTTACAGGCAAAAACACTATCAATATGTTGTCCAACGGACGACCTTTGATAGGATCCCGTTGCCACTCAATCCTGAACCCAGGGACTTGGTCTCCGAAGCCGCTGTACGGTGGCCCCAATCGACCTCTGCACATGAGCGGGAGTCTCGCCGGTGACCGGACCGCGACACCATCGGGACTCCCGCAGGAGCTCCCGGTTTTCTCAGTAGAAAACATGTCGGGACAAAACCGCGTGTCACGCCGCATTAGCCCGAACAAAAACCGGGAGTCCCGGTTCTCTCGCGAACCATTTTACTTGTGTCCCGCAGTCACTCCGGCGGGACACAACTTTTTCACCGGCGGGACTTAACTGCGAATGTCTGAGTTAATACTCTTCAAAGCAGTATGGGTCTCATCTGGAAAGGCCACTTCGATTCGACACGGTTCCCTTGCGAGAAAACGAGACAAAAGAAAGCTTCGTATCTTGAAACTTTGAAGTTTTGGATCTCATACTGCCTATCAATTTTCGAAAGTTTCTACTACCCTCTACTATAAACATATCAAACAAGGGGCACGCATCATTGTTTATGCCGTATCCGCATTTTTCGTTATTTGTATGGCCCTGCATGTTTGCTTGGAATGCGTAATAGTTTAGACTGCTCCTTGCCTTCCGTTCCAAGACCTGACGCCAGTGTCCGCCCTAGCCCATTTACTCAAACCAGTGTTACACCTTTATTCAAAGTGCATTTGCACCTCAAAAACTTACGCAAGATCCAGCTGTCACATATCCCAAAGTTGCACCTGAGGTTTCATAGTGTTGTCTTCTTCGTAAAGCGATAGCACGTTCCATTACCATACCGAGCTAAAATATCGATTCTAAAGCACTTGTAATCGGATTGGGTTATCTTGTAGCGCATATCTCTAACGTTTCCGTTTGAATACCACAAATTTGTTCATATACAGAGCGAAGCGTGGATCCTTTGATCGAATATCTATTGTAAACGACATAATTTGCGCAAATTGTGATAATAAATCAGTGTACAGCTACAGGCCAAACAGACCCAAAGAACTATCAAGGTGTCCCATAATTGTTTACCGTTTTTGCCACGTCGTCTTTTTGTAAATTTCTTTCAATTGAAGTGTATCGAGTAATCATTCGACAGAACAAAGCAAGCTCTACAGGATGGCTATCAAAAGTCCTCACAAATCGTATTCCACTAAAGTTTTGAGCTGAAATCTGATAGCAGTCAAAAAACGAACTTTTCCGTAAAAAATCGTGTCTCGGCCCCAAAAAATCTTAGCTCCTCATTTATTCTAGCATATGCTCGACACATCGCACATTTGACTGTACACTTTTAGTATTTTTTCCATGGTTAGAAATAAATAAAGAAAAACGAATGAAACAAAATGACAAATCTGCCCCTAGACGCCCTGAGCTTCTCCCACGCACGTGATCATATAGCTCTTAAGTACGACCATATGTTACCGACCTCTTAGCTATACAGAAGTACGACCATATGTTTGTACCCTTTGAAGGTGTCCCAGTTCTCGAGAAATGCTGACGTTTGGGGTAAAAACGGTAAAAAATTATGGGACACCCTAACAGAAAGACCAATTTCGCATTTACAACCTGCTCGAAGCAAAAATAATAGCTGCAGAAATTCTTCGTGTTCGATATTGACGCAAGCGATGCGTCTGCCACATTTCAAAGCATCCCATTTTACGTTTGACTGTTTATGGCACAGCGAAGATGATGAGCTTATCGTATTCTTAAACATTAGCTACTTAAGTTACCTGAAGGACAGCAAATGATGCCACGCATATTCCCGCTGGTAAACGAAGTGCGAAACAGAGAGCAGAAGAAATTGTGGCTTCACATGAATCATAGAGTATGAAGCGGACTACGTGGGAAACCTGCAATCTCTAAAGGTAGTCATTTTTAACGATATGCCTATGTTGTTTGTCAAATAAAAAATGTCCACTAGATCAATGACACTAAGTGAACAATAAGTATGCTAAATTTGCTTGAAAGAGCAAATGACAGATCAAAGGCGTAAAAATATCTATTAGGTTGTCAAGAAAATAACGTCGGTTTTTATTTGCTTGCCATGGTACGGCAACCGGAAGTGCATGGGGGGGGGGGGTACTGTTCGATAAAGCAAAGCAAGCTGTACAAGAAGGCACCCAAATATTTGTATAGATTTGTTCCACAAGTTTGAAGCCAAATTCTGAAAGAATCTGATTGCCTGCTGAGTCCGACAAAAATCGTTTCTCCGTCTAAAAAGCCCTATGAGCTTCAAACTTGCCTAGGCACGCCTTTCTACATCTGGTATTTATCTGTAACTATACTCATTTTTTCCATAGCTCGTACCCGAAAACATACGTCAAAACAGACCAAACGAGGCCAAAAAAGCGTTTTTAGGGTTTTCTCCTTCAAATTTACTATTAGGTTGTTACATAAGTCTTGTTACACTTTAATTTTCTACGATGATAAGTCGTAAACTTCATAGTTTTGATAATCCTCCGGGATACCATTTGATAGAGCAAGCAGTCTCTACAAGGTGATATGCAAAAATTCCCATTAGCTTCGGCCCACCATAAGTTTGCGTGCGGAATTTGAGTCGTACTAGGCTCAAAAATTAAGGGAAATTCATATCTTCGTTCAAAAAAATTCTCCGCATCTCCAACTTGCTCACAAAAATTGCACACTACATCAGACACTCAAATGTATAGTTTCTGTATCTCTTCCTCATCTAGAAATCGAGAGAACGAATTAAGGGAAATTCATATCTTCGTTCAAAAAAATTCTCCGCATCTCCAACTTGCTCACAAAAATTGCACACTACATCAGACACTCAAATGTGTAGTTTCTGTATCTCTTCCTCATCTAGAAATCGAGAGAACGAATAGCCGTAAATTTAAAAATTACCGAAGTTAGCTTTTTTCACTCGGGTGTTGAATGCTAGACTCTGTATTTTTCAAAAAGTAGGGCTTGAGGAAAGTTGAAATTTTACCGTTATACTTCTAAGGGCTTGTGATAAACAATTGCGGAAGTAAAAACAGCATATCTTTGTTTTTGTGAAAACGAGAGGATTGGCTTCATCGATTTCTAGATGAGGAAAAAATACAGCAAGTACGTATGAGTGTCTGTTGTGGTGTGCAATTTGTGTGAACGAGTTGGATGCAGAGGATTTTGTAAACGAAGATATGGATTTTGCCTAATTTTTCAAGCCTTCAATGCGACTCAACCGGATGCAAGCTTACGGTGGGTCGAGATTGGTGCAAGCTTCTGCACAATGTTTTGTAGAGCTTGCTTTGCTCTATCGAATGGTTTCCTGGAACCCAAAATATGAAGTTATGTTATCGTCGTAAAAGATAAATTGTAACCAGACTTATGTAACAACCTAAAATTTCTCAAAAAAATCATGGTCTTACTTCAAAAAGTTCATAATGTGGAATTACATGCGGGTAGCAGACCAGCGCAGCTTTGGCAAAAACAGGAAGAATATTTTTTCTTCATTTCTACACGCTTCCCCAATATTATCAACGCCAAAATATTCAAAGCAGTGTCGCAATAAAAGATGAGATACTTGGTCTGGATTTAATGTCACAGAATGCCGTATGCGCAATCTATAAAAGCACTATCAAGAATCCCAAATCAGCCTTTATTTAGAGCAGTAAGAATTGCAAAAAACAATGTTCGCTATGCAAAAACACAAGCTGACGCAAATGGCTAAATCAGAATCTTTGTTTTGAATACTCCCAAAATTTCCATTACTCAGTGATCTTAAAGTAAGAGGTTAGCTCTTTTTTACCACATTACCTTTACGTGAGAGCAGGTATAATTAAAAAGATACGTGCTGAGCAAATTTGTGGGTTTCTACCGCATGCATGCAGCACGCGACGAAGTCAGAGAAATATCAAGAATTTTACCGAAAAGCAAAACAGGCAATTTCACATCTTTCGACTAGTACACAAGGTTATAGAACCAAAAAAACCATAACAGGCTTGATCTCTCGCTGAGCCGGTCTTATATTCGTATGGCGCATAGGAGTACACGCGCCAATAATCATGATGTACCCTGCATTCATGGAAATAACCAGCAAATTCTCAGGAATGCCGTATGTGATCAAGTAAGAAACTCGTAAAGATTTTCTAGACCAAAATATGATTTTTCTTTACAATTTTTTATGCATTTAAATCCTTTTATTAGGTTGAACCGATAGTTCTTTCGCATCATTTTCAAAAAATCATAACTTCTGATTTTTCCAACCGGTTTGACTGCTTTTATTTTTGTATGAAAGAGTAAGACATGGTCTTTATAATGACACCTTAGCTGCTTACCAATGGTCATCTATTGCATAGATAGGAGCTATAGAGAAAAATTAGTCAAAATTCGAATTTTCTGCGTAAGGTCATAAAAAATCGGAAAATTGCAGCAATCGGAGCAATCGGTATTGTAGGTTCTCTCACCAGCTCTTTCTAACAGTGCAAATTTGCGCCGATTAAGCGTTTCTATGAAAAGTTATGATTTCCCTGAAAAATGCCAAAATAAATCAAATTCGCCCTTTTCTATTGCTTGCTCGAAAATCATAACTTTTCATAAATACGCTCAATCTGCGCAAACTTTGCACATTTGGAAAGAGCTGGTGAAAGAACCTGTAATGCTGACTGCTCCGATTTTTGATGACCCTACACAGAAAATTCGAATTTTGACTAATTTTCTTCTTCGTTCCTATCTATGCAATGCATGGCCACTGGTAAGCAGCTAAGGTGTCGTTATAAAGAGCATGACTTACTCTTTTATACAAAAATAAAAGCAGTCAAATCGGTTGGGAAAATCAGAAATTATGATTTTGTGAAATAGGTGCGAAAGAACTTTCGGTTCAACCTGATAGATTTGGTTTCGAACTTATGTAGAACAAACTTTGAGCCAATTTTTAGATGCTATCCTGTAAAGCTTGCCTTGCTCTATCAAATAGTATCTCTCAAGCATGTTCGGGGTTCGCATAGTTGTGCCATAGCATGCAAATAAAAATGACATTATTTTCTTGACAGCCTAATACATGAGTTAGGTAAGTAGTTAGATTTCCAAGCTAAGCTTGCAAAGTATAGTGCTTTGGATGTAGCTTCCTTTGTAGTCTGGTTCCTGAAGATTTCATTTGTATTCGTTGTAATACAAAGTGTCCAAAAAGCCTATCATGTGTTTGGTCTACATACCTACATATAACAACTCTCTTATATAGAAAGCTCTTGCAGTTATTCAATGCCATACTGTAGAATTGGCTTCACTTAGATTTATGTGGAACGAATATCCAAACATAAACGAACATCGATCGTCCTTTGTTACTGTTAATATTCGAACAACCTTCAATGTTACTTCTGGCGCTTTTCATGCATCCAATCTATCAGCTCGGAATGCAAGATGTTCCGACTATTTGCCACCACACATGAATTTTGCAAAAGATAAACATTCCAGACAACAAGGTGATTGTTGATATATTCTTGCTCCAATGTCTTTCCTCATCTTCAGAACTGGCTTCAGCTTAGCTTTACGGCCAAGAAGCCATTATAGGCCGCTCTTAATCAGTGTGAGATACAGTGGGAATTTCCACCGTACATTTTCATGCCGTGAGAATCCCCAAAAATTATAAGAAGCTACATGACAGGGTTTTTCAAGCAAGTGTGATGTAATCCAAATTTTTTATAGACAAAAATCGTTACTATATCCGGCCCAATCTGTACACAAGCGTTAAAAAAGTGCAATTATTATAATGAAATTAGCGACATAAGTGTAGAGTTTTCAGGTTCTCAGTTTTCAGATGTCCAATCATCACAAACTTTGCTTAATGATAAACATAGGCTGCAAAACTGCGTTTTTTTTTTGAAAACTACGAGTTTTAGCGAAAGAATGTTTGCTCCAACCTGACCTAAGAAATTTAGTGAGCGTTGAGAAATTGCTTACCTGTAACACTGCCATACATATGGAATGCAGGAAATATAGCGTTAGTAAAGTGATCAGTAATATCTAGAGCATAAGTATAAATGATCATTCATACACATGAGGAGCAATGAAATCAAAACGGCTTAAGGCTTGGAGGCACTGTCCACTTAAATTGCGTGGAATGAAGTTAACAAGTTTGAAATTGGGCTACATTTAACTACCACAGTATTTAGAACATACCGCCCTTTATCGTGTTATTGAATTTCGAACTTTTTTCACCGTAAAAAAGCCCATTTTGAACTCAACTTCAGAATACAGGATGAACGGTGCCACCTTAGCCGCTTCTCCCTTCTGGAGACTTTTTTTGCTTCGGAATTCACTTTCTGCATCGGGACTTCGGCCACTACTTCATGAAAACCCCTCAATTTGGGTGGACAGTACCTTCAAAATAATGAATCCGATGCTTTCTGCATCTATCTACTTCTACTTTGCGCATTATGTGCCCGCTTAGCATGCTTCATCTCCTCAAGAATCACTAGCAAATACAGTCTTGGTAATAAAATATGTAGTAGCTAATCATCAGTATGAGTCAGTGGCGGTCCGAGCGGGGGGGGACGAAGGCCCCCCCCCCCGAGAATGAGTCGCGAAATTTTTCAAAATTACTTATATGGGTTATAAAAATGTGCGAGCGACTGTTTTTACTTGTAAATAATTGAAATAAATTTAAAAATTATTTAAAAATTCGAATTAGCTTTGTAAAAAAATTTTTTTCGGGGGCCCATAGTCTGAACTTACTCTGCAGTTCACATGAAAATGCAAGATCACACATTTTTTGATAGCGAAGAGCGATATCACAGCTGAGCATATAGCAGCGAATCCTTGTGATGAAAGTACAAACAGAAACCACTCGTCCTTTATGAGGGTATCGGAGTCCCGACAAGACATTTCCTGCAAATTATGCTTTTCCCACGACGTGCCTTCATTATCCACATTTTAATGAAAGTGACGCAAGATTCGCAATTTTGTTTCAGGAGCAAAGAAAAATTGAATATAAGGATGATGACAAAACGTTTCACCTCGTTAACGCAAAAACTTTGCCAGAACAAATGGAGAGGCGACTTCAGTTTGACAAAGATTTTTTCCGCTTCTTCCTATGAGGCTACAGTGATGTCAGTTGATGTGCAAGACTACTACTTTACTCAGTCTTTCATTGGAAGAAGTACCGAGAGAGCTTAACTACGGTTGAAAGTAGAATAAATGGCCAATGAGTCCCTAAGTGGTCCTGCGAGGTTGGTCTTCAAGCTCATTAATATTGACAGAAGATGAAGTTGATACAGATACCAAACTCATTTAATCAGATTTTATTATTGAAAGAGGAAGTAAAAAATAATCAGCGTCTTCAGAAAGTCTCACTTCTATAAGCAATTACAGCTCAAAAACACAGCTAGGAATGTTTACCCTAGAAGAGCTTTGAAAGATGCGACGTCGTCGATTAAATAGTAGTTTCACTTGAGAGAACGCTTATTATTTTGGAATAACAGATTTCCTCGATAACTTATACCTTTTCTCTCTTCCTCCTCTCCTTCTACTCACTCAACATGCGCGAAGATAGCACTTGATTACCAGTCACGTTTAACTTTCGAAAGAAAAAGCTGTACTTTTTGTATCTGGAAAGAGACATGATCACCATCACCAAGGAAGACTTGCCACGCTGTAGTGGAGAGCAGGCAGAGCATCAGCAATAATTCATAACTTCTCTTAAGAACAGAAACGCCCCGCAAATGAGGCCTACAAATTCGGGTCAACGTCCTCACTCTCTATACGACCATCGACCTTATAATCTATGTTTTGATATTCCCTATACAGCCCTAACGTAGCTTAATTGCTAATTTTTAGCGCTTTGGTCAGTCGCTTTGAACTTAAGATTTTAAAGCTTTGAAAAGACACGCCGAAGGTGCAAGAGGAATGCGAAGCAATTATCTACAATGAGAGTTGGTTAATTTATAATCAAAGTTAGACTGCAAATTCTAGCTTTGAGCGTGATTAAATTAATCAGTGGCTTGCAAAACTTATAAAAGATTTGGTTAGAAAGCATTTTGCGATCCCAAGGTTTTTTTTCTTCATGTTATAGGATCGATACGATGCACTAGCTAAAATTGTGTGAGCATTTGCAGCGAATTTTTTTTGGAAATGATGAAAGCTAATGAATCATCTTGTTAAAGCATCATTCCTATCAAATATGGTCTCTTAAACAGTTTGGGCTTTGCTTTGCTGAGTTCCATAAAAAGCGAAAAAGCGACATCCTTTTTTTTCTCCAGACTAATCTGCAATCACAGTGCGACAAGTTTTTAACGCAGCGCCGGCAAGGTTACAAATTTGATCGGACTATGTAAATTGTTCTTGCAGATGATTTACGAGGTAGAGTTGTTGCTATTCACTAGCCTACCATGTCCTTTGAAGAAGAATTCGTGATGAACACCACGATCCTTGCGATTAGCATGACAGTCACTTCTCTCCGATCAAGCTCTGCTATAATGCCATTGTGAACAATTTTGAAAAAAAGAGCAATAGCTCAAAAAGCTCGCAGAATTTCTGGCACTGTCGCACATAACAAAGTCAAGTGGTTTGATCAGTTATCAATATAACCCGATCTCTATAAGCGTTTCGTGGTGTTTTTCAATAAGTCATTTGTTCGCGAAAAGCCAACATTTGACTGCACAAGGTAAAGAAAGCACGTTATTTCGAGTTCCTTGATTTTCTACAACTATCAGTATATAACAGCTGAAGCGAGGCAGCTTTTCTTGTTGATCGGTATGCAAGTGCTAGTGCTTGTTTATAAGCTGCTTAGCATTTATACTCGATGAGGAAGAAACGAAAAGTACCTTCACACAGTTTAAAAAAAGTATAAGACATGAATGATTTTGCTTTTCAAACCATACATGAGGGGGATCGTAGAACATGGACTGTTTAGTCAGGATTTTGTGTTCTAGCGCGGAATCTGAATATATGGAATGTTTAATATGAAGAAGTTATAGGTTTGATGCGCGCAGGCCATAGACCACAAATCCTAATGTAGGCCATAGACCACAAATCCCAATGTTTCATCAAATATTAGGTGCGATACAAAGATTAACAAAACATTCGAACCTTGATTTTTTGATTCTGATTTGAAAATGCTAGATGATTCGAAATATCTAGCTTAATTTGTAATTAGGGTTTAGCAAACTACTTAACCGGGAAAAAATTGATAAATGGATTGAATGTGTTGATTGGATGTTTCTACTAATAATTATGTTTTTCTCCTTTTTCAACTCGGCTTGCGATTTTGTATAGGCTAAAATCTCTAATATGCGTGCAAAAGCCACTTGCTGTGGGTCACAAAAATAATATACTTTGGAATATTGTTTGTTTAGGTGAATTTTTAGCACTTACAAACCAACAGGGCTTACAAACTCAAGGGACAAATCATTGATGACCCTTTGATTTCATTCAAACATACTGAATACATCTTAGCTTGTCAAAGCAGGGTTAAAAAGTAACAAGAATAAGTGGCGGAGTTTTCGACACTTTACTGCGAAAGCGAAGAAGCTGTAATAGACAGTACGGAAATCGAGTACGCGACCAAGACATGACATGATACTCCAGTGGAGAAGATCCGGCTACTCAGTATTATCCGAAAACTAATTATTAGGAATATTTACAGAACTAAAAGCAGTCTAGATCACATTGCGTTCTGGCGAGACAGCAAGGCGACTAAATGCGCAGTGCTACATCATAATTACCCGTCAAAACAGCGTCATATCAATGTTTGCTGACACTTTAATTGTTTTGTCTGGTTTTAAAATCCAGCGAACATGATCTTCTGATACAATGCAACTTAATCCGATTCCCAAAGCTCATGTGCGCAAAGCACATTCTCAAAGTGCAAAGTGGAGGCCATTAGCCGCGTGCGGTAGAATTAATTGCGCGTTTTTTAGCACAAGCACATCTACCATTACCTGTTGTTTCGCAACATGTCTTTGTTCCTTGTACTTCCTTTGCAAATGATCTATCTAATGCAAATAAGTTGCTTTCCTTAGAAGATTTCATAATATTTGTTAGAAGACACATCTACCAGAAGTAGAAGCTTCGTGTATCCTAAAATGATGGCGAATCGTCTCGGATTTTCACTTCATCGCAGATGGGAGAATGAAGGTAGTATCAAAAAATCAGTTCTTAGGCAGCGATGAGCTTTGACTAGCATTCGCAATTTTTTTTGATATTTGACTCTGTCAGGGGTTCGGTTCCACGCTGGGCAATAACTTGTGCAAAATTACTTTGGTCATTGAGAGCCGTTTGAAAGCTTAGCATAGGCTTTATATGCAATTACGATCAGCTTGACTTCTCAAATATTCGCTCTGGCTTGTCGCTGTAAAGCCAGGATTGTCAAATAGAATCAGCGTATTACTGTCCGTGATACTGTGTGGAGTCGTCATCGAAATTTCGATTTTTAACTTTACATTCATTGAATTGCCCAGCCGGAATTTTCATAATTTCTATCCTGACCCCAGCGTATCAAGAATGCAATTTGTTAAGCCTGGCCCATTAGTCAGCCCAGAAATTTTTTGTTTACAAAACTCTAGCAGTTTGCGTTCAAGCGCCCTCTGCTTAGCACCAATTTAAAAGATCTTTTTCCCAGGCTGACCACTCAAAGATTTTCAACAAATATTTTTTGCTATGCTGCTGTTCTAATGCCGGATTGAGACATTTTGGTACAACGGGAGAGCTTAATCCATTTTAATTCCTACCGCATAATATTAGCGGCTTTCACTCAATTTCAACTGCATATACGCTATTTTCATGAGTACAAGAAGCACTCTATTTTTCTGAACTTGACCAGCCTGAACACACCAAAAAATTTTATGATCAAAGGACCTTAGACCATGTTGCTTATTGTGAGGGTATAGTGCGGCATAGTTTCGTCTTCCGAAAAACAACGACGAGGTTGAGCGACTCGCTTACAAAATGAAAAAGGTGGGTCTTATACTTGTGATATTAAGGTAATTTGTTCTCATCTGTAAAAGGACTCACAAAAATGTTTAACTGGAAAGATCACATGTTCAAAACACGACATTTCCGCAATGAGGAGCATGAAGAAAATGCTACCTTTGAGGTGCGCAACTGACCTCACAAAATGTTTTCCAGGAAAGCTGGCACTTATGCAAGCACGGCCCTTACAAGCGGAAAAAATATTTCTCCAAAGGTGATCCCGTTTTCTTAGGTTAGATCATAAGCATTGCTACAGACATCAAAATGCTGTTCGCTTCACGTGCTTCTTCTTCTTAATCAAAGCTTGGCATTTTATTATATTTCATTCAATAATGCTACAATGAACACACAAACGTTTACAAAAAACAGGCAGAATGTGATTAGGAAAAAAGAGACATAAGGAAGAAAATTGCATGGGGTACCCTCCTATGCGAAAATGTAGCGGGGGTTTGCGCTTCTAGAAAGGTGAGGAGAGGGTGACCATAACGCGTGTAGAAGAGTGTTTGAGTAAAATGCGAGCTAAGGGGGGTATTCGGCTTTGTTCAACTGTTCGTCTACTATTTACTGAGAATAAAACTTGTGGGAAGAAGGTAAAGGTACTTAATAAGAAAAATTAGAAAGATGAGTAGACAGGGGAAAGCGGAGATTAAGAGAGCCACTAAGGGCCATCACTTACAAAGGAGGCATAAAAGCAAACGAACAAGATTCCAAATTGGAAACTTTGCGCAACTAGCAAGGCGAAGGCCAGTCAGAAGACACTTGCAAAGGAAGCCAATCGTTCTAGCAGGGATGACCTTAAATTGAGACACTTTGCTGAAAGGAGCAGTAGCAAACTCTTCAAGATGGAGACATGATAAATGAATATTCAGGTAAATGTCTTCAAATGCGTAAATCAAGTGATTTCTGCGAAGGGTTGT